TAGCGAGATGGGGAAAAATTGATGTCACAGCTGTTACATATCAAATTAAAATTGTTACAAATTATCGAAATAGGCGACTTAGCTAAAATGTTGGTTCTAGGGCATTCACAATAAAATACTCTAGAATTTCAGGTGCTGCGTCTGGGCACAGTAAATGGAATTTTACCTAACAAAAATTCACAAATTATGTCACCATGAATAAGTTTGTACAAGAAACTCGTTGTTAGAAAGATACGTCGTGTGTTAAGAGAAATAAACTTTGCTTCATTAAGCAGCAAGAGTAATCAAATCCTCTTTCCGGGAATAAACCAGTTTTCTTAAAATGCATATATTTCAAAAAATTTCTCTGAACACGTTCTATCTTACTAATGCGCGTTGCGCAATGTGGGTACCAAATCAAGATACCATACTCCAACTTGCTACGTACATAACTTATGCAGGGTGACTTTGAAGTTGAGTCATTAATATTCAGATAATGATTGTAGAAGGAAGATAAACCAAAATATGTGTGTAAAAATAAAAAAACAATTAAAAAAAAAATTTTACCTTGTTTTATAAAGTATCCTCCCGACAAGTATTTCAGTGCGGACCTGTATTTGATCGTGAGGTCTTGGAGCACCGGCATGCCGTCCCCTGTGAGGTCTTAAGTCACCTGATTCACGAGCCCGTTGTACTCCATTAACAAAGGCACGAGGGGTTGGTTACACTCGATTGGGAAATCGATCCGCATAAACATGTGCCATTTTTGATTTCGTTTGAGCCACGCAACAGACACCACTACTCACTCACGCGTTACCGACTAACACTGACTGTATACAACTGAATAAAATAATTGTAAAAACATCGTTCCAAATTCTTTCGCTTTTTTGTTTCCGATGCGATGAACCGATAAGGCGGATTATATCCGTTGTTGCCAAATACGAGCACATAATATTATTATTGAGACAGGGGTGTACTCAAACTTCCAAAGGGCTATAACTTTGTTACTTTAATTTTACCAGAAAAATGGTAAAGGAAAAAACATTTCTTTTGATCAGATCTACTCACTGTTAAAATAAATGACTCAACTTCGGAGTCACCCTGTATATAGAATATTTAGTACTGAAACATAAAATTCTCGAGCGTTCCTCATGATAAATCCCAATATCCTATTAGCCGACGAAACAGTCGTGTCGATATGAGTTGAAAAAGACATTTGTTGATCAAATATGAATCCTAAGTCATCGATTTGCTCTTGACGCTTAAGGCTAACGTGTCCAAGGTAGTAGTTAAAATTTAAGATGTTTAATTTCCTTGTGAAAGACACAACAAAGCACTTGTCCACATTTAAGTTAAGATGATTATCATGGCACCATGAAGACAAGGTAAAAATATCTTGCTGCAAGACAAGGCAGTCATCGATAGTATTAACATAGTTGTATATTTTAAGGTCATCTGCATATAATAACTTTGAACAGTGCAAGTCAAGAGTTAGATCGTTTATGTATAAGATAAATAGTAAGGGTCCTAGATTCGAACCTTGGGGAATTCCTGAAGTAGGCTTTATAAGTGGTGAACGATATCCTTTATAATCAACATATTGACTCCTGTTAAAAAGGTACGAGTTAAATAACAACAAAAGATCTTCAGAGAACCCAAAAAAACTCAGTTTTTTTCAATAGGATATCTAAATCTACTCTATCAAAAGCCTTTTCCATGACCATATAAATGACATCAATCTGGCTTCTGTCATCCAAGGTTTCGCAAATGGTTTGTGACAAGCAAGCCAGATTAGTGATACATGATTTCTTATCGACAAAGCCATGCTGATCGATAGACAATGACGTGTAAAGTATTATTTCAAATAATTTTGCAAAATTACAAGATTCTCTATAGTTATCAATTTGCGCTGGGTCACCTTTTTTCAATATCGGAGTAACTCTAGCTAGTTTCCAAGCCTCTGGAAACGAGCTGGACTTCAGAATTTGGTTATAAATGTAAACTAAGGGTTGTAACAACGGCATAATGAAATCTTTAACTAGAAAACTAGGTATCTGATCAGGCCCTATGATCAGTTTATTTTTCAATTTATTAGACGATCCGACAACATCAGCCTCTGAAATTGACCTAATAGCGATGACAGGTAAGTTCAAATATTTATGAGGCAAATTATCAGCTAGGTTAGCATCAGGCATATTATATACATCAGAGAAGTATTGGCCAAAGGCATCAACAATATCTTGAGCATTTGTAAAAACACTGTCATCCATTTTCATAGCGCCAGGAATCCTGCTATTCCCTTTTTTATTTCTAATGAAACTCCAAAATTGAGACGGATCATTATTTATATTATTTTCAGCACTTTTGATAAAATTACGATAGTCTCTATTTATTGTTATCTTTACAGAAGATCTCAGATTAGCAAATCGGTCATAATAAAAACCTGTCGTATGTTTTTTGTACAACTTATGTGCTGCCTCTTTTTGTCGAACCTCTTTTATTATTTCTCTAGAAAATCGTGGAGGCTACTCACGAGAATTGGAGGTTTTATAAGGAACCGACACTTCAAAAATACTTTTCAGATTGTTTTCAAGTTGCTGAACAGCATCATTAACATAAGTACCGGTAGGAATATTACATCTGTGAAACAAGTTGGTACATGAGAGGAAAATTAGCTATATGTTGATTCATTATAGAATATTGAATCGTTAATGAAGGGTGGTGTCGATCCTCCCCAACCAGCAGAGAAACATCTCGATGAGTCTGGTAATTTGCATGGCTCAGTACTAAATCCAGTAACCGATCATTTGTATTTCTGACAGTATTGTACTGCTTAAGGTCCGATACTTCCAAAAAATTTATCAAAATGTTTCGGTTCATTCCGATCTTTTACAAATGCAGTAACGTTAAAATCACCTATTAGTACTACATGATTATGAGCTAAGAGGTCCAATAATGGTAGCTGGTCTAGAAAATATTTGAAATTAACTGCACTTGTGCTAGGAGGAATATAAACAACAAATATATATATATATATATATATATATATATATATATATATATATCGAGTTACAACCTAGAATCAACTTTCCACCGACAATATCAATACCGGGAGTAAACGAGACAACCCTAATTACGTCTATCGCTTCAAAATACAAACTATTTTTCACTGCTACTCGTATCAAAACTCCACCACCTCTCGCTGCACTCACGATTGAAAACTTGCGGTCGCTTCTATGAATAGTATAATTTGGAGGAAACAATTCCGCATCAAACACACTACTGGACAGCCATGTTTCGCTTAGAAGAATCAAGTCCAAATCATACCGAGACAAGACTGAGTTATAAAATGTTGTTGTTTTTGAGTTTAGACCATTAACATTTTGGTAATAACAGGTGATGTCAAAGGAGCTATTGGGTGGAGGGCTTAAAAATTCACAATCTTTGGTAATATGTTTGATACGAATGTTGGCTTCACCATTGTTTCGACGAAGCTCTAATTCATTTTTAAGATTCTTATAATATTCTTTCTGCTTTGGAGTCTTATCAAATGATAGCGAAATATTTTTAAAAGCAGAATTTTTCAGCTGGGCTGACTTCTTTATCAATTCCAGAACCTGATCACTGCCTTCTAGACTCACTTTGATCGGTCTGGGTTGAGTTCTTTCCCTGGTAAATTTGGCTAACCTTCTTAGATCTTTTACAGATGTTAGTGTGGGTGAAACGAAAGTTAGTATTTTTAAAACATCAGTTTTTTCAGCTTGTATACGATCTTCCTTCGCAGTATGATCTTGTTCCTTTAGCCCAAAAATTATCAAATTGGCATTGTGATTTTGTCTGTCCATAACCTCATGAACGACGTCTTCAAACTCAAACTATGTTGCTGCACTGGTCTGACCCGCAGAAGATATAGCTTCTAAATCATTCTGAAACACAACGATAGCTGCTTTGAGGGAATTTATAACGTTTCCCATTTTTTCGCAATCAACACTGGTCCAATTAACTGATTTCTTGCTGTTAGTAAGGCGTGTTTCAGAAGCCGTTAGATTAACTCAGACATGGTAAAATGATTTTTGGCAAACACAACAGCAAACTAATCGGTGTTGTTCGAAGATCTTGTGACAACAGCAGCATTTCCCTCTATCCATTATAATAGAATCGTACGCCTATGGAATACAGCAAAAATACGTCAGCCAGGAATGTGCGAATCCCGAAACGTTATCTCAATAAAAATCAAGGAAGCGGATTGAACTCACTGTTGAACTAAGAACAAGTAATCCAACAATACTCGATCCACTTATGTGCAAACTTCCACAAAAAACGGTGAACTTTTAATCACATAAACAGGCACTTTTTCGATAGCGCAATAGAATAGAGTTATAGTAACATGGTTACACCAAACCAAAGTAAATTCTAGATGTTTGCAGTGATGCTTAACGTTGAAACTTCTTACATGATAAAGAGACATACAAAGCGCGTTCACCTCAGTTTTATACACTAAACATTTGGTTTCGCCCCAAAACAAAAAAGAAATCATGAAGAAAGGATCTTGAAAAATGATCTGCATGCACTCGCGAAGCCTCGGTAGCATTTCGAAGGAACTCACCGTAAATTAAAATAATATGGACAACTCCGATATTGATGTAAGAGTGTGCCATTTTTTTAAGCCGATGTGTAAAAGTTTTGTTTACCAATGCGGTAAGCGTCTGGATCGAGCACTGTACGAGTTCACGTTTGATCTGATTGAGGTGTAGGACCGGATTTGGTTTTTTTGTTTGATTGATTTTGCGGAGCTTAACATCTCGGTAATCTTACTAGAAAAAAACTGCTTATTTTACAAAATCTATATGTCGTCTAACGGAAAGTCGCAACACCCTGTATTCACCTCATGTGCGGTACGAAAATTTCATTAAAGTTAAAATCGAAAAAATTGGTTCTAGATGTTTTTAGTAACGTTTAGCTTTGAAACTTTTCACAAACTAAAGAAGCATAAAATAGTATCCACTCAAATATCAACTTACACTTCTTGCATACGCCAAACTGTGACAAAAACACCAGTGGCATCACGATACACGCGATAACCCGAGCGAAACAACACATGGTATCTGCTAACACTAACAATAATCAACACACTAGTTCAAGAGTACTCAATGTCGACTAATATGAATATGAAATGTTTCGCTTCTGTTGATCCGCATGGTACGACTTGGGTACCAGTAGAAGTGGCTGCAGCTTTTGAAGGACGTCTTCCATCGTGGTGCTGGGTTTCTTGGGGTTCCCTAGTTGGGTTTTCCTGAGATTCTCGGTCAAGCATGAACTGTTTGATTACTGGTTTTTGGCTGGCGATTCGTCATCGTACAAAATGCATTATAATGAGTGATGATCTGAGATGATTAGATTGGCAGATGTTCGCGGTTTTAACTGGGGTTTTTGTTAATATACAGGTGACCCACAGTAAGATGTCTATCTTTCCGATGCATGTAGCGCTCTTTCTAACTTCAGTTCATAGAGGATTGGAAGGGATTAGAAATATGAACCGATGACAGAACGATAAAGGTGAAAACAACAAACCTGCCTTAGAAGATTCCGAAAAACCAACTATTTTATTTTATTACAAGAGCAGTAGGTAAACAATTCGATATGAGCAATAACGATCGTACAATATAAAAGCCACTTGCTTTTTGACAGACCAACAGGTTATCCACGTTTTTTGGAAGGGATAAGGGCAATAAGACCTGATTGTCTGGACCAACGCCTACTTTTGAGAAAAAGACTTACGAGTACCACCAATATTCGACTGACTAATGACATGACATGCACAAATCTACTAGTTACCATTACATTAGTTGTGCCCAGACTACCACTAAGGATTCTTCACACAGACTGAATCGTAGGATCGTCACACAGACAGACGATGTCTCGTCACACAGGCACACTTTTTGATCACTAGATATCCGCCAGATATGCTGGTTAATCAGGATATTACGTTGCTGTGCCAGTATCCAAAAGCTCCTTCGTTACCACTGATCTTAGGATAACTGAGCAACATGACTAAATTAACAATCCCTACACACATCCTGTCATGCGATCCTTTCAGACCCAGCGATTGCCACGAGAGGAAGTTAAGCGGTCCCACAGACCTAGAATATCACGTCGGCCAAAAGCCGCACAGTAACACTGTAATCAGGTACACAACGTGCGCTACACCTGATTTTAGGAGTGACTGTTACACCCGTTTGCGTATAAATGACGCTATTTCAAGCTTATCCTGAGAACAATTATCCAGAGGAATGGAATATTTAACGTAAACAGGCCTAAGGGCGGTAAGGTCGAGTGACATTAACCACACTTGAGAGCCTTCTAAGGAATTTATGTGCTACAGGATTGAACTCGCATGCAAAAGTGTGTTTGAAACATTTTTTACGCTTACAGAAATTATCTACAAACATGAATAAAAAAATTAAATGGAACAAGTCAAACAGGCTCATCGGATTAATCCATTTTTCCCACCTATTTGACAAGGCTGAGATCTGTGTAAGCCGCGCGGTATCCGAAAAATGGAGGAAGACTTCCCGGCAGAGACAGATCAAGATTCTCGGTTTTCAACAATCGGAATAATAGAATCAAATGGCCGGGACGGATATTGGTTGTAAAAATCGACAAGGTTATATTGAGAAAAGGAAACTGCTGGCTTAATAAAAAAACACATTTTTTATTAACAAGGCTTCTTACAGCTGTTAATAAAATGAGCTGAAAATTTAAAAGTATCATCACCTTACTTATAACAGAAAGCATAGCTATAGGCCTGTAGTTGTGTGTCTTAGACCCTTTTTTTGGGATGAGTTGGACATGAGCAAATTTCCAATTTTCTGGGAAGGTGCCGGATTCATAAGATATCTGGAAGAGACGCGAAATAACTCTTCAGTACAATAGAAGGTGTCAAGTCCGGATAAGGAGCTTTGTCGATGACGAGCGACAAGAGCACGCGTCTTACGGTCCGCATAGTGTAGGGAACCCTTTCAATTGACGGCACTTGGGCGTTGGGGGGACGTGCATGGTGGAGTTGGCAGCAAAGATCTTGACAAGTACTTCCGCCCTGCCCTTTGAGTCGAATACAATCGTTCCATCCTGACACGTAAGTGATGGAAGGCTACTGTGTGTACCCTGTTCCTAACTTTTATATCGTGTTCGTTTTTGGCATTGCGAATTTGTTTCTGGACTCGACTTTGGCTTGTCTGATCTCTACAGTGGGCTTTTGTAAGAAAGTTCTGTGTGCCTTAATCTTCTGCTGGCGAGCAGTGTCACACGATTTGTTAAACCAGGCGTTGATCCTGGTTTAGGCGCTTTCACTGTATGAGCGATGTATTCCTCCATTCCGACGTGGATAATTTCGGTTATCGAAGATCAGACAGCCGACGCATCGCATCGGTAAAACAGATATCTCTCGAAGGAAAGCTAGAGAAGAAGTCTCTGAGCCCCTCCCAGTCGGCATGAAACATCTCTGGAGCAGGAAAGACTGCTGCAGATTAGAGCCACAACTCCCCCGTTCTTTCTCAGATTGGAGTGCACCTCGTAGTTTGGGAAGTTAAGATGGTTAATCGGTGCAGACTCTGAGATTTTTGTCTCCGCCAAGAAAAGCATGGCGGGACGATTGGATTGCAGGTAGTGATGAACAGCATCAATGTTGCAGTTAGTCCCGCAGATGTTCATATAGCTAATTTTATCTTCGATGTTGTTCCCTCGAGCCTACCCTCCACCCGGACATTCCGAGAGTGGAGTGAGCTTACGTCCGGAATTCTTATTCCTTAATTTCTTTGTTTTGGAAGATAATCGACTGCATAGCGGTGTGGAAACATGCGGACATTTATAAGACACCCTGGGAAAAGCTAGCGGGTGGTACCGCCTCGGTCGACTGGTTCTGGTCTACCACCTTCTTTTTGCGTGTTAGTGATATTAAATAGACCTAAAGTGGCCCGTTGGCGGACTTGTACTGCCTCCCGGCAATCGATACTGCGGTATTCCTTAACACATGTACAATCACTTGAACGGGAAGAAGTTGTATACTGGATACTACAACTTCAGGAAAAAGCATTTGCAATGGCCCCGCGCAGTAGGGCTCGATATATATACAATACAATAAGAACTAATATAGCAAAGACATCAGTCATGTATGTGGTATGAAACTCGATAAAGTAAATACAAAATTATACGGACAAAATATATTAAAACGTTGAATATGGTGACAGTTACTATACACTTATACGGGGTATTTCAAATTCGACCCTCACCATTGAAATCTCGAAAACTGTAAGAGATTTATGTAATTTGGGCAAAGTTGCGTATTTCAGCGATCAACAAAATGTCGCTTAAGTTTTGAAATTCAAAGTACTTCCGGAGAGAGACGGAAAAATACGAATTGTTCCGAACGCGCTTAATTTTTTCCCTTAGTTTATTAGTAGTGGGATTTCAAAATGAATTGCACATTAACGTTATCACTTTTTCTCCTCTACAAGTCGGCATAGTTAGAATTTCAATATGGCGTTTCATCTCTTGTCCTCCAGCGTCAACTTTATTTTTTCTTATAGACGCCATATTGGATTTTTATACAGATGAATAGAGTTTCCAATTCTGATTCCTAAATGTATAATATGCCAATAGGCAAACCTTAGTTATTCCAGGAAAACAGAAGATCCTAGGTAGATCTTGAAATTATTAAACTTGATTTATTTCTTATACCAGACCAGACCTTAAATTGAACATAGCAATAGGGTTTGGAACACTGAAAAGAAGAGAAATAAATCGAGCAGTGAACAATGTACAGAGAAGATTTACGCTTTGCCTACAAAATAATGGGCATTTCATCGAACAACAAACTAATGGCCAACTAAGGAAATACATCATGATTATAGGACTGAAAATGTTCAAAATTCCAATATAACGTCCAAAAAAAACAAAGTAGGTGGTGGTAGTCAATAGAGGAAATGCCGAATTGAAAACTTGACTGCGCCGTCCCGTAGAGAAGAATAAATAACATTGACAACATGCAATTTATTTTGAAATCAGGTCTGAAATAAAATCAGGAAAACATAAAATAGGTTTTGAGATAAATCTAAGTACGAAACTTTGCCCCCATATAAGCGCGTTCATATCTCTTACAGTGTCAGAGATTCCAATGGTGTGTCGAATTTGAAACACCCTGTATAAAACACTGATAAGGAAGGCAGAATTTAGTAAGACATTATATACCATTACATAGTTACTCTATTAAAGACAAATAAGGAGAACTGATAAATACCAATTACAGAACAGTTACGAATCACCTTGCTGTGCACACCTCAATGCCCCAACACAGCATAGTTTCGTCTAGGATTGGACATAACTACATCGAGATCATCACAATTAATATCACAGCCCATGCAGAATGTATTAAAAGAACTGCATTTTCTACTTGTAGGTGCCATATCTGAAATATTTGCCATTTGGGTTGTAAAAAAGTACGTTGTAGCGTGTAACACTTTCACGTACGACAAAATTAATTTTGATCAGAGAGTCGGCAAGATGGCCAATAATATAACTGACTGATTTAAATTGCGCGCCATTTTTGATACCCGAATTTCAGTAGCTGGCACCGTAGTAGATTTAAATAGGTCGGTTTTAATGGAAGACATTATAGTTCTCTGAGGTGCATTTCATGAATGGGTTATGCTCCTTAATGAACAGATCTAGCATGGCCTTGCTTGAGAAATAACCATTCAAATTCCACTGGACTAGGAACATTCAATTATGTTAGTTACACACTTGCCGTTGAATATTGCGATGCTTTTTGAGTTTCATCGCTTTCATTAGAGGACTCTATTTCCAGTTCTCGGTTTATTTTCTTTTTTATTTTTGTAAGTCTAACTTTTAGGCTTCTGACTTTGACAAGAGTGTGGAAACTTGATAGAGTGCCGACGAGTTCTGGAAGGTATAATTTTTTGAAGATCATTTGTTTTTTGTGCATTTTCTATAAAATCAGCTATTTCTGTTGTATTTAGATTGAGTTGGTGAAGTCGGATGCTGGTATCAAGAGGTCTTCTGCATAGAATTTTGATTACAATATTACACGGACTTTGCTCAGAATCATTTAAAACAGATGAAATGCATACATAAGTGGTATAACCGGGTTCGATAAATTATGAATTTTGTTTGATATGAAATAAGGTTTCTGTCTCAGAGGATTGAAACCTAGGACCGTGGATCATTAATCCGAGCATCTTCACCGAGGAATCGGTTGTGAATTAGTTTCAGAAATATCTATGCAGTCATACCTAACCAAGGCCAGTTAGATTATGCTGAGGGGGATCTAGAGAACTGCTGCGCTGAGTTGAAACGCTGATCGAATTGCTAGATTTTATGCGATATAAGAAATTCGCCAGCTGTTGCGCAACGACCGACGATCACTGCAACAACTCAGTTGTGCACCATTTAGGGATATTTCAGAAGATTTGCTGCTTTTTACAATGATGCAGGCAAGGATCCGGGTTATCCGAAATAAGTTACGAATAAATAAAAAAAAATATATTCCTATGCATATAGATCAAGAAATCTATAATCAAGGAGCTGGAGCATTTAAAATGATGAAAGGAAACTATGGATTTTATTTTTTTGTCTCTGATGGAAGAAATGGGGCCCTGCGGAATTTTTTTTCAGGGGCAAAAGCCAACCTTTTGCATACGCGTATCTGCACCCAAAACTTCTTGAAGACCAGGGGGTATCAAATTTTCTCAAAGAGGAGATGAATAGGAAGCGCATACGCGGTACCGTTCACAAACGATAGGTATAATATGGTTTTATATATTCTCAATCTTTCTTCAGGATCGAAACCCGGGATGGTGGAATACTAATCTGCGCATCCAATCATTTTTCAGTTGCGGAATACGCGACCGCGCCACTGTTCAGTTTGCGTGTTGGTCGTGAGGGGACGGGCGCAATATCTGCAGTGTCGCCAATTTGACAGGTCATTACATGATAGTACAGTCAACCGGGATAGGTGAAATTAAGGCGTTTTCTTTTTTAGTCAACCGCCTTAAAAGGAGACTTATGTTTTTCGCGCGTATGTATGTAGGACAAAAAATTGTCGCAGCGAAATGGAAAAAAGAAGACTAGTAGCGACTTCCTCTCTAACAAGAGACCAGGAGGTGCTTGGGAACGCAACAATCTTTGCAGTTTAATGCTTCCAAAACACAGTACTGTACCTCGATGAACAAGAAGTGTCCTAGCGCGCATTGAATTTCGATGGATGGCCGAGTTCGACCAAAGAGCCATTCATGTCGGCAGGTCGGAGTCCAAATGACCGAGGAGTTGAACTGGCACGATCACATTTCGTCAATAGCGGCAGCTGCTGGAAAAAGCTCGGTTACTTGTTAAGGGCTAAGAATTACTTATCTTCATATGACCTCCTTCATACACCTGTGTATGTGTGTGTGTGTGTGCTTGTGGAACAATCTACATGAGGAGGTTATTCTCATTACTACTAGCTTCTGATTAACAAAGTCTCTTTAAGCTCCTCGTAGCAGACGCGGCTACTACGGTGTGACGAATTTTTGTAAATTGTTGTTGAATCGTAAGGTTCTTTCGCCATCTTGATCTCTTTTAACACGCCACTGCCTAGCTACGAAAGTAGGCCGCTGCCCCCAGCGACGACAAACTTAACACACGCACTTGAAAGTTCAAGTTTAAACGACCTTCCTTGCAGTTCGAAGACCAAATACAACCGCATGGACACGCATCCCAAGCAACGCTGATATGAACAATTAAAAACAATCATAATGAAACATAAAACGCTCAATTGCGTTTTAGAAATGCAGAGGTAATGAGTGTGATTGCAAGTACGGGCGATACCTCGTCGTTTATCAAACTGCAAAGTGATAGGTATCAGCATATCACATCGATTATTGTGGAAATGGTTCAGTGACTCGTTATAGAGATAGAAACACTAGATTCATGCAATTCCCGGTAAGTAAACTAGGTATACGATACATCAATGGTGAGTAGTGATTCAATTTTTTGGAATTAATTAGTTACAAAATATGTAGGTACCCACCTGTAGCACGCAAATAGTGATACTTATATTGTAAGTTCCTCTTTTCGTTTTTGATTTGATATTGTTTAACTAAACGTGGTATTTAAAATTTTCCTCTAAGCAAACGGATTAAGTGTTGACCGTGGCTTTCTAAAAATAAATTGTTGTCAGTGTTGGTGTATATAAAGATAATCCAGTGGCGGGGTATTTAGATATATACATTGAGAACCAAATTTGATAGCTTAAGTTCAATGTGTACCAGAGAGAAGTGTGTATAGACTCATATGCCAGAAAAACATAGAAGGCGGTTGGATAGCGGAGCTCATCACCGCGTTACCAATATGTTACACCGGTTCCTTGAATTAAGATTCATCTCGAAATATGCGTTACTTTATTATATATTATTTGTGAACTGTGTCGAATCTGTTTAGGATCGTTTCCGGATCGGTCCTAATGGCGCTCCATTTTAGATTGAAATGAAAGGTCAGGTTCGCCACAAACTCTGCAACATTGCATCTTTGGTTCGCTTGGCAACACTGCATTTCGTAGATTTCAAAGCAAGGTTTCCACCACCATGATCATAGATAATCGATCCATCTAGCGGTCATTAGGGAGTGACGTCCTGATTCGAAATACTTTCACCTGTATTTGTTACATTTCCCGACCGCGAAAGCTGGACAACTGCATACCTAGGGCTGCCTAGGTTTGTATTATTTATTGAAAAGCTTCTGGAATGGTAAAATCAAAAAACAAGTGTACATTATTTGAGATTATTAGGAAACATCTATGTCTCATAGCTACATCTACTATGCGAGCGAAAGATTGCGGGTATTATTCAAATTTGGAACATCGATCTTAACAAAAAAAGAAATTAAATACAAAAAAAAAACAACTACACGAGGTGTTCCGAAGCGGTTACCCATCCAAACACAAACCGCGCCCGACGCTGCTTAACTCCAGAGAACGGATGAAAGATTTATAGGCGACGCTTTTACTGACATTATTCTTGTTTAAAATAGTTCGTTCGCGAACTAGTTCCTGGAACTAGTACGTTTTAGTGAGCGCGACCTATTGAACCAGTTGACGGAAATGAGCTAGAATGCACATTACTACATGGAACATTCATTAAATGGAATGAGGTGTTATATGATACGGCATTTTAAAGCTCCTTATCAGCACCTATATGGAAATAACATCCGAATTCCGTTTGTCAGGAAAGCAGTTTAAGTTCTATGTAATTTTTTTGTATGCCTATCTAAAACCATTTATTATTATTATTATAACAATAGAGTAGAAATGTATTTCTTAAAAAATAGCATATAGTCTGGCAAAGTTGAACATTGTTTTGTTAACTCAATATCTAATAATCAAAATGGCCTAGAATGTCATATCAATCTTCTTTTTCTGGAAAGATCTATCTGAATGTGCAATGAAATGTCGAAAATGAGATATTGTGTTCTTGACCCGTCTATAACTTCAGAAGTACCGTTCCGATTTAGATGGAATTTTTACACAATTTTACTACTATGCCAAGGACGCAAAAACAAAAGCAAAAGTTTTTGAAAATCGCTCCAGTGACGGCGGAGAAAAAGGCAAAAACAAAAAAATCGGTCAAACTTCGCTTTTTTATGTTTCAGAGGGTCCTACACGGGTATTACGTATCTTGAAAAGCGACATTATATCGATCTTTTTTGACGTTATACTGTTTTTGAAAACATAAAAAAAAACGAAAAAAATCGTGATTGATAACTTTGCACATAACCTGTCACAATACACAATAGCCAACTTTCTTCTCAGAGATGAAAACTGTAGAGCACCCGGCTTCACAAAACATATGCAACCAAAAATGCTTTTACGTGTAGTTGAGCCATTCCTCCATAGATGGACCTAGTGAGCAAACATGGAATGACTGTTTGCACCCTAAAAAATACCTAGTCTGCAAGATGACATCTTATACGTTTTATGTTTTTTTTTAGGTTTTTTACATAATACCCGTGCCGATTATCTTCAGAAAAATCTTTGTACTTTGTCAACTGTCACTTTTACGTTAAAGGTACACAGTCATCAATTTCATCACCTCTTGAGTCGTTCATAAAACGAGTGATGTCGACTTTTTTAAAAGCACAGTATAAACGAAAATACAAAAACTCCATATAAAATTTTGACAGATAAACTACTTTAATACTCCGCAACTGTCTTCAATCTCATACATTGAAATTCTGTAAATATGTATATTTACCTATGGCTTCATTAATTCAAACCGAGTATATGTTTACCATCCAGTACGGAGATACCAATACTGTTTGAACAGCTTGGGAAGTAACAGTTATCACAATGTTATCTGCAAAAGCTCATTACAAAAGATAACAATATGACAATAAACAAACATAAAACTGTATTAATCTTTTGGGCTGTTCGTCGAATTTTAACAATTACTTAAATGTATTTTTTATTGCAGACGTGACAAAACTATTGAAAGTGAGGTAAAATGAGGATTAACAGGAGACTGTTGCCTATTAAGGCGCATTTCTTCCTGTTTATGGGCTGTAAGTATTTTCTTTACTTTTCTAAGACAATCTTTTGAATAAACAGTAAGCGACAAAGACAATACACCCAATAAAAACCATTTTATTCGCATGAAATTGTGTATAATAACAGTTAGCGCGTGATCTCTCGGTAACAGGAGGGGACAACAACTCTTATTGGTCAATTCGCCATTAAATTTCAAGCGGCCGCCTGGCGGAATAATGCGCGGGGCAGGGGCAGGGCAGGCAGAGTTGCACTCAGGCCACCGTCCGTCGCGTGTATCACTGTGTGCTCGTGTTTTCGTATTCACCTTGCTTGGTTGTTGCTGTTGTTGTTGTTAAGTGTATTTGAGTTCATTTGTTAAGTTTCTGTTTCTGTTAAATACTGTCATCTTTGTTTTACAACACGTCCATCATTCGGAGGTAGCCCTGAATGCGGCCCTGTACGCCGTCCTTGCTTTTGGCAATCACGCATCCATTCTATCTTGGGTGTAAATACACTATAGTCATAAGCAAGAGGAAATCGTGACTAAATTTTGAAATGAAAACGTTTATTGTACTAGATTTAGCTTAAATCGTGTTGGACCACCTTATTACTATTAGCACTACAACAGTAGGCAGAAAAGTACGATAACACTGTTGTGTAGACTTTTTTATGCTGGATCATTCACAAAACTGCTGTCTTAACAAATTGACAGTTGTTGCGCTCACTGTTTCCTCACTAAGAGGGTTCCACGAATATACCGCACGTTTTGAAATTGAAAATTCTCCTTATCAACTTAGGTGTCTTCTCTCTTTTTCTATTTTTTTTTATGATATTCCCTCGGAGATGAAGAATTTGACTAATATTGAACATTTGAAGGGTATATATAAGTAGCAGCAACTGATGATGTTTAATATCTCAATGATGCTTTATACATGGTGGCCAATATATAACTGACTGATTTAAATTGCGCGCAATTTTTGATTGATGAATTCATCATGGAGCGCTACACGATCCCACGTATTGCTAAAACGTTTTACTGAAATAATGAGCCGATTGTTGCAACGATTCGGAAGCTACGACAAGATAATGTGCCCAGTGTCAACACCATTCGTCAGTTGGTGCGGAAATTTGAACAAACAGGTGAAGTTAAAAACTTGTCAAAGTCGGACCATGTTAGAACTGTTCGTACTCCGGAAAATATCGAGAGAGTTCGTGAAAGTGTAGTGGAGCGCCCTGATACGTCTACCAGACATCGTTCTCAAGAACTGGGTATTCGTCGCACGTCATGCAATATTGCAGCTTAATACTCAAGATAACGATTTTTACCGACAACTGTTAATAAACGATGAAGCCCACTTCGATATGAATGGATTTGTTAATATGCAGAATTGTCATATCTGGGTGTTAGAGAACCCTCCATCCATCAACGACCACTATATCCTCGTTAAGTCCCAGTTTGGTGGATGATCAAAAAAATCGTACATCTTTTGTTTCATGGCTGGGTAGACGTCAAACACACACTTGAACCATTTGTCAATCGGAAAATGCTACTACAGGGTTTATTACTGTTTAATCATTTGCTTCAGCTCCGGCCCAGTAAACATTTAATGTTTGTCGATATAAGGTAGACTTAGGTACGCTGACTATTCCAATAAAATTGTACTGTATTGTATTAATGGTCTATGGAGATAAGGGAGATGAGGCGAGGTATAGCAATTATCATCTATTTTTTGCATGGATTATAATAGTGATAGAAACTTTATCAAGTGTTTTACGTTTCCTTCTAGCTCTAGGCCCAATCCTACCTCAACTACCAGTATATGGAAAAGAACTGGGCATTTCAACAGTGGTAATGGGTACAATCACAGGTATTCTACCCTTACTATTCCTCTTTGCCAAACCATTATTTGGCATGCTGGTAGATGTATACAGAGACTACAGAAAGACAATTTTCATGGCAATAATATGTATAATGGTGCTGTCGTTTGCACTTATGAATTTTATCCCACCTGAATCTAGAATGGATGTCTACTTTAGTAATGTTGGTAATGTTCTCTTCGAGAATTGTACAGCACAAGTAAGTACTAGGAACTATAAGCTGCAGCTCGATTACTCAGTTGTCATAAGATAGTGACTAACATTTGGGTTAATAGTAGCTGGTAGGAGCAATTCGACTCAAATATTTTCAAAGCGGTGATACTTACGATTGTACCGGAAATAGATACCAACGTGCTCGGCCGCGGCTCGCACTGTAATCAAAATTAACTCGTGAACTTAGAACAACCAAAACTGGAGCATTTTGACAAAATCTTTAGAAAAAATCGAATATTTTTAGACCATATCAAAATTTGTGAAGTGATTTTAACAATGCTTAAACGCTGCCTATCCTAAAAGATTCTCTTCTTCCCCTTTGCGCTCGTTCTTCCTTCTCTTCTTTCCTTCCCTTTTTTCCTTAAAATTGTCTGGTTTCTGGGCTACCAGACGTGACAGACTTACAAACTGACACTGTGACTCAAGAGCTAAGGTCCCACGGACCGCTCCGACAACCAACGATGACCTGACGACCAACGTGCTCATATTAAATGCAACGCCCTGTCTGTTATACAATTTTTGAATTCTACATGATATTCTATATAAAATATACAATGAATTGTAACATTTTTTCGTATTTTTGCCTTTGCCATGTGACTTGTAGAGGGTTTCTTGTAGTAGAGGCCCTACTAAGATTTTATTCGAAATTTGGATAAAAAATTGCACAGAGTGGTTAAAAAGAATCAGAATTAGATTTCAGAAGACGCAAGAAGTAATTTTTTTCAAACCACCTTTGTAAACTCCAATTCCCTAATATAGGGTGCGGCAGAGAGGATGGACGGTTTTAAAAGAATCATAAATAAGTTAATTTTTACTTGAAAACAAATTTATTCATGGAATCAGGTTCACAAGGAAATAGCATTTGTGACAGTAAAGTGTGGAAAATCACATCAGGCATGTGGTGGTCGAAATCGTTGATGCAGTGCTGGAGGCGTTCTTGGAAGTTCGCGTAGACTCTCTCCAACATCGCTCTCTCAACTTGGGCGACTTCCACGCGAATTTCGCCCTTCAATTCGTCCAGAGTTCGGGGCTTGTTCGCGTATGCTCTAGCCTTGAGGTGTCCCCATAAGAAAAAATCGCATATGGATAAATCTGGGGACCGAGGAGACCACCGAACATCGCCAAACCTGGAAATAAGGCGACCAGGGAAGAGAGAGCGAATAACGTCCATGGATGCTCGGGCTGTGTGGGCGGTCGCCTCATCCTGCTGGTACCACTCACGTCGGATTGGAACACTTCGCCGTCGTAATTCAGGGAGAAAGAAGTTGGTGATCATGTCGACATAGCGCTCTGAGTTCACGGTTACATCACGACCATTACCGTCTTCGAAGAAGTAAGGGCCAATGATGCAAGTTAGCGATACAGCCCACCAAACCGTTACTTTTGGGCTGTGCAGCGGTCTTTCGTGTAACTGTTGTGGATTTTCATTAGCCCAATAACGACAATTCTGCTTGTTTAGGTGAAAGTGGGCTTCGTCACTTATAAACAAAATGAGGTTCTCATTTTGATCGATCAGTGCTTCCATCTCACGTGCGAACTTCATTCGTTGTGCATAATCTCGGGGCTGTAGCTGTTGCACAATGGCCAATTTGTAGGGGCGAAAGCGGAGATCCATATGCAAAATTCGCCTTACCGAACGATCACTAAGGCGAAGTGCAGCAGCATGTTTCCGGGCAGATCAAGTCGGACTGCGAAGAAAGACCTGTCGAACGCGTTCAACATTTTCAGGAGTTCGAACTGTTCGCGGCGCTCCTCTTGGTCTTCTGTTGATCAGTTCACCATGCCTGCGAAGTGATTCAACCCAACGAAGGATGGTGTTTCGAGAGGGAACAGCTCTATTCCGATGAATGTTGAAGTGGCGACGAAACTCACGCTGTACCACGATGACTGACTCATTATTTCGGACGAAACAATCATAGGCGAAAACGCGGTGCTCCACCGTCCAAGGCTCCATAACGACAACTGGTAAAATAATTCTAGGATCTCACGAGTTAAACGGCACCCTCCCCACCTCTCTCGTAGATGGAGGCGGAGAGTACTACCCATCCCAAAAACTTCCGTTCTCTCTGCCGCACCCTGTACAATTTAGGGATTCAGTATTAGGTTAATTTTGTACATAACATCCCATATTTCCGCCAACTGGATGCCTAATAGATTTCAACGCTTCATGTAATAAGAAAATTTTTTTAACAACCAGCTCCAAAAAATATTTTTTTCTCGAAAACTTTTCGAGATGATATGTATTTATAAGGACAAAAAATGAAGATAAGAAAAATTTAGAGTCGGTGCCAAAAAATATCATATAGCTTATCTAGGGGTGAGGGTAATTTTCACCCTTCTAGAACCCTTTCGGGTTTTCTGTACAAGTCAAATATTAGGACGTCTAGCAAAACACACGTGTTCCAAATTTCATTCGAATCGAACGATCAGTCCCAGAAATATCTTAAAAAATGTGTTTTAAAAAGGAAACTTTGACGCCCTCTAACGGACAAACGAAGCACTTTTGCATCCGGTAGATTTATTTTGAGACTAAAAATACGTGGTATAGATACTATTTGATATTTCAGGAGTTCTTGGAAGAACAAGAATGTAACAACCAAACCCTGCGAGTAACATGTACTTCAAATTGCTCAACAATATCAACATCGTACCTGATGAGTGAACTTAAGCATTCTAACTCTAGTCAACAGTACAAACTATGCTACTGGACCAACGATTCTTTGATAACCGTGAACGATTCCCTAAACTCTATTTGTGATATGAAATGTGCCAAGGATTTTGAGAACCACAATGGATGCTTGTACAAATCTTTCACGTTTTGGAGCTTTGTGATATTGATGTACATTGGATCTATTGGATTTAATGTGATAAATTCGATAACTGATGCTATATGTTTTGATATCATAGGCAAGTAAAATCTGACAGCGTCTCTAGATAGACTCACAGATTAGTAAGTAAAACAACTGTCTTAAAATGAGAGTAGAAAGTTAGTACGAAAACTTCACTAAAGCCCGCTTTTTCAATAGCAGCTTAACTGTGAGTTTACTGCTATTGACAAGCCAATTATCAAAATGCGTTTTTCAATGTGAGGCTTCTCCGGAAACGATAGTTGACCTTAATCAGTAGGCCATCTACGGGGTTGAATAGTAACCTGAACTTAAAAAACGAATTTATAGATAGATGACACGAGACACAAATATCGAAAATCACGAATCGCATAATACACGATAATTCAATCATAAAAGCAGCCTTGCTGTACCAACGGTTTATTGATTGTTAATTACAACTTGAAAAATGAATTCATAGACAACTGATAGTTACCTTTCAAGTCATAGTTACTAGAGATTACAAAACCGGGCCTTAGTCTCAGCTTTTTGCTTTCCCAATTTTTGACGACATCGATGAGGGGGCTTAATAACACGATAATATGCTCAATACTTTTATGAACTTCTTTTTTTATTTTCCTACGTATCAAATCTACCCTCAAATTTTCTTGACAATATTCCTGTATATTAACATGGGATTTTATTACTAGGAGAAGAATATGACTACGGAAAACAGAGAGTCTGGGGCACTATAGGATGGGGCCTTTCAGCATTATTTGCTGGCTACATAGTTGACTTATTTTCTGGTACTTCAATAACCTATACACCCGCTTTTATTATCATGCTAGTCCTTTCTGTTTTTGACTTATCGGCCTGTATCAAACTCAAAGTAAGTAAAAATATGATTTACCATGTATATAAATTTTTGGCACAACGGAAAAAAACACCAAAAACGAATGTAATAAAAATCTCACAAATTCGTTTTTTAGACGTTTCAGATGATCCGGCAGGGCTATTACGTAAAAAATCTAAAAAGCTGGCTGCCTAGACAGTTCCAAGTGTACAACAGCTGCAACTAGTGCAAAGTTAACATCTTGTAGAAGAACCTACATAATATCAAAAACCTAAATAATGTCAGGAAAAAACCGACATAATATCACTTTTCAGGATACGTAATACCCCTGCCGATCATTTTTCAACAATTGTGATGAACATAATACTTTATAAACTGATAACGGCATTGTGTGGAAGTCCAGAGTCAACATACTTGAAGCCGTATTGTTATATACTCAAATGTATCCAAATTTAATTTTTTGTTTTAATGGGATGGTATTTGGAAAACCTTATCGATCAACTTCCTATTCGATATATTTTTTTCTTTTGTAGCTCCCAGTTATGAAAGCTCCGGAAAATATGTTCAAAGAGATAAAACATCTGATGAACAACAGACATGTTGTGATATTCATTACTTTTGCCGTTTTTGCTGGAATTGTAGATAGCTTTATTATTTATTATTTATTTTGGTGAGTACTGAAAAATAAAATCAGAAAATACGTCAATTATTATTATGAAATAAGACCCAGTAATTAAATTAAATACCAATGTTTGACTTTTGAGAAGCTCTTTCATAATTATTGCAATATTTCCCGTATATGAATCATAATGACGGTTTTAGGTACGTTGAAGATTTTGCTAAACAGACTGGCACCACAAATATCAAACTGCTAGAAGGGTTGATTTTGGCTGCAGAAACTCTTGGGGGAGAAGTGATTTTTTTCTCACTTGCAGGTTTGTAGTATTGTTCTAAAATAAGTAGATTTTTCCACATTTCCGACAAATTATGACTGCAAATCCTCAGTTTACCCCTTAGAATACAGATTATAAATAATGACTTAACTGGTTTTATATCCTCACATATATTTTTCTGAATTTTATGATCCTTAAATGTATCACCCATTTCACCTAACTTTCAATTTGTGTTACTCCGTCTGTGATGGATCTCTGAATATTTCGTCAAGTGACTAGCACGGACTGACAAACCGACATAAATGAGAAACACGTACTTGTGATGCTTTAAGCAACAGAAAACTTGTGAAATGAAAATTGTAGGTTGGCAGCTGTATACAGTAAATGGTTGTAAATTGTTGCATATTTGGTACCAGTGATATACCTTCTATTATTAAGAAGTTGCTGATCTCAGTGATACTATGCACCTGTTAGACATAATAAGTCATACATATTTTCCCTACATCTGACATTAGGAACAGAAATATGATAGATCTGCTTTATATAGTTTGATATATGCAGGAGTCGAAGATTTATCGTACCTAAGGCCCGTATCGTCAGTCGTCCCTACAATTGTAGGGCACCTTTATGGCCTCCTTGATTGTCATAGTTTTCTGCTTCTCCGTGTCAGAACTCTATTTTGAGGTTATGTCACAAACATCTATTTGCATCAAATTGTGCTTGCTTTTGAGTTATATCATGTTTTATCAGCCTGAAATTTCCTATAATTTGAAAAGAAAACATATCTTCACAATAGGAGAGCGCAGACGCTGACACGGGACAAGTGTAATCTAGCAATTTTTGAAGGAGAGAAAGAAGGATGACAATCCAGGAGGCCATAAACGCGCCCTACAATTGTAGGGCGCGACTGACGATACGGGCCTAAGTGAACCTGCGTAATCACGATTTGATTTTGCCTTTTGAAACTATTTGAATCATCAATTTCCTTTGATACCACCGACGGAGGTGTAGGAAGCATAGAGTCAATCCACTGGACGCCATATTTTGTCAATTCTGTCATTAAATTCGTAGTTTTGGTGCTATTTTTCAAAAAGTGCGAGCGTTTGCAGATAACAGTAGTATTCGATTTCAAGACGTGGTACTTCTTACATAATTTGCAAAAAGAATTACAAGCCTAATGAAAATGTTTTGCAGACATGATTTATGTGACTGGTAAATTTGGTATCAGCGTAAAAAAAAGTACCAAATACCTTTATACCGGATTGGAAATTTATGTCCTACTGTCATTAAAAATATGGTATGGTAATTGCCTTCTAGTGAAAAAAATTATAAATGTTGTTTTTTCCTTTAATCTCTTCTGGGGATTCCCCACATACTATTGCAGTCGTATCCCCAAGTAACAATTATCACTGTTACACGGCATTGTAGGTTACAAGAGTATTTTCAAAGCGCTCTTAGAACAGCTATACAAGCGCAATGGGCGCACCTAATAGGACACTTCAGTCACTTAATATGTTGTATAAGGGATGCAGGTAACAGTTATGCAACAAAAGTGTAAACATTGTTGCATCCGCTAATGAACCTTTGCGTCAGTGCAAGATCCAGCTTTTGTCAACTATCCATTCTGTTACAGGATTCTACTTTGTTACAACTAAACTATTTTTTATGTATTGTGTAGGTGAAGTGAAGAATACTTTCAGACTAACACATTACATTCATCTTGTTTACTGACATATCGGTCATTGTGAATTTCATACACAAGTAGCTATATGATAAGCTTCTGCTTCTACACTGTGATTTAGGGCTATTGAATGACTTGCACAGCAAATTTTATTGTGTTTGGTTCTTATTTTAATAATGATAAAAAATATGTCTAGATTTTTGAGATAAAAGTCTGAACTTATCTGCATTAAATCTTCCACAAATCCTATATTTAGACACAATTACACTAATGTTCGTCATTTTCTATATGTAACGTGGGAGAGAAGCACAATTATTTGTTTTTCAATAGAGGACTGTACCTTTTATCCAATATAGCGGGTGGTTATGTCTAGTAATGGCATCATCCATACAGTCTTTGGTTTATTAGAACATTTTAGTACTACGAGCCCCTTTCCACTTCAGTTGGCCCAACTATTCATATCTTAGTTTTTTCTTATCAAACACAAATAATAAATATGTAGCAGGGTGTTATAGGTTTAAAATATTTACAATGAATATTTTGATAATATATAGTAGAAAAGACCAACTTTATCACTCCCTAATCAAATTTGCAGCATAAAAATAACACATGTTGCAATTACAGCATATCAACCTATTTTCATTTCAATGCAAAATAAGTCTATAACGCATAGGTGGCTGTGAAAAATAAACGCCATTACAATTGTTTCTATTAATAATAGCTGTCAGAATACGTTTAAAATAGTTTTGGGTAGTTAAGGTTTTCAAAATGGGTAGAGGAAAGGTTATTAGTGAGAAAATTCGGTTACTGATAATTAAATTTTTTAATTCTGGGAAATCAAACTCAGAAATTGCAACTTTGTTAGACTTATCGCGGTACAATGTGAGAAATATTGTTAGAAGACCTATCGTAAGTGGTTCAGTTAATATTAAGCCACGATATGTGAAAAAAAGTAATATCACAAATGCCGACCGAAGAGCATTATGAATAATAATCGTGAAAAACAGGCGTGCCAATTATTTACAATTAAGTGCTCTGTGGAGTGACGCTGTTGGAAGGAGAATTTCGAGGTCCACAACTCATAGAGAGGCCCACAAACTGGGATTTAGCATTTGCAAGGTAAGTTTTCTTATAAAAAAAGTGAAGTAAATACCCTAAAGTTGCACAACTTGTTTATAGGCCAAAGAAAAGCCACTATTGACTCCACTGCAAAAGAAAAATCGGCTTAGACGGGCTAAAGAACATAGACAATGGACACCTCAACAATGGTGATGAGGCCCGATTCGAAGTTTGTGTTGGTGACAGTCGCAGTAGAGTTATTCGCAAAAAAATGAAGCATTCCATGTTGACTGTCTGAAGAGAAAAGTGAAATTTCCAGCATCCATTATGGTCTGGGGCAGTATGTCATCAAAAGGAGTAGGAAAACTTCATTTTATTGATGGAAAGGTGGATAAAAATAAATATTTGGCAATTTTAAAAGAATCGCTTTTACCAGTGATGGAAGAATGTTTGACATCCGGCCAAGATTTTGTGTTTCAGCAAGATGGTGCAGCGTGCCATACCTCAAAAAAGGCTATAAAATGGATGGAAGAAAGTAATGTACCACTTTTGAAATGGGTTTCTAGCAGTCCAGATCTGTCACCTATTGAAACTTTGTGGCACGAGTTGAAAAAGGTTCTACGACAACATCCTCCTCGTACAATCACAAAAGCTTCAAGAAATATGGGATTGTTTTAGTCCAAATTTTTGCCAAAACTTGGTTAACACTATGCCCCAAAGAATTTCAGCCGTAATAATAAATAAAGGTGATGTTACCCAATGGTAATCTTTTAATTGTTGCTTTGTTAACTTCGCGCATTTATTCGCACATTGTTTATTTGTTCAGATGTTCTATTAGTTATAGGTCTAAGTGATTTCAAATTTGTATTTTTTACGACTAGAGTGTATCTAAAATGTTTTTGAAAAATAAATGGTTTAAGAAGTAAATAGTTTCATGTTTAGTTTATAAAGGCATATTTTGGTACAAATCTTGAAGTGGGCCAACTGAAGTGGGAAGGGGCTCGTATATGCAGGTGTTATACGGCAATTTAACAAATCTCTGAAATGAAATATGAGCAGAATCGAATGCTTGAATTAGAATGTGTACCAGATCTACACTCTGTGTTTGAAAAGCTGATAAAACTTTTACAACAAATATTCATTTTGGCCAATAAAAGTTGTGATATTATTGAATATGTATACGTATAGTCTTCAATAGTTACTAAACGACAGTTGCATAAATGCTTCGTTTGGAAGCAACTTGTTGGCTAAAGTAGTAGTTGTATAAATGTTAGCATGGATACAACACAACCATTTTGACTACCGAACTAGTATGCCGTATAAAGTAGTTGTATAAACACATAAGGTGTATAGGTATCTACAAGAATGTTTTATATGCTGCATGAAGCAAATTTAATGATCTCAGTACTGATCCATGTGTGACGCCCAAAGATACAGAAATGTTTTAGATTCAGTATTGTGTTTTCACCTTTAGATATCGATTCTCAAAGTAAGATTTAAACCAGCCCAGTAGTACCCCCTTATGCCCAACTGATGTCGCTTACTCAAGATCATTGTGATATTAAGGCTGTCAAATGATTTTATTAAATCAAACATTATATTTACTACACATTGATTATTGTCTAAACGTTCATACTGTGCCAATATTGACCTAAAATATTTCTTTCAGGTAAAATCCTGAAACGTTTCGGGCACGTGCACTGCTTCAGCATGTGTTTCGTGAACTACGCTTTGCGGTACGGCCTCATCTCCGTGGTACCATCCCCATGGTGGATCGTACCCATCGAGTTCGTTTTCCAGGGACCCACATACGCCATGACGTACACCACGATTGTAGAGTACGCGAACGAGTTGGCACCGCCCGGTACTTCAGCTACCATGCAGGGTATTGCAGCGGGAATGGATGACGGGTTTGGTGAGTTCTAATATTGAGTACCTTGAACGTCACTGTCATTCTAGAACACTCAAAAAGCTGACGAAAATACAACTTCTGTAGCGTCCTCACGAAATTTGGCACAGAAAGGCTTTTCAGATCGCTGATTTCGAATCTGCTGTCAAAACATAGATGTTCAATATCAGTATCCAATATGGTGTTGGTTGTGTCAAATAAGTTGGTATTATGATGTTTGACAGGATATCAATATAATATGGGGTTGTCCAAAACGGACGCAGGAAAGTAAACGCATATTAAAACAAGAAAGATTGATATTCAAATCAAGTTGGGTACTTTATTTTGAAGGTTCATTTATACCATTTATGTATGAAAAATAATATCGCTCAAATGTTCACCACGACTGGATTTACAGACGTTCACGCGATGGTCGAAATTTTCAATGACATTTTGCAACATGGTCGGTTCTATGGCATTTATCTCGGCAATGATGTTGTTTTTGAGTTCTTGGAGGGTGGCTGGTTTGTTGACGTAGACTTTGCTTTTCAAATATCCCCATAAAAAGAAGTCCAAGAGAGTCAAATCGCACGATCTTGGTGGCCATGGCACATTTCCTCTGCGTGAAATCACGCGATCACCGAAGGACTGCAATCGATGGATATTGACGTTGGTTGTGTGACATGTTGCACCGTCTTGTTGGAAATAAACATCGTCCATATCCATTCCTTCAAGTTGCGGCAAAAAATAGTCCTCTATCATCACGATGATATCGCTCAGAATTGACGGTAACGGCGTCCCCGGCCGCATTTCCGAAAAAGTAAGGTCCGATGATGCCTTTTGACCACAATGCACACCACACAGTCACTTTTTGAGGATGCATCGGCTGCTCTTGATACTCACGGGGATTTTCATTTGCCCAGATGCGGCGGTTTTGCTTGTTTACCGTCCCATTCAATGTGAAATGCGCTTCGTCGCTGAACATCATTTTTGATGAAAAATTGGCATCAATTTGGCGGTGTTCAAGGAGCCAATCTGAGAACGTTCGGCGCGAAAAATGGTCGGCCCGACGCAGCTCTTGCGTCTATTGGATCTTGTAGGCGTGTACATTCAAATCCTTGTGGAGAATGCGGAGCAAACTGGTTTTCGAAATGCCCAATTCTTGGGATCGACGCGTTGTTGATTGTTTCGGATCGTCTCTCACACTCTCCTTCACAACAGCAATATTTTCCGGTGTGCGAACGCTCCTTGGCCGGCCAGAGCCTGGCAGATTTGCCACAGAACCTGTTGCCTCGAATTTACGCACCAGACGACCGATAGTTGTTTCGTTTGGGCGGTTGTTGCGACCGAAATGTTCACGAAGCGCGCGAAACGTGTTTTTTATTTTTGCACCATTTTTGTAGTGCTCTTGAATAACTTTAATGCGGTCTTCAATCGAATACGACTCCATAGCGATCAATGGTAAACATTCAACTAACAAAATGACATGTCGGTGACAGAAAACAAAGATGGCGTCTATGTTAAATTGACGTTTACTTCCCTGCGTCCCTATTGGACAACCCTTTATTATAGTGCTTACCGAATGAGGATTCTTTAAAAATCACATAGAAATATATTTTAAACATAACGAACAAGAAAATACAATATGACTATAACAGTATTTAAAAACCTTAAAAATAATGTCTGACACAATGAATCTGAGTTTGAATAGATGATAGCAATAATAATAATAGACGGTTTTTTGATATCTTTACAACATTGTAATTGAGCTAAGGTATTAAGACTTAAATGACGAAATTTAGCGTTAGCTACACTAGCAGATTTTAATAATATTGAAATATTATTCAGAACAAGTTCAAATTTCTAGTAATAAATTATTACGATATAGCAGAATTGGCATACTTTCCAAAGCAAAGTATACCAAAAAGTAGTAGCAAAAAAAACTACGAGGAAAGTAAAAAAGCATGATTGTGTGATCAAGCCATTGAAGTAATGATAATTTCTTGCTTATACAATTTTGGTAACGAATTATATATGGTGGCAACATTTTAGGAGAAGCTGCGTTGAAATAGGGTTGTTGGATACTGAGGTATCCTGATAAAATTTTATCTCTAAGTGTATCATATCATTGTTAAACTAACTCTTTTTTTGCAAGTGAGGCTGTTTAGACGTAAGTAATAATTTATGAACGAAAATGAGTAGTGATATTGAACCATTTATTTTCAACCAATTGAGTGTTGGATATTTTGCTGATGTACGATCAAATTTCCGGAGTCCAAAACTAAACGGTAGATTTGAACTAGGATTTTGGTATAGGTGTCTAAACATGGATAGTATACTACATTACAGTAATTTAGAGCAGATATGGCCAAGGATTCACGTAATTTTTTATGTAATTGTCAGGCTCTTCATTTGCCGTGAGAAAGTCCCCTCTTTCCTCTGCTTCCAACCGATCCTCATAGCAAGCTGTTTTGAGGATTGACAGTTTCTCAGCTATCATTCGTACTGTCAAACGACGGTCTTTAAGAACACAGCCCCGTATTCGTTCAACATTTTCCTCGGAGCTCGTAAATCCTACTTTCTCGCAGAGCACTCCGGCTCAAACTGAGCATAGAGGGGATTGCATAGAGAGGGAGAACCATCAGGCCACCCCTCAACAACGCCTTGACGCGACCTCCTGAATTTTTCCGGAAAAACCTCGTATATAAGATGAAATATCTGAGCTTCATTATTAGAATCCATATTGAGATATTCTGAACTCTTGAGAAGACAACACGGTGGATAATGAATAGCCTCACAGATTTCATCGCAATAAGGTTCTAACAAATTATTTACCACAATCTTCAAGTTTGACGATCTGTCATAGCGAAGGTAGTGTAAACAAAGTTTTGTTTTCATGGCCAATTAATTATCCCAGTCATCAACTTTCAAATACATGATGACTTTCATCAATTAACGGGTATAGAACTTTAAGTTGACATTACTTTTGAAGATGGCGACCGATTTGATAGCTGCCAAGTGATTTATTCTCAGTTTGGTTTGGCAATTCATCATGAATAGACTCACGCCTGAACAACGCTTGCAAATTGTGCAGGTTTATTTCGAAAAGAATGGTTCTGTGCGGAATACGTATCGCGCGCTACGTCCATTTTATCGTCGACAAAATCGTCCATCAGAGCAGTTAATTCGATTAACCATGGAACGTTTTCACACCACGTTTACTCTAATTGATAACTCGCATCCCCAGAGACGCCGTACGTGCCGTACGGTGCGTACAGAAGAAGCTATTGCTACTGTAGAGCGTAGCATTGAGGAAGACCCGAATGAGTCCATCCGCCATCGAGCACAGGAACTGGATCTGTGTCCATTCACTTTATGGAAGATTTTGTGGAAGGATGTTGGATTGCGTGCTTACAAAACCCAACTCGTGCAAGAATTGAAGCCAAACGATCATCAAGCAAGGCGTAGATCCGTTGAATGGGCCCAAAACGAGATTGGCGTTGTTCCCGATTTTCATAAGCTAATTTTGTTTAGCGATGAAGCGCACTTCTGGTAGAATGGCTACGTCAACAAACAAAACTGCCGCATTTGGAGTGAAGCTAATCCTATGTCTAAGTCTATGTCGAAACACCGTTACATCCAGAAAAACTGACTGTTTGGTGCGCTTTATGGGCTGGTGGAATCATTGGTCCGTACTTCTTCAAAAACGATGATGACCAGAACGTTACAGTCAACGATCATCGGTATAGAGCCATGATTACTAACTTTTTCATTCCTGAATTGAACAATCACGATGTCCAGGAGCTGTGGTTCATATGTCAGAAATCATATTTAGAATGTAATACCACAAGAGAATATCTTTCGATTAAAAGAAAAGCATGTCAATCGAATAATCCACCGTTGTTTTATTGCAATTTAAAGTTCTATACCTCTAAAAAAACACCCTTTACAATTACTTCATTTTTTGTCTGTTTGCCAGCTTTTTGGGTGATCTAGACCAAAGCGGGGCTTGATTTCGATATTATAATTCAGGATCGAATTTCGTACGCCTTTTCGCAAGTCTTCACTCGGTGACAAATGTACCGCTTGTCGGTACGAAGTGTGTTGTATTAGAGCATCTTCTTTTCAATGTTTGGCATAATTTGCTTGACAGTATTTTGTGTTATAGATTTCACATGATAATTCTAGTATAATGTTAAATGATTTATTTATATTTTGGGATTCACATGTCGCTGCTCTTGATTTAGCAGTGCACATGCTTGGGGTGCTGCCGCCCCGACTACATTATCCATGCTCGATGGTGTTCAGACGAGGGCTGTTTGGCTGATCGATTACTCTTCTTTAACGAACAGTGTCCAGTACCCTTTCGCGCCCACTGGCCGACGTCGTTCTAGCTCTCCTCTCTTCTACCGCTATGTCAACGGGCTTTGCTCCCCAGCGTTCTCCTCCTTGAAACTGTATATTTTCTTTCTATTGCAGGGTATGCGATTGGCAGTTTCATAGCCGGAATTCTGTATAAATACATAGGGGGAAGAAACACCATGCATCTATTTAGCGTTTTCGGAGTCCTTTGCAGCATTACACATTTAGTTTTACACAAAACCTACCTCAAAAACAAAGAGGGCCTCAAGAAGAAGGAAAACGTATCTGAATATAAAAGTCCTGACGAAGCTGTGAAAATAACTTACGATACGTGACGGTCTATGTTCATCCTGAAATATTTGTTGACGAATATTTTATGGGTCCAGCAACGAACCTTGTGGAATGCGTTGTGATTTGAGCATGAAATACTTCAATAATGACAATGACTGCCTAGGTCCAGTAAGAAACCTTGTGGAATATTTACAATAAAATATACGTATAACAGGCTGCTAATGTTGGTTGCAAGTTGTAAGTGTATAGTATATTTTTGTTTGGACTTTGCGATAATGAATTGTGATAAATTTGTATTTTCTTAATAATTGTTTTCTTATAAATCTGCACGTTTCAATGGTTTTTATCAGCAATTTTTAACAACTGACTGTCCTCGTAGTATACCTCGATTTTTGCAAAATAGATACCTCAACGCAGGAAGTGTTTTGTAGAACTCTGTAGTTATTTCATTGAAAGTTCCTGGATTTTTATGTCTTATACAGATGCATTGTAATTGTTGATTCATGTGGATGTACTTTTGTCTCAAAATTAATGATTCAAACGAAGCTGGGTGGCAAGGGTGCTGATTTTACAGAAATGAAGAAAAACCATATATATATATATATATATATATATATATGGGTGTCCGCAAAGTTGGGGTTCTCCTTTTCAGAAACAACTACCCTTGAAATAACAAAGGTAATGTGTAGTGAAACGAGGGCGACCAAGTAAAAAAAAAATAAAGGAAAAAGTACTCACTCTCCAGTTGACGAGAAGGGCTAAGTACGTCTCTGCCCGAAATCATACCGCTCCAACAGAAAATGAAATCAGCTGATGCGCTACCGAGCAGACGCAGGCAAACAAGGAAGGCAAAATGTTGCGTAATGACCAAACATGAGTGTTGCGAAAGTTATTCACCCCACGTAGATTCGTCTGTCACCAATATGCACTTCAAAAAGTCGGATTATTGTCATGTTGATGCAACAACCACTCACAAAACCGCACTCTTGCTGGAAAATCGTCAGGTTGAAGGGCTTGTACACGTTGGACGTGAAACGGATACAGACCCTCTTCACGCAGCGTTTGCCACACTTTAGTTTTTGATACTTGCACTTCTCTAGCCACGTTTCTAGTGCTTGTTATTTTTTGAAACGCAGTCGATTATATGGGTTCGTTTACCGTAACCGTCGGTTGAAGGTTGCATACTGACCTGACACACTGATCCCGACCCAGTTCTGCCGTCGGGTTGAGACCTTGTACCAATCGGTGATGTCCCGGGTCGCGGCTACAGGACGGTATTCAGATATTTTTGATGTTGCAGAGCCCTTTATCTCGGTTCCCTTAAGACATTGGTGTATATGGTACTGAGAAAAATTGCTTATGTTTTAAAGATCTACACGTCGTGTAAAGGAAAACCCCAACTTTGCGGACACCCTGTATATATATATATATATATATATACAGGTTGTCTGAACCAATAATGGTAGGAAAAGACTAAGCTCCGTGATTGATAGTTTTCCCCAGCTTTCCAATGGTGACCTTGAATTTTACTTTGACCGTTACATTCAAGGTCATTTGGAGGTCAAGTCGATTTTTTTAAATGAAACCCCCCATTTTTGATCCCGTAAATGGAAAAAGCGAAAAATTTTGCATTGAATGATCTTGACCATTCTTAAATTTGGCCTTAGTTGGTTAAGGTCAAAACCAAGTTTGGTGATATAACTTGAAGACCAGTAGTGGTATAGAAAAGCTACCGAGTCATTATTTTCATAATTTTTTCCCAGATATGTAATAGTGACCTTGGATCTGACCTTGGTCATGACTTTCTAGGTCATTTGGAGGTCAACTACTTTTTAATGGGACCCGACAATATTACTGTGGAAATTGAGAAAAATTACATTTTTGTGTTCGAATATTGGTTAAGGTGAAATCTAAAGTCACGATTGGATATCTTGGGAAAAATCATGAAAATAATGTCACTAGTAGTTTCCCTATATGACTTTCGAGTTATATTACCGAGTCTGAGTTTTGGTCAAGACCATGTTTAAACGTAAATTGGATAGCTGGAAAAATTATCAATCGCGGGGCGTAGTTTTTCCATACCACTGTTAGTTTGCAAATTATCGTGAGGTTCCGGAACTTTTCAGACACCATGCATGTATGTATCAGATTGTGCATGGTTTTTGAATAATAGCCATTTTTAAGAAATTTCAGAAAATCGCGACTTTCGAGACTACATTTTTTTCTGAATTTCTCTTTCGCTATTTCTCAATCAGCATAACAGGAATGTTCCCAAATGATGTATCGCCATTGGTGAAAAATTAGTCCAGCCAATGTAGTAAATCAGATAAGCTTTTGTGTGTTGTCAAAAACATTACATCATATTCAACATGGCCTGTAAAAAAATAGTGGGCAGATAGTGTCCATAGTTATGAAAAACTCTGGATATTATGGACTTCCAAAATCCCTTTTAGATAATCAAATATTCTAAACAGTTTTTGCACAAGAGGGAGACGAAATTCTGCAGGTCTAAATAATCCAAGAGATGGCGGTTTTGACATAATTATGGGTAATACAAGTATTACAAAAACAGTTCGGTACTACCTGATCCTAGAACCGCAGTTATCATTTTGTTGTATTCCCAGTCGAAGATAACGACAGTAAATGGATCCTATGAATCTATTGTTCAGATCAGGTGCGATTACAGTTATTATTAACAGGAATTGTATGGAGAAGTATATGTTAAGATTGAAGAAATATTCTCCAAATGATTATTGTACCTACAAACATCAAATTAAAAAATGGTTCATAGAGGAAATAAAACAAAAATGTTTATTTGTTATTGTTATGTTCAGCAATTTAAAAAACACATGTTGAATATCTTCACTCCAGTTTGAATATGGCTTTGGCAATCGTTCCTTTTTTGAGCGCTTCTAGAGCTTCCTTGTATTGTTTCAAAGTGAATACTTCTATCCCTAGTAGATCGTAAGTTAGATACCTAAAAAGTCACATTCGAAAATATTTCTATAATAACGTTTTTATTACACTGTCTACCTGTCTCCCATTGCTTCTATCAAACCAATCGAGTTCGGAAAACTGAAAGGATTTACCAAAACCCCGTAGATTTTCAGCTCTTTTAAGTAAATATCGAAAGGCTTGATCCTGAAAAAAAGGATTTGTGGAAATAAAAGATATACAGGGTGATGATCCTTCAGGTTAGCTTGGCAGCTAAATGAACTGACATACAGAGATGTCCATACGCCACTGACGTCGTCATGTGTCACGAGAGAGAACCCCTCAGTACGTATGTTAGAAAGAGAGAGAAACACTACGTTATAGACCGGGAGCTGTGGGCAAAAATGGGGGGTCATGTGATACAGCAGGAAACCAGCTCAGAACGATAGTACTACATGAAAAAATAACTTCTAGCACTATGCCGTCACTTGAGAGCCCCCTGTACTTACATGTGCCGCTATCAAGTGACGGCATAGTGCTAGAAGTTATTTTTTCATGTAGTACTATCGTTCTGAGTAGGTTTCCTGCTGTATCACATGACCCACCCATTTTTGCCCACAGCTCCCGGTCTATTACCGTTGCCTGGCAACCCAAGTGACGAGATCACTCACGCCGCGTTACCATCGGAGCACTTTTTCTAACTTACGTATTGCATGCTTCGCTCTCGTACTCACTACCTCGTCAGTGATAGTTGGATTTCTCTGTATACTTACAATACTATTTACTGTCGGCCTTTCATCCACCTGCGGTATAATTTTGATGGCATATATTTTGTCACCCTGAAATTGTATAAATGTAAAGATGCACTTTCACACGGAAAATATGTAATGCACCGTCAAGGTCTGCCAGCAAGTAAAGAATTCGAATATTGCTTTTGGTCCTCAAGGAGATCGACTTTCTCACTAATATTTGACAAGGAATAATTTTAAAACACAAATGCGCGGAAAGTGTAGAGTCGACCTACTTAACGTCATTTTTTTCTTTCCTTTTTTGTGATACTAACTTAATTTCACCATGTGGTGGCGCCACTCCAAAACAGCAAAGTTTTCCTCCTTTTTGTAAAAGAGAAACAGCATGCTCGATAGCCGGAGGAAAACCACTGCAGTCTATCACAACATCGAACAAGTAGTTTGGATCGCCACTTTGGTTTTTCTTCAGCTGATCGGGAGTTATCAAATCAAACCCAGTATCTACAAACAAAATTGGTAATTTATAGTGTCAGCAAACTTATTCACTCGTTTTTTTTTGTTCGATGGAATATTTCCTTTGACCGCTATCTGAAGAAATCGATGCTAACTATTAAAAATGCATGAGGTATTCACTTCGTATTGAAGCCTAGTTGAGATTGATTTCTTCAGATAGCGTAACCGTAGATAGCTAGTTCTAAAAAGGACAACAGAGCGTATACTCTGTAGTGTACAAATGAATAACACAGGCCGACAAGATTTTCAGCCAGAAACTTTCTGTAAGGTTTTTGATACACTCAAGCCGAATCCGTGATCCAAATATCTCAATTGGTTATAGTTCCCGAGATATCCTAACCTAAAATTAAGGATGTTTGCCTATATTTGAGATCATGTAGCATAACGAGTAATTTTTTTTCAACAAATCATAGATACCATGTCAAAATAAAAGCTTCCCCCTTCAAATGCCGTTGCTTTATTATCTTTTTTTTTTCGCTTACATATGGCAATTTGAACTTTCTATTTCTTTGAATTACAGTACACACTGAGAACCAAATTTGTCTGTTAGCTTGAGTTCAATGTGCATGAGAGAGAAGTCTGTAGAGACACATATGTTAAAAAGAGATAGAAGCCAACTGGATAGCGAAGCTCATCACCACGTTGCATACCAACGCTGACGCAGCGATCTCCAGCGTTGCCAATATGTTACAACAGTTCCTTGAATTAAGATGCATGTTGAAAATATGCGTTAGTTTATCATATACGCCCAAATAATGTTTTTACTTTGAGTGTACAAATTTTTGAATTGTGAATTGTGCCGTATCTGCTTAACGGCGCTCCATTTCAAGTCAAAATGAAAGGTCAGGTTCGCCACAAATTCTGCAACATTGCATCATTGGTTCGCTTGGCAACTCCGTCCATGAGCAATGAGCATAGATGGAAATCAAAGATAATTCTAAAATAAATTAAGACACTAAGCGGCATCAAAATTGTAATAAATAATTATGTCTAAAATGAAAACAAAATATTAAATTAAATGTTAGAACAGACCTCCTTCTTGGGTTTGACAGTAACCTAACATATTCTAGAAGCCTGTGCGAACATTTTTTGGTGCAACATATTGGCAACGCGGCAGACTACATGACCTTCTGCGCCACCGTTGCTAGGCAATGTGGTGATGTCCTTCGCTCTTCACTCGGCTTCTATCTCTTTCTAGCATGTGTTGATACACACTTCTCGCGCTTCTCTCTCGTACACAAGTCAAGCCGTTAGACATATTTGGTTTTCAATGTATTTGATACTCTACACGTTGTTACGATTATATGTACATCAAAGTTGTGGTTTGGATTATAATACATAAGAATTTTAAGAATAGGTTGACGTATTTTTATGAAATAAGGCCTGCAATTAAAAAAAACATGAATCTTCAACGCAACATCCATAAAATATCTCGAACTTACCCCAACCACAAGCTCACAACCCACACTACCCTATCAAGTAAAATTAAGTTTTCTAAATGCGATATCTTAGCGATATACTTTGAAGTTGAGTCATTAATTTTCAGATAATGATTGTAGAAGGAAGATAAACCAAAATATGTGTGTAAAAATAAAAAAAAATATAAAAAAAATGTTACCTTGTTTTATAAAGTATCCTCCCGACAAGTATTTCAGTGCGGACCTGTATTTGATCGTGCGGTCTTGGAGCACCGGCATTCCCTCCCCTGTGAGGTCTTACGTCACCTGATTCACGAGCCCTTTGTACTACATTAACAAAGGCACGAGGGGTTGGTTGCACTCGATTGGGAAACCGATTCGCATAAATCCGTAATGCCGCGGCAGCATTTTGTAAAGACTCCCGCCCCCCGTAAATAAGAATCATGTCCACAACTTCACCATTTTCGTAAACATGTGGCATTTTTCATTTCGTTTGAGCCACGCAGCAAAAACCACTATTCACTCACGCGTTACCGACTAACACATTGACTGACATCGTGATAAACGTTTCAAATTCTTTCGCTTTTTTGTTTCCGATGCGATGAACCGATAAGGCGGATTATATCCGTTGTTGCCAAACACGAGCACCCAATATTATTATTGAGACAGGGCGGTACTCAAACTTCTAAAGGGCTATAACTTTGTTAATTTAATTTTACCAGAAAAATGTTAAAGGAAAAAAACATTTCTTTTGATCAGATCTACTCACTGTTAAAATAAATGACTCAACTTCGTATAGAGATATTTATGCGAGTTCATCGGCATTGTACTTTCAGTCGATGTCTAGGGATTTTTGAAAAAAAAAATAATTTGCAATGCTACATAACCTTAAGTATAGGCAAAAGCGCTATTTTGTACCTTTCGGTTAGGATATCTAAGGAGTCGGTTTACTTTTGTGGGCCTGTGTAATCTGTGATAACTTACTCAGTTTTCGTAGTAGATCGAGCCTTGCCTGGTTGGGTTCGGAAACTGTTACTTTTCGATGACCTTGGTGGTGCAGTACACACACCCAAAGGTTTCCAATGATACCAGCACCAGTGATAAGGATTTTTGACCCAACTGTTATGGGACTAATAATGTCCCAGCCGTGTGCGAGGCATGATATTGGCTCCGTTAGAGCGGCTAGAAAAATGGAATAAATAATAAACGCCCATAGCCATTGTAGAGGTTATCAGAATTCAAATTCGCGTATAACTGGAAAACGCTCAACTTTAGAGAAAATTTACTAAGAACCTAGTGTCCACAGGCCGTAAAAGTGAGAAAAACAAAAATTTTGAAAAACGTATTTTGGAAGCAACAATGAGTGAAACATGAATAGCTCTCTTAAAATTGAAGAGGAGTGTATATTGATTGACTCTGACTGTAGTGGTGTGTAATTCGCGAACGAACTAGTTCAATCAAACAATTCTTGATGATTGGTCTAAGTGAACAATGTAGTTCATCATCTATTGAAAAACTTGTTGTGAATGAACAAACGAGAACGAGATAGGAGAAAAGAGACGAAATACAAACCGTAAGCAGAAGGTTGTATAACGGTTGCCTGGAAGTTATGAAAAAGATAATAAATGCTGTTAGTTATGAAGGCTGAAAAAATTAAAAATTAGCTTAATTCCAAACAAAAATTCACTAATGAAGAAATGGAAACAATACTAAAAAGAAAATATAAAAAATTGAAAAATTGAAAACATTTTTTTCACTTAATAGGCTTCTGGTCTATTTTTGCTGACAAGACTGTTGGCTCAGCTTTCGAAAAGGGTCGCTTGCAGGGTACAGATGTGGGATACAAACGTTTTTGCACCATCATAACTAATCTGCTCGATCCTGGCACCACTTCAGGGGTTAAAGCGGCTCAGGGAAATATTTATCTCGTTCGATAATGCCTGCCGCGATTGAATTTTGAACTGCGCAAAGACGTTTTACCTCAAAGCCAAAATCGTCCAAAAGATCTAATAGTGATTTCTTCTTCTTCAGTTCATTTTCCGCTGGGCCTTTGTTTGCGATACTAAAAAAGCCGTTCTCGCGAAAGGAAGACATCTACATACCTATGGTTGCCTAGGTTTGTATTATTAATTGAAAAAATCTTCTGAACCAGTTCAACCAAAAAACAATAGTGTACATTGTTTGAGACTGTTAGAAAACGTGTATATCTCACTGCTATATCTACTACGTGAGCGACAGTTTACGTAGAGGATTTATATCTAAAACATCGATCTTGACAAAAAAACTTGAATACAAAAAAACAACACTATGAGGTCCTCCGAAGTGGTTACCCATTCAAACACTATCCGCGCCCGACGCTGTTTAACTAGTGTGGTTCAGCACCGTTGCCAGATAGTCCGATTCTTAGGACAGAGAAGGAACTAGCGTTAGCGTTATCAAATGAGTGGGGAGTATGAAGTATGGTACTAAATACATGGGCCTGTTTGGCTGACTTATTCCATTAATTTTTTTATTAAACATGTTTGTAGCTAGTTAAGAGGGACTAACTTGTGACGAACATAAGCGTTCATGAACTGATGACAACGTTGCGTGGGAAGTGCAGAGTCAAGCTACTTGATGGCATCTTTTTTGTCTAAGAAGCTAGCCAGAGTTACATACCTTGCTGTAGTGTGATCTTATCAGGTAATTTGTGGACCTGGCCTACAGGTACCAAAGCGTAGTTTGCCCATCCACCATCCCTATAGATTCCGACGGTGTTGCTGATGCCCCCAGTAGCGCAAAAGTGCGGTTTGCCTGAGTGACAAAAGTTACAGCAACCACATCCCCTGAAAGTTTTGTAGGAAAAAGTATTTAAAGTCCGATTTGACTATTGACCGGTGAGAATCAGTTTTTGCGCCTGTGACTGAAATTGGACCAATGAGAAGGCGTCTTTGAACAAATGGATCTAATTAATTTGGTAGAATTTTTGTACAATGTCTCTCAAACTAGAGAAAAATATACGATTTGTGTAAAATGGGCTCCTAATTCTCATATTTAATCAAGCAATACCTCATATATGACATGATTCAGCTACAAAAACTTATTTTATATTTGTGTCCGGACTTGATGCAAATTCTACCAATCCAAAAGGATTTGTGGCCTACTCGAACCTGATACAATAGATTGACATGACGCCATTATTGAGCATTTTATTGAAAAAAAATGTATCACTGTTTCTGTGGAAAATTCTGCTTAAAAAATTATTTGAAGACAAATAAAAATACAGAATGATTATTCTTTAGCAAACATCGAGTAAATAAAGCCCTGTTCCTCAGGCCAGCTCTGTTGCTAACAACAGAGAGATGTAGCGCACTCTACTGGACGGTAGGACTACTAGCGTGACCATGCCGTGCCGCGGTCACGGTGGCAGAGCTGGAAGTAGAAGAATTTATCAAGTAGAAATTTGTACAGCAACAGTGAGACGCTGTTATGTTCAAAAAAAAGCTCATTTAATTGCTGTCATATCAATCCAAATACCAGGTTTGTATCCATGCTTCCAATATGGCGAATATTCAGAATAGGTTCTAAGCATCGGCGCTATATCCCTGTAGGGAGCTCTTTAAACAGTTGAATATAATGACAATTCACTTTCTTTGCATCTACAGATGCCTTGTCTATATTAAAGAAAATTTTAGTTCAATCTTCATAAATAGAATTCAATATTATGAATTACGCCAGACAGCTATGTTGATTAACACTTTCTATAGCATTGAGGAATATTTCAATTGTGTATTTGAATGATGCTCTCTTTTGTATTCATCAACGTTTATTGTGTATTGTGATGTTATCTCAGTCACTATACTTGTTATTTTTGTTTTATATATTTACACCTGAAATTACTAATACTACTAGTTGTAGTCATCCGGAAATAAAGTTATTATTATTATATGCTTCTTTTCCATTTGTGCATTATAGGAGGACGCAAATGAAAAAAAAATGTTTTTGTAGCTACATGTGATTTAATGTCGTATTTTTTGAGTTAATATGGTAATTAGGGCCCATCTTACACAAAACCATATAATTTTTCTCTACTTCGAGAGACACTTTACAAGAAATCGAACATATGTATATGATCCATTACTTCGAAACACCTTCTCATTGGTTGAATTTATGACCCACGTGCATTTTGTGCAAGGGCTTTGTAAAATCGAGCCTAAGAATTTATCCATAGTCAGGCTAATTGAGAAATATAAAATAATCTCTGTACCCTAGAGCCAGACTAGGTTAAGTCCAATTTCTTCAAACATGAGTTTAATATGGTATGTCCATGATGATATTGTAAATTTTCATTTGCTACTTACAGCGTTCACCTATCTGTTGTAATAAAGTTACGACTTTATAAATAATGTTAAGTTGCGCGCAATACAATACAAAAAAAATATTTAAAACTCAATTATCTCAAACTATACTTGTTTGGACTTTCCTTAGAGTTTAGAGAATATGTTGAATACTTACGAATTTGGGTCAACAGATACCCTGTCGCCTTTCTTGAATATGTTTACTTCACTGCCAACTTCAACAACCTCACCAGAAAATTCGTGGCCTAAAGTGAATGTTCTCTGATCTGTACACGGAAATTCTCCCTAAAACGTTTACAAATCTTTCATTATCGGCAGAATGCAAAATTTCTCAAAAATCCTTGGGCGTGGCTCTGGAGTAGTAGCTATTGCAAAGCCTTCGTATAATGAGAACCCTTGACAGGGGTGACCAGTAGTTGGATCGACACAGAATTACGCAACCATATATGGCCATTCCTGATCTTCGACATGTCTGGATATGAATCTGCCGCCATCTACATCACTTCCATGGGAGTTCGTGACTCAACCTGGAAAACGCTGGAGCATTTCTCGACTCGTCGATAGGGTAGTAAATAGCGACCCAGATGGCGGAAGCACTTAGTCACATTCGTGACACAGTCGATCCAATGGACAGTGAGTGCGGATTAAGATGGTATAATAGTCCAGTCGACGTAGTTATAAATTTGTCAGAAATTAGTTGTAAGCGTTATAAATTGGAGTAGAGTAGACTTTGGATAGTAAGGACGGTGTTTTTGTTACAATATGGTAGAAGGCAATAAAATCACTAGATCGAAGGAAACAATCAGAGACACATTGATATTCGCAATACTCAAGTAACTAACCAACCAAAGAACAACATAAAACTTTAAAAGAAAAGAGTGGTTCAAAAATGTTTAATAAAAGCTCTGGAAAACTACCCAAGTATGAGGTTTCAACCACACATTTCAAGGGAGGAATCAACTGCTCTAGTTTTCGAGAATCAAATTATTGAGCGGATTGATTTGGTCATCGAATTTAACTGCGTCTGACTTTTTTCTTCTGTGATAGTTGAAGGAAAGTAATACTAGTAAATAAAAAAACATCGCCTATTTGAAAGACAATATCGTAATCAAATCGAAGTCAGAATGACCGGGATCTTACGAAAATTTATGAAAGAGAAAACTACTCTTACAATTTTATTTAATACAGGTAATTCCTCATGACAGGTGTTCAATATTACCAATATTTTCGTTCCAGTGCATAACAATGCGACTGACAAATTTTTAACACTTGTAATAATACAATTTTTCAGAAAACATCTCCGGAAAACATTTTTTATCGAAAACTATGCGACATGGCCAGTTTAAGAGACAAAAAGTAAGGTAAGTAAATGGATGTTTTAAATAAAAAAAAATCAGTCGTTGAGAGAGTTGCGAAAAAATTCTTCTATGATTTATGTAGGGGTAGGGGTAGTTTTCACTCTTCTCAAATCCTTCCGATTTTTTGTAAAAGTCAAATGTTAGGACGTCTAGCAAAACAAATGTGTACCAAATTTCATTCAAATCGTAGTGTGGCCCTACTGTGTGGGGCCGTGGCAAATGCTTGTTCCGGAAGTTGTTGTATCCGGTATACAACCTCTACTCGTATACCTCGCCGTCCAGATCGACTTCCTGAACATCAATCATCCCGCTTCAGAGCTAGTTCTTCTCGGTGATTTCAATGCCCTTAATGAGCTTTGGTTGGGCTCAAAGAAGACCGACGCAGCAGGTCGTGCAGTCGAAGCATTCACAAGGGCTGACTCAGCTGGTGATGAGCCCTACTTTTTTCCCCCGGGTCTCTTCACATGCCAGTAGCCTGCTGGATCTCTTTCTGACCACGCATCCTGTCCCTTACAGCACTGCTGTCCTGTCCCCCCTGGGTAACTCAGACCACGGTGTTGTGGAGGTTAGGTTTCGGTCAGAACTTCTCACACAGTAGCCGTCAGGATGTAACTATTGTATTCAACTCAAAGGCCAAGGCGGAAGTGCTAGCCAAGATCTTTGCTGCCAACGCCCAAGTGCCGTCAATTCAAAGGGTTCCCTACATTATGCGGGAGGTAACATTCAGGCATAAGACCGTAAGACAAGTGTAGTACCTATGGTTTCCGGCACCAAGGATCCACAGGGGACCTCCTAGCTTACGTTACTCAATTGTGGAGTAAACTCATCCAGTCATATGGTGAGGCTCATGTCGTTGCTCTTGACATCACGAAAGCGTTCGATCAGCTGTGGCACGCTGCCCTCTTAAGCAAACTTCCATCCTATGGCCTCCCAGAAAAGCTTTGCAGATGGGTGGCTGACTTTATCTCTGACCGCAAGATATCCGTCGTAATTGACGGGTTCTCCTCTTCATCCCACAACGTCAACGCGGGTATTCCCCAGGGATCGCTCTTGGCTCCCACACTGTTTCTCTTACATATCAACGACCTCCTTTCCTGCACGATCAACCCAAACCACAGCTTCGCTAATGACAGCACTCTACATGCAGAAATTCAGAGTGACAAGCCGATCTCTGTCGCTGAGTTGGAAAAAGAAGACTAGCGATGACTTCTTCTCTGATAAGAGACCTGGAGGCTATCACTGCTTGGGGACGCAATAATAATCTTATACAGTTCAATGCTTCCAAAACGCAAGACTGTACTCTGACGAACAAAAAGCGTCCCTGCGCTCACCCGGTTTCGATGGATGGTCGAGTTCTGCCAAAGAGCCATTCATTTCGGCTGGTCGGAGTCCAGATCACCGAGGACCTGATCTGGCACGAACACATCTCGTCAATAGCTGCAGCCGCTAGGAAAAAGCTAGGCTATTTGTTTAGGGCTAAGAAGTACTTTTCTCCGAATGATCTTCTCACTCTACACAAGGCCCAGATAAGGCCTAGCCTCGAGTATTGCTCACACGTTTGGGGTGCTGCCGCCCCGACTACATTATCCATGCTCGATGCTGTCCAGAGGAGGGCGGTCCGACTGATGGATGACTCTTCTCTAACAGACAGTCTCGGGACTCTTTCGCACCGGCGGGCTGTCGGCGATCTAGCTCTTTTCTACCGTTACACCAATGGGCTTTGCTCCTCAGAGCTCTCTTTTATGATGCCGCCGCGCGATGTACCTGCCAGACAGACCCGCCTGACTTCGGCGTCCCATCCTAACCGTGTCGAACTTACTACATCCAGAACCGGCCGATACGACCGGCCCTTTGTCCCGAGGGTGTCGAGATTGTGGAACAATCTACAAGAGGAAGCTTTTCCCAGTTCTATTAACCTTAGGCAGTTCAAAAATCGTATTAATAAAATTTCTTTGGGATCATCATAGCAGCCGCGGTGTTCCGGCATTTAGGCTTCTTCCTGCGCGGCTGCTTCGATATAAAAAAAAATATCAGTTTCAAAAATATCTGAAAGAATGTGTTAAAAATAAAATGTTGACGCCATCTAACGGACAAATTAAGCACTTTTGCATAGAGGTAAATTATGTGCAAACGACATATCTTGAATCTAAAAATATATGGTACTCCTATATAATGTAGCATATTTCTAAAACAAATTCATTTTAATTTTTGTTTAAATAGAAATCTTACTTGTTAAATGTTTTTCTTATAGAGAGGTCTTACCTGAATAATGTGCAGGTCAGTCCCGCATATTCCAGCAAAGGCTACTCTGATCAAAACTTCATTGGGCTTTTCTACTTTGGGTACTGGAACTTTGACCAACTCCAATTTTTTCGACTTTGCTGTAAAATTGATAGCCTCCATCTTTCGTGTGTGCGTTTCTATTAAATCTGCAGCATTCGCTTGAAAATACTTATTTATCTCGAGACCCAAGGGTCACATTCACAACTCCCGGTTTTATCAAAATAACTAGTAATGTTTCGTGATTATATCGCTGTAAACAATACTGTATGCAACAAAAATATAACAGCACCGCAGGGTTATCGTATATGTCAAAAAAGCGATAAAATGTCAACTTGTTGACTAAGTAGGCTAGTGGTCAAATAGTTTATTCCGCGCTTGCTTCCAATGAGCTTGCAGTGGACGACTGCTAGTTCCAAGTTGGAAAACCTACATAATGTCAAAAAACGATATAATGACACTTCACGTAATAGCCCTGCCGCTTATTATACTTTAATGCATACCACATAATTATAATGAGTATATAACAGGTTTATGGAAAGTCCTAACAAGTGAAGTTGGTAGGCTTTATTATTTAGATTCTTGATAATGCGTAATTTGTATTTGTGATCGTTTTACAACAGGTTTCCTTGACAATCAAGTCTCGGCTGCTTTCATGGGATAATGCGCTGTTGCTACAATTTTTTTACCTCAAAAGCTAGCGAAATTAAGACTCGTGATTTTAAAAAAATACATGTTCGAAGAACGAATGAATGAACACAGATATTGCTCTGATTGAAACGGGTTACAAAAGCACAGTTAATGAGTTTCACTTGAAGTCTTATACAGAAAAAAACAAATTTTCTGACGGCTTGAGTTAAGTATAAGTAGTCCTTTATTTAGAAAAATATCCTAATTTCAACAACAACAACAACAACAACAACTGGTAGCATTAAAGCATTTCACAAGTACATACATATATATTCAAATATAATAAATTTAACAAATTCTGTCAGATCTTATGTGTTTGGTAAGTGCTTTCTTGTTACACCCGACTGAGTCGGCGTTTTTATTAGCATATTTGTTTTATTTACATGGAAATGAGTACACATCCTAGTGTTATATGAATGGATCTCATTATTTGGGCGTAGATGAGCACCTAAATAATTAAGTAATGTTCCCTTCTCAATTTTATAAATAAATAGCATTGTTGTTAAATAAAGATGTTGATTCACCGATAACCACTGTAGAATATCCAGCATATATTCAGTTCTTGTGTACCTAGAGCACTGTAAAATTATCCGCAATCCCCTATTTTGAAGTTTTTGTAAGGTGCCTATTTTGTTCTTGCTCAAGAAATATAATAATGATGAACAGTACTGAAAATGAGGTTTTATTATTGTATTGTAAACCGTAATTCTCGCAAACATTGATAGCTGTTTAGAAACTTTTGAAAAAAAATAGTTTCTTTGAAATTTTTTTAATAATATAGTCACTATTAAAGTTTAGGTTTTTATCCAACATAAATCCAAGGTATTTTATTGTATCAACTATATCAAGAACTGTCTTTTCAATTTTAATTTGGATATTAGCTTTTATTATATTCTTGTTTTTACTTCTGCTTGATATTACCATTGCTTTTGATTTTTGAGTGTTCAACTTCAATTTGTTCATTTTTAAATATGTATAAATGTTTGCAAGGTCACGGTTCACAATATGGATAGCCTCATTCAGATTTTTGCAGGCTGAGTATACAAGTGTGTCATCGGCAAATAGATTTATGGAGCTACTTCTCTGAACAAGTTCCATAACATTCAAATATATTATAAAAAAATAATGGCCCCAAAACACTACCCTGAGGAACTCCAAGACGTACAGAAATGGTTTCGGAGATAGAAGGACCAATCTTAGTCCTTTGACCTCTGTCACTCAAGTAACTAATTATCCATCTCAGGACAGTGCCTCCAATTCCACATTGTTTTAATTTATCTATCAATATTCGTCTATCTATTGTTTCAAATGCTCTTTTGAAATCAAGGAAGACTGCAATTACATAGTTATTGTCATCAATAAGTTTCATCCAATCAGTTACTGTAATTTGAAGAGCAGTTTCACAAGAGTGATCTTTTCTGAAGCCCGATTGCTTAGCTATGAGGAGATTATTGGTTACAAAATATTCAACAATTTGTTTATGGGCACATGTTTCCAAAAGTTTTTCAAGAGGTGGCACAGTATTTATAGGTCTAAAATCAGATACTTCTATGGAATTTGGTACTTTAGGGATGGGCGTAACTGTGCTTACTTTTAATGCATCCGGGAAAACTCCATAAGCTAGTGAAGTGTTGATAAAATTCAAGATTACATGACCAATCTAGTGCAAAGTATTTTTAAGAAGCTTAGTATTCAAAATATCTTCACCGTATGTTTTATTTTCAAATTAAAGTATAATTTCTTTCAAGTCATCGAATGATATGGATCTAAATTGCAGGAACGTAGCTGCATCACAAGATAGATCATTATCCACGTATATAATATCAGACTGAATACTTTTTACAATGTCACAAACACTGCTAACAATGTAAAGGTTGAAATTATCAGCTATTTCCACTTCACATCTGGAAATAACTTTTTGGTCATTCAGGTAAAAAATTATTCTATCGAAAGTAGTAGCTCCTACCGACTTTATTAAAGATTTCAATGTTTTCCGCATAGTTTTGGGGTTACCTTTATTGTGATCAATTTTTTCTTCAAAATATTGTCTTTTTTTCATTTTTAACAAGTTAACATATTCATTTCTGAACATCTTGTATTTCTCCCACTGATTATCTTTGTCAATTGGGTGACCACTTTTCCTAAATTGTTTGTAGGCAAGATCTCGCTCCCTAGCTTTATTTTTGACTTCAATATCGTAGTAGGGAACCTGGTCACCTCTCACTGACAACGAGAGCTTAGATGAATTTGCATTGACTGCCTTAGTTATATTCGCCCGTAAATTCTCATAAATTTCATTAACATTAATACTAGTCGTTGACCAGTCACAAAACAACAAGTCTATGTTTTTTTTAGTAATTCCTCGTCTTTTAAATTTCTTATTTCAACCGTTTTGACTGTTTTGCTAGCAATATTTGAAAAGACACTAACAGATACAATAGAATGATCCGACAAGTTTGGTTGATCATGCACCTTAGACTCAATGAAACAACATAATCTATCAAAGACATGCTCATATCAGTTACCCTTGTATAGTCAGTGACCGACTGATCAACCCCATAAACATCAAATAAACGATGAATTTTGTTGGTATAGAAATGTTTTTCATCTTTAAAATCTATATTTATATCCCCTACTAAAATGCATTTACTCACAGAGAAGTAATCATCTAAAACCTCTTCCAACACATCAATAAAACAAAACCAATAATTCGGATGACTAATGATTTTCCTTTCGACTTTATATTCAATTCCATCTCTAATATAAAAGACAGTTCCTCCTGTGTGCCTGCTGCTACTATCTCAACGTACTAGTTGGTAACATCTGATAGTTAGCTCTGAATCCTCAATATCTTCGGTAATTTTTGCCTCACTAAGTATAAGAATAGCTGGCTTATAACAGATAACTTCTGCATTTATTATGTCAATTTTTGGTAATAAGCTTTCTATGTTGAGGTATATGATATCTTGATTATGTAAAACATGCTTTGAAACATTAAATAGCTGTGTGGGCAGTTTTTTTATGTGTGAAAATCCTTTGGCGCATCATGAAAGGCGTCTTCATCCCAAAAGCGCTGACCTTTCAAAAAATTAAACCTTTCAAAAGTAACTCCCTGAGGCTAGAAGTTGGGTTCATACACTGTCTCCTTGAGCAATTGATCAACACCAACTGGAAAACATTTGTTATTCGAGCTACGGTAATATGTAGCAACCTCTTTAACTTGTTTTTTTGTTTCATCTGAACTTAGCTTTGTTGCAATAAATCTCTTAACGTTTTCAGTATTAGTAGAGTCACTAACACGCTTAATGAAAATCTAAATTTTCTTATCTTTATTTAGTGCTGATCCAATGAATCCAAAGTCTTGTCCATCTGGATTATTCCCTATTTTAGGAGGTGCTCTATTACTCCTCTTACGTTTGGCTACTTGGAATCCATCATCATTTTTGCCCACTTCTTCATACGTATTACCTCTGACCTGGTTTTCTTTAGCAAAATTTTCTTGTGCTTTTTTTGTACTATCTGAGTTTATACAAATTAAATTTTCCATAGTGGTTCTTTGTTTTTCTTCAAGCACTTCAACGCTTTGTTGATTGTTTGGACTTGGTGATCTTTTTGAAATCGGCTTATTGGCATTAATTTTTTTTGAATATGTGCTTTTGGCAGCTGAGGTCGACGGCTTATAGATGTCAGAATTCTCCATAGTAACATAATGAGTTCAATGAGTATGGGAGAGAAGCGCAAAAAGTGCGTATCAGCACATGTTAGAAAAAGATAGAATCTGGCTGAAGAGCGAAGGTCATCATCATACTGCCTAGCAACAGTGACACAGGAGGCCATGCAATCTGCCGCGTTGCCAACATGTTTCACCAGAAAATGTTCGTACAGGCTTCTACAATAGGTTAGGTTACTGTCAAACCCAAGAAGGAGGTCTTTTTTTATACTCCAACTACCACGAAGGCCTAAGGCCTAAGCACCCATTGGGTACCGAGGGGCTATAGAGGGATATATGGGAAAGGGGGGGGGACGCCACACGGACTCTGGCGAAGGAACACGTGTACATGCAACATGCACGCATTCTGGCTCCGCCTACGAGAACCGCAGGGTGGTACCTCCGCGTTCGACAGTCAGAGACCATCTATCACCTACGGACAATCACAACATCCATAGCCAAGAGAAAAATTTCTCCTGGGACGGGACTCGAACCCGCACAGCGCACGGCGACTGATCAGGAGACCGAAGAGTCTACTACTGCGGCCACCGCTGCTGCCTGTCTGTTCATTTAATTTAATATTTCGTTTTCATTTTGATTATAATTATTTATTTCAATTTTGATGCGACTTGATGTTCCAATTTATTTCAGAGTTATCTTTGATTTCCACCGATGGTGATAAAATCAACACATCTTGAGTTATTGTTACATTTTGCGCAATACAAATTATCATTGCCTGCGTGTACGCAGATGGAAACATTTCCGAAGAAGGACGACACTCCCCAATGAACGCTAGATTGGTAATGATAAAAATGGCGCATCTATGACCATGCGGGTGGAAACCTTGCCTTGGAACTTACGAGATGCGATTTCGACCTAAAATGGAGCGGCGTTCGGACCTATCCAGAAGCGATCCTAAACAGATTCGACACAATTCACAGTTCAAAAATGAGCACTTTTATAATAAAACCATTATTTGGGCTTAGAGAATAAGCTAACGCATATTTTCAACATGCATCTTAATTTAAGGAACTGGTGTTACATATTGGCAACGCGGCAGATTTGGCTATAATATCCCAGGGGTAAGGATATTTTACCCTGAGGTGTAGTAAACGATTGATAGTCAAAAATCGTTATCGTTTCTCGAAAAATAAGGTTATCTAAGGCTTTATTATTTTCGCCGACAAATTAAAAATCAACCGTTGTCTGTCTTTAGTGGTGAGATCAGATCAGGTACTCTACTTTGTCGATCAAACAAAGCATGCTTACAATTAGTGTAAAAGTAGCTAAATTAAAACATCATCCAATTGAAAATCACGTCAAGAACGCTGTCATCGCTGCCTAAAGGATTATGTTCAGTAAAAGTTAGTCTTTCTGAGAAAAAAGTTAGCTACGAACAATTTTAGCCCACATAAATATGCGCGAAAAACGTGACTGTCATTTTGGTACAGTCTGCTAAAAAAACGCTAGCTGTCTTGTTTCGACCTATCCCGGTTGACTGTATTACTGCCGATATTGCGCCCCTTCACAGTCAACGCGCAAATTGAAAAGTGGCGCGCACGCGTATTCCGCCACAGGAAAAGGGGAAAGTGAAAACTGTTCGGAATAATTTGACGATTACGTATTACAGCTTTTTGGTTGTGTTTTATGATTCTACTTGTGACATTTTTGTGATATGTCTATATGGACGGATTTATTCTCGATGTTTGTGGGGATTAAAAATTAGAGGTCAGGGGTTGCAGAGATTGATGATGGGCGACTTGAGATAAAGTGTGATGTGGAACGAAATTGTAAATGATTTTCTTAATTTTTATATGATTTGGAAGACACTTTCATTTGATGATAATAGAGATATTTCTGTTCACAAAATCATTAGGTATTCCATTACATGGGGCCATAGTGGAACCATTAAGATTTTTAAACATTTCCTGCTTTTTTCTTACCTTTTTAGACCGATTTTTACAAACTACAAAGTGTATTAGTCGTTGTTATACTAGTAACCTTGTGTGAAAATTGTATCAATGTTCTAGCAGTTCTCTCAAGTTATAGACGGGCCAAGGATTAGCGGACAGACGACAACCAGACAGACGACAGTTCGACAGACAGATCGACGGAAATGAGTAACATTTGTCATGATGTGCATGTTATACAACATCCAAAAAACATATATCATTTTCGCGATTACAATACTTCCCAGGCGTGATAAGCAAAAATCGAAATGGATTCATTTAGGAAACAGACATTAATTTGTTTCAATAATAAAACAAAAAAATATTTATTCAACTAAAAAGCTGCAACACATTATTCTAAGTTATGTTGAAATAAATCGGTTTTTCTTAACCTGTAAACGAAACCTTTCGAAGTACCTTTGCACAATTTTGTTACGTTCTTCCGTCTTGAACGATCCTTTATCAAATTCTCGGACCTCAATAAATGACACTTAAGCAATATAAACTCCTCTGGTCAACTCAGTAATATATTAGTAACTACAAATCTCGAAGCAGCTTTTGAACTTGGCAACAGCTAATTTCACAACTTGCTGTTATCAGTTCAACCAAAACTAATACTATGATGCAACTTTAGACTGATATGCATTTTGTAAATAGACATGTCAGCACGATATTCTAACAGAACACGTAAATATCATTTATAAAACATCTCAATTTGTTGATAGTTTGAATACGTCACGGACGTTTAACAGCGACAACATTATCGATGTAACCTTTCGTTGTTAGGAAAAGTGTGTTGTTTTGTCTCTTTTAATAATGCAATCTCTAATGGTCATTCCTAAAACAAAGAAGTTTGAGTTAGTGCAAAGGTCAATCCCAAAAGTTTCCGGACCAGACCACGTTTTGATAAAGGTTGCCTATGCTGGGTTCTACGAAAGTGACCTACAATTGCTTGAGGTTTGTACTAATTATGCAGGATACTAATTTTAATAAATAACCTATTTTGTCAAAAATTAACAGAAATCTACTGACGAGCAGAAACTTATGTCCTTTCGACATGAAATAACTGGTATTATTGTGGACATAGGAAACCATGTAACACTTTTTAAAAAAGGCGACGAGGTTGTTGTAGGCCCAAATGCGTAAGTCTGTTTCGACTATTTTCACACAAAATTATTGATTTTTACTTCCTATACCAAAACTGGCTTGGAAGTACAGTTGTCCCTTGATAATCCGATAGGTATGGCACCGGGTGGGTGTCGGATTACCGAAAATGTCGGATTATCAAGAATGGTTGTTTCTTAATACATTTGATCAAGGAAAAATAGTCTATGATTATTATTTTCGACTGCAGTAGTATTAATAACTATATATTAAGTATTTAGGACAATATAAAAACACGATGAAATTAAAAGTATTAAATAGTGCATATATGTAATTTATTACATATGTACAAAACTAGGTAATACATACAATGATGGTAAAATATTTCAAACAAAATACGGTTCTTACGCAGACAGTCCTCCATTGCTTGTTCTTGAGTCCCTTTTAACATCAAAATGTTTGAAAAATTTAATTCTCTCGCACCAACGAAGCCAAGTATTGGCTGCTGATACCGCTTCATCACAGCTGATAGTGAAGTTTTTCTCCGGCACTGCCTCCTCGACCACGTCGTAATGTACTGTCGTGACTTCCTGGATTATTTCTGCGTCTGTCACATCATCAGCAAGGTTGTACTCAATAATCCATGTTCTGAATTCTAAATTGGTTCTTGCGCAAGTTTCTCTCCGTTACAAATTTCAAGTGCAGCCTCTAAAATAGGTTCAGAATCGCTGTTAGATACGGTGTTGCATGTTGTAAGATGTGGGTTCTTGGGCCAAATATTTTTCCAAGATTTTATCAGGGTCATGCTTTTACTTGCTGCCAAGCAAATGCGGCATTCAAAATAGCATCCTTAATATTGAAGGCGGCGTCGGATTACCGAGTACGTCGGATTAGAAAGTGTCGGATTATCGAGGAACAACTGTATTGAAATCGCGAAAAATTTCGAAATTGAGATTATGTTTTTTGGATCTTATATGTGCATCACAAAAAACCATCTCAGTCATTTTCGTTGGTCTGTCTGTCTGTCGGTCTGCCCGCAAATTTTATAACGGCCTATAATTTTCGAAGTATTGCTCGGATTTTGGTGGAATTGACGTTTCAGAGCTTCCTGATCATTTTCGAAAATGTTTTGTAGAGGTTGAAACTTGGGAATTGGTGGTTATATGGGTAAGGGTTGGGAGGTTATAGGGGTAGGGTTTTGTAAATGTAACATCTTTAGTATTAGTCAAAGACATTCTATCATTAAGAAGCATCTGATCCCGGTAATAACGGGAAAATTAAATGATAAAATTCCGATGTGTAACGTGCTCAAAATTCCAAATAAGTAGGCAATCGCTGGCGTTGTGTACAGGGTGCAATGCATCGTAGTGGAGGCAACTGCCGACTGTGTAGTGTGTAACAAACTCGAACTGGTCTGTGATGGTGTCGTCACTGACACACCGCTAGAAGAAAAAACATATTTATTTATATATATATGTATACAGGGTGTCCGCAAAGTTGGGGTTTTCCTTTTCAGAAACAACTACCCTTGAAATAACAAGGGTAATGTGTAGTGAAACGAGGGCGACCAAGTAAAAAAAAAGGAAAAAGTACTCACTCTCCAGTTGACGAGAAGGGCTAAGTACGTCTCTGACCGAAATCATACCGCTCCAACAGAAAATGAAATCAGCTGATACGCTACCGAGCAGACGCAGGCAAACAAGGTAAAAAGTCTAGGTATTGCATCCCGTCCAATCGATTTGGGAGAATAAATGGTCCAATGAGCATACCGTTCACCATGCCAGCCCAAACATTCACCGAAAATGTTTGCTGAAAATGTGCCCGACGGACAGCGTGCGGATTTTCTACTGACCAAACATGAGTGTTGCGATAGTTATTCACCCCATTACGCGTGAACGTAGATTCGTCTGTCACCAATATGCACTTCAAAAAGTCCGGATTATTGTCATGTTGATGCAACAACCACTCACAAAACCGCACTCTTGCTGGGGTTTGTACACGTTGGACGTGAAACGGATACAGCCCCTCTTCACGCAGCGTTTGCCACACTTTAGTTTTTGATACTTGCACTTCTCTAGCCACGTCTCTAGTGCTTGTTGAGGGATTCTCGTCTACGCGATTACCTCTACACGCGTGACCGTAACCGGCGGTTGAAGGTTGCATACTGACCTGACACACTGACCCCGACCCAGTTCTGTCGTCGGGTTGAGCCAGTGACCTTGTACCAGTCGGTGATGTCGCGGCTACAGGACGGTATTCAGATATTTCTGATGTTGCAGAGCCCTTTATCTCGGTTCCCTTAAGACATTGGTGTATATGGTACTAAGAAAAATTGCTTATGTTTTCAAGATCTACACGTCGTGTAAAGGAAAACCCCAACTTTGCGGACACCCTGTATATATATATATACAATGTTAGCAATATTTGTATATTATCGTAGTACGTACCTACCACTTTAGCGTTCTGCGTTGCTTTTGTAAATGATGACAACTGACTTTATATCTACTCATAGATTTTTCTGAATTTGATGGTCCATAAGTGTACACCCTTTTTATCTAACTTTTAATTTGTGTTACTCCGTCAATGATGGTTTTCTGAATATTTCGTCAAGTAGGTTGACTCAGTACTTATGACGCGTTGATATATAACTGACGCGGTCTGATAAACCAACATTTATGAAAAACACAGTCTTGTGTGATGCAGATATCTTTAAGCAATAGAAAACTTATGAACCGAAGTTCGGATATTATCGCAAGCTTAATACTTTCATCATTTAGGTAGTTGTAGATTTTGAAAATTGATCCAGAGGTGGTGGAAATAAAATCTCTGGAACATAGTATTAGGTACTACATTTCAGAGATTCCTGCTCTTTTCAGATATTGTTTGAATGGGATGAAAATTGTAGGTTGGAAGCTGAATACGGTAAATGGGTGTAAATTGTTGCATATTCGGTGCCAATGAAATACCTTCTATTATTAAGAAGCCGCTGATTTCAGTGATACGATGCACCTGTTAGACATAATAAGTCACATATCACACATCTATATATTATATAGTTTGATTTGCAGAGGTCAAAGATTCATCGTACCTAAGTGAACCGACCTAATCATGATTCGATTTCAGCTTTTGAAACGATTTGACAAATTCCGTTTCTTTGAAATCTACAAGGCGCAGGAAGTATGTAATCAATCTACTTGACGCAATTCTTTTTTTTTGTAGAGGATGTGGATGCTGTAATTTTTGTCGGTCGGGTAAACCGCATTTTTGCTCAATGGAAAATGACAGTACTATCGGTATTTGGGCAACTTTTATCGTTGCACCAGTTAACAGAATTCATAAAGTGCCTGAAAATGTTTCTTTACAACAAGGTAGGCATAATATCTTAACTAAAACGCTTGAATTAGAAACAGGGAACCCCTCAGGGCTTTTACGAAGAAACCTATATAATCCAGAAAAAAAGGGAAAAAATGTCAATTTTGTGAACAGATATCTGCATAGTTTGAAAGTAGTTTATTCCGCGTTTGCTCGGTGAGAGCGTCACTTATCTAGGAATGACTCAATGGCCATGCAGCAAATCAGTTCACCAGCATGCTTCGTTTTTTTTTTTTGTAGAACTCCGAGGTAGTCTGTTAAAAAATGACAGAAAGGAAATTGGTTGAGTTGCAGAGTAGCAAGATTGCATCTGGATGGTTATGTGTATTAGTCGCATGAGTATAAAATCAGTGATATTTCCTGTATCAGATAATTATTAGAAGAGAAGGTGTAAATATGGAATACCCTTTTTTTATTCACTCCTATTTTAAAAAGTATGATCAGAATTATGCCAAATTTGGGGAACGGGTACTCAAAGGATGAAGACACATGAATATAAACTCAAAAGTGTAATTCTCTCAAAAAAAAATGTACAAAAAATAGTTTGAAAAAAAGTCGAAAATCACCACCTGAGAAAAGGTGGTGCAAATATGGAATACCTTAACTAAGCTAGAATATAATGCATATTTTTACAGTTTACTTGCACCAATCGCAAATATATTCGTCATTTTCGGTCCCAGCACTCTCGTTATGTGCCCACATTGAGCACATCAAACATTGCACCCATAATTCTCCTCTCTGATCAGCAGAAAACGCAGCCTGACAAAACATGCATGAAGCATCATCCTCATTGGGTTTTGTATGCCCTGGCATACTCTCTAGATCACTGTCAGTCATCAAGTCTTACATCTTCGGAACTTTCAGTTTCATCAGAAGAAACTTCGTTCTTTGGACGTTTTAATGTGGTCTGGATTTTAGGTTTTACGATCTTTGGTTTTGGTTTTTTAGGATTTCTTTTTGGTTTTAAAGATTTTCCTGAGGACAAGTTTCTTTTAATGCCACAAACTTTTGCCTCTTTTTCAGTTTTCTTATTTATTGACTCATTTAGTTCATCTTTGTATGGTGACGAGGTAATCACAGCCGAACCCATTGCCTTACGTCCTCTGTTAGTTTTTTTGCGGATTGTGTTTGGAACTGGAGATATGTCAAACGGTGAAACGAATTCCTTTGTTATAGTGTCGTCAGCTTTTGAGTCAGAGCTTTGCTCTTTTTCTTGGTCAATCGTCTGAGTTCTGATTGGCACATTATCTTCGCATGAGGTTTTAGAGCGTGAAGGTTGATCGATATCGATAGGCTCGACCCAATCTTTAGAGCAGGATGGTTTGTTAACGTCAACAGAAGCAGTGGTTTTAAGGTTTTCAATGCCAACGGTAATTCCTCTTTTTGCTGCTTCTTGTTCTGCAGCAATATAGTCAGCATTAGTAAAAACGTTTCCGTTAAAAGGGCAGATTCCAGTGACGCGAAAACCATTTGCCGCTATTGAGTAAGTCTGAACTTTTTCATAAGCTCTACCAAATAACTCCATAATGTCAAAAGGGCTCAGAGCCCGTTGGTTTTGGCGGATCCAAATACGAATCTCTTCACTGTAATAGACTTTCAATGGGCCCATCAATGACTTATCCAACGGTTGGAGTTTGTGTGTAGAGTGAGGAGGTAGACACAAAATAGTGACAAAATTTTCTCTTGCAAGATCAATAATTTCAATATAGCGCGTGTGGCTGTAATGACCGTCAAGAATTAGCAGGATATGGTTCTCTTTAGTTGGTTTAACGTATTGGATAAAGTGACGAAACCACTGGGTGAAAATATGGCATTGTACCCAACCGGATGGATGTGCAACTCCTATGGACCCAGGAGGAGCTCCTTTCATTAGCTGCATGTTCATATTTTTTCTAGGAAAAATAACTAAAGAAGGGACAAAGTTTCCAGCAGCACTCATACAAGAAATGACTGTAATCAAAGCCCCTCGCTCTGCAGATATTAATGAAGCAATTTGGCGTTTCCCTTTAAGTCCTACCACTTTTGATACTCTACTTTGGACAATCGTTAGGCCTGTTTCGTCTACGTTATACACGTTGTGTGGCGAGTAAGGCATTTGTCTTTCCAGGAGGTCAAAAAAGCCATCCACCCTTTCCTTACAGAATCCTGCAGCTCTTGCAAAAGACGTACCCGTTGGCTTCCTTATTGACAATTCTGGATGCCGCTTCAAGAACAAATCAATCCACGCTCTGCCTGCAGCTCCTGATGGAGAAAATGGATGTTTAATTTTATTTCTTGCTGCCAACTGATAAGCCATGCGCCTCACGTCTTGGGATGTAAGGCCATAAAATTTGGACTCCATAGCTAAGATATAATCCACTAGTTCCTTCTCTAGCTTTGAACCCAGAATACATTTTCTTCCCAGCTTTGTTACTGCAGCACTCTCTGGAGTAACTGTGCCATCTCTACTAAGGCGAAAAAGCGTTGTTCGTGGAACGTTAAAGGATCTGGCTGCCTTGAGATATCCCATTGTTTTTTCTCTAACTGCCTTGATAGCTCTAGCCATGTCTTGTTCATTGTATTGCTTCCGTTTTTTAGGACTGGAAGGTCGACGATCTGTACGTCGAGGCATCCTAAAAAAATAATAAACTTGAAAATACATTGAAAAAAAAAGTTGTGTAAATATGGAATACCAGTATTCCATATTACCAACACTATACGTTTTCAATATTGGAGGTTATATCTAATCTATCAAAACAAAAACTTCAACAGACACAACGGCATCTTAAACTTTAGTTCATGTAGACTGTCAACGTACAGAATATTTAAATAAAATCATGTAATAAAAAAAACTACGCTTAAATAATGACTTACTTGAATAAAGTTCGAGGGTGCGTAAAACACAGGTGCACGTGTAACAAACAAAAACAAACTGAAATCTGCGCCCTGCAGTGTTCGGGTAATAAAGGATGATAAAATTCGTAAGTTAAACCGTATTTAGATAGAGGGCGGCACTTGGTTTTTTCAAAACCTTGGTATTCCAAAATTATACCATATTCCATATTTACACCTTCTCCTCTACTGAATATGCTGGACATGAAGTACATCTATTAGCTGTACCAGCCAGGCTATTTATGTCGTACTTTCTGAAAAGACGTCCTGTTCAAAGTTATAAATTACGCTTTTCTCGGTTTTTTGCGTTTTCAAAGACATTGAAAATCATTACTTCAATCACCACCGCACCCGCGTTGGGTGCAATTAGGCCATGACAGAAAAAATAGAAATGACGCATCACACACAAAACTTTTTCGCAGTATACTTCACCAACCAGGGATTTTCTTTTTTTATCTCTCTCATTTTTGTAATGTAGCAAATTTGCATAGGTATATAAGTATATAAGTTCTATGATATGACATCTCAGGTAAGTATATTTGAGACAAGAATTAATATTAACATAGATTATTATTGGCACACAAATCCTCTAAGCACCTATGCACTGCCGTAGCGCCCGTTTTCTTCTAGCTGTAGTTATACTATTTACAGCTTACACCTCCAATAATGCATCTCTGAAGCAGATGTTACGTCACATCAGAACTAAACCAGCGTCATGACGTTTAGGCAAAAAGAACATCAGCTACACAACGGGTGCACATTAAATAAACAACAGACTCATCTACAACTAGTTCCAAGTAGACGTCGTATTGGAAAACCTGCATGATGTCACAAAAAACCTATATAATGTCAAAAAACCGACATAGTATCACTTTTCAAGACACGTTATTACGTAAAAAACCTATACAGTGTCAAAAAACACGATAAAATGTCAATTCAAGTAGGCTAGTGTGTAAATAGTTCATTCTGCGTTTGCTACAAATGAACATGAAGTGAACGACAGCTAGTTCCAAGTTAAGTAGACAAACCTACATAATGTCATAAAAAACCTACATAATCTCAAAAAAGCCGACATAATGTCACTTTTCAAGTTACGTAATACCCCTGCCGGTTCTCTTTGAGACGAGCGTTTTATCATTTCCTAGCTTGAATGAATGTTTGCTTTTTCTGAGGATAATATTTTTGTTACGGTATATTTTCAGTGATATTGGCAAAACATTTGTCGCATTTGGTGAATGGTTGGGACATCGCAGGTCCTATCACAATTAGTATGAACATTCTTATAACTGGAGCTGGAATCTTAGGAACTCTTTGGGCGTGTATGCTTCACCACCAAGGTTACAGAAACGTCACAATATCGGACGATAATCAGAAAAAACTGAATGTTCTGAGGAAAATGAGTGAGTACTTTTTGTCAAATATCAGTATACTTATCCTTACCAACATAATAAAAAAGGTACAGTTTCGTATATCCTGCTATACCAAAAAAAAACATTTAGACAATAGTACGAGTACGTCATTGTAACTCTTAAGCGTTGTTCTATTTTTCTAAATAATCCCCATTCCGGTCGATGCGTTTTTGTGGACCATGTCATAACAACTCACCACCTGAACCTAGTCACAATTAAGAGTCAGATTTATAGACATTCCTTGGGGTTTGAGGCTTCCTTAGAAACAAATAATCTCCCCTTGAAACAGTGAAAGAATGACACTTCCTTGAGGAACGATCAATTCGGCCGTATCTATTCGGCGTTTTGATCATAAACTTGGAACGATTTGGTTTATTTGTGCTAAATATCAATGTACAATGCAAAATAATAATGTTTTGCTTCCTCGAATTACAGAGTCACGATCTTACTGAAATTCACAATTAACCGATTTTTTAAACACCATCAAATTCTATCGGAATCGTTCTACCTTTTCAGCTGAAATTACTGTGCATGTATCATATCGGCATATAGGAATGATTTACCTTCTCTGATGTGTTGAGGTAGATCTTTTAGAAACAAAAGAAAAATTGGTCCCAAGACACTGCCTTGGGATGTCCTATAGTCGATATCAAATTCTTCAAACTTTCCCTCTCGAACTTCGAAAAAAAATCGTCGTTTTTCCTATACTATGAAGTTCGTCAGATTTAAATTTGTGTGAGATAGTACCGTATGCACTAGTAAGGTCATAGAAAATTGCTGTTGCGAGCCGCCCATTGTCGATGATATCAAAAATGTATCAACTGTTTTTCAGATACTGGATTCAGCTTAATCACATGGGACAAGCTGAAAGAGAACCAGAAAACCACGCCAAATAATTACTTTGACCTAGTGATAGAATCTTCTGGAGATCCTTCAGTTATGGAACTTGCACTAAGTCTATTGCAAAAAGGCGGGAAACTGTGCTGTTGTCAAATGGCTTCGCCAAATGTTGAATGTTGGTTTGTAAATTCAGATAAGCCGAGAAATATGCTAATGTTCCCAACTAATGGAAAATTATAATCATTTGAACTAATTTTTTTTTAGCATGCACCCTTTCGAAGTTTTTATGAGAGAGCTAAGCATATTTGGTGTACATGAAAACTGCTTCTCATTCCAAATGGCTATCAAGTTGATAGGAGCAATGGAAAACAGGTATAAATACACTCACATTGAGAACCATCAACGCAATTTTATCCAACGTTTTACATTGAAAAACAATTGACTAAACTTATTGACCGAATATTTACGACATTATTTTATTATAGGTATTTGAATTATGACAGCTTAAAAATAAAAATATTCCCTTTGAAGCAATATCAAGAAGCTGTAGAGGCTATCAAACGAGGGACTGTATCAAAAGTTGTATTTAGTTTGGATTAAGTGACGACTTTTTCATATTGTTAAAATCGAGCGGCTTTGTGTTTTTTCAGGTAGGGTATTTTTGAAAAAGGTGAAGGTAAGGTCTACACTAACGTTGAACCAGGAGTTCAATGGCAACCTTGAAGTATCACTTTCATGGTCAAGTTGTTTCTTCTTTTAATGGAAAGTCCCCTTTTCTGAGGTCACTTCTAGAGGTCTAATGAGAAGCGGGCAGGTCTAGTATACCTACGGACGGCTTGGTTACTGAAGAGTGCTCTGGTACCGGGGTCTTTGGGGGATGGCTAAGGATTCCATGTTTGAGCGCTGCTGGTTAGAGGAAGAGTCCTCCACGCATTTTCTGTATCGCTGTGAGCTACTACTATTAGCAAACATACTTTACCTATAATGAAATTTGACGATGAGGGACAAATGTAGAAATAATAGCAGATTGAATGAATACCTATTTCATAGAACGTGCCAACGAAATTGTAAGATCAATTATTGACGGGGACCCCAACCAATGTTCCATCAGCTCAGATTATAGTGCATCATTCAGTGAGCTTAGAACAATAAACATTAATCGTCTCAAGAGGTTATATCAAAAATAAATTAAATCAAATCAAAATAAGGGTGAGATTTTGTCTAAAAGTGGGCTTAATGAATGTTTTGATATTATTGGAGCAACAAAACTTAAGTCTTCTACCACAACTCCTGTTTCTGAAGTTAAGAAATCTGAATTGTACACCAATATGCGGCCAATAAAATGTTCTGCCAGATTTGAAAAGTCTTTGAAGAAAGTACTTACGAACATTGAGGGAAATAACATTTTAACCAACTTTCAAGCTGGATTCAGGAAGAAACACTCAACTGAAACGGCAACACAAATGGTTTTAGAGGACTGGAGGAGATGTATGGACGATAGGAAACATACAGTAACAGTGTTTTTGGACTTCAAAATGGCGTTTGAGACTATTGACAGGGATCAATTGCTTACAAAATTGCATCACTACGGATTTAAAGGAACTGAATTCAAAATTCTACAAAACTATTTAATTGACAGAAGTCAAAAAACCAAAATTGGATCTACGTTATCAAGATCAAAAAATATTTCTGTTGGTATACCACAAGGTAGTAAACTAGGCCCACTACTATTTATTTTATACATTATTGACATTTGCAATATTTGAGATTATTGTAAAATTCAGATATATGCAGATGATACATTAATGACGTATCAGATGAAAATAGACACTGCTTAAGAAATGCTAAACTCTGACTTGGCAAAAATCATATAAATTGGTTAAATTTGAATAGACTAAAATTGAATACTTCTAAAACAAACTGTATGCTAATAGAGAAATACCTAAATGCAACTACTATCACAGTTAGGATAAATGGTGAAATAATCGAAAATGTTGAATCAATTAAATATTTAGGTATATATATATATATATATACAGGTGTAAAGCTAGTAGTGGATCAACCAAGTCAGGTGATAGAGGGACTCAAAACCTATCGAATGAACCCCTATATGTCTGGATCGTCACTTTATTGCGCGATGTGGTTGCACGACGTCGTTCGCTTTGTCGTGATGCTCGTTGCAATGTTGTTCGTCAAAATGCGCGCGCTGCGGTTCGTCGCGAGTTTCGGTTCGCAGTGTTATTACATAACTGTACATGGCTTAAGAAACGCAATAGAATTCTTATCACCTACACCCGCTCTTTATGGCGATTTACCGACAAATGTAGAAGGTAATTTAAATTAACTAACTTTTAGAGAACATGTTCGAAATGGCTTCCATTATTTTCTATACACAAGCTACACCTTCTAATAAAATTGTCCTTTAGTCTTTGAAATGAATTTGCATTTTCCATAATTTTTATTTTTGCTTCATCAATTTTCTGGCGCAGTTGGTTCACATTTGTATATTCAGATGTATAGATTATCCCCTTATAAAGCCTCCATATAAAAAAATCTAGAGGATTTAAATCGGGTGACCTTGGAGGCCGTCGTATGTGTCCACCTTCACCTATCCAACGTCCAGGAAAGGCACTGTCTACGTAATGCCGTACATCCCATGCAAAGTGGCATGGGGCACCATCGCATTGAAAATACATGCGGCTTCAAACGTCCAAATGTATGTACGTCCTCTAGCAGCTCATGCAAACTGCTTTGTAGAAAAGCAAGATATGACTGACCATTTAACTTGGCGAGCAATTCATATGTCCAGTTAATTTTTTGTTGAGTACTCCAGCCCATAAATTAACGCCGAACTGACGTTGAAAGCTGTGTCGGCGAATAGCGTGTGGATTTTCCACGCTCCATGATTGGAAATTGTGCATGTTGAATATTCTATTTCGGTTAAAGTTGGATTTATCTGTCCATTATATGCTGTCGAAAAAAGTTTCATCCTCTTCGCACCTTCTCAACATATTCTCTCAACATTCAACCCGTTGTGCATAGCCACTTGGAAGCAATTCTTGTTCTTTTTGTACATGGTAAGGAGGCATGTTCTCCATCCCATAAATTAACGCCGATCTGACGTTGAAAGCTGTGTCGGCGAATATCGTGTGGATTTTCCACGCTCCATGACTGGAAATTGTGCATGTTGAATATTCCATTTCGGTTAACGTTAGATTTATCTGTCCATTAGATGCTGTCGAAAAAAGTTTCATCCTCCTCGCACCTTCTCAACATATTCTCACGAAATTCAACCCGTTGTGCATAGTCACTTGGAAACAATTCTTGTTCTTTTTGTACATGGTAAAGAGGCATGTTCTCCAAGCGTAGTATTGTGTGCCCTGAAGTATGGGATATGTTTCTGCTTCGGGCAATGGCTCTGGTGCTTATAGAGTGATCTCTTTCGGCTGCTTCTATTATACATATCTTCTATTTCTTCTGGGCGTATCCTCGGCGCTCCTAGCTAACGATTAGTGCCTAGTATGCGGCCCTCCGTATACGCATTATGGACGCATGGACAGGTAGTCTGGATATACCGCCGGTTATGGACCACCTCTTCTAACCACATACGCCCAATACATGCGAGCAGCTGCTCGAGCATTTCCTAGGGCAGCGCCATAATAGTAATGCATTTCTGCATAATCTCGCGGAAACTATGACATGATTCTACTCAGATGACAAACGTTAGATACAAATTCCACGCTGCACCATTGCCTGACTTAGTAATTTCGGTCGCACCGAAGATTGAACGCTCCCGCACCTGGAATGCCCAAGCTCATTAAGTTGATTTGACTATTTACGTAAAAAATCTGCCATTTTTATTTTACAAAATGTTTTTTTTTGCACTAGGACATTGCGTCCCATTAGCCAGATCCAATCTTGTATGTACGTATATCTCTAATTTTGGACAAACACACAACATCCATGGCTTCGAAATGTGATTTCCGAAGGCGAGATCCGAACTCGCGGCCCGGCCGGCCGGCTGATCAGTAGCACGACACTCTGACCCACCCGGCCAACCGAGGTCCCTTACAAAATGTTAAGACACACAGTATCTCTCGCACTGCTAGTACGAATCTAACAGTACCTCATATGTCAAAATCCATCAAGTCGTTTGGACCGTAGCTCGTAAAATAGAATTTCTTGTTTACATGTATAGATACCCACTTGCGTCAAACATACAGATTTTTTAAGGTGAGGCACTTATCGTAGCAAGCTGAAATGTTCAGGGTTTATTCTACATGGATTGAAATAGTTTTTACAATAAAATTAATAATAAACTGCAACCTCAATGTTTTTACCGCCCTCCAAAGTTGATGGATGGGAGAGATTTTTCACAAAAAAATTAATTTAATTTTTTTTTGCGTTGATTCCTAATAAGCTCTGTTAAAACGTGACATAACCATTGCTAAAACTAACCATTCAGCTGATCTCAGCCCTACACCTAATGGTTTAGTTGTAATTGCAATTGAAAGTTCATTTTCCCGTTTTTTTTTTCTCTCGAAATTTCACAAATATGAGGTTCATTCGATAGGTTTTGAGGCCCTCTATCACCTGACTTCTGTTGATCCACTACTAACTTCACACCCTGTATATTGATAGTAAAAAAGTTTGAGGATCACTATGGATAAGTTGATTAAAAAATTACCAAAAAAACAAATTACTTTTATAGGGCTTCTCATAGTCTTGGTACATATTCCAAGAAATAGTTTATGGCACAATTTATTATTCTACCGCATTTACTATATTGTTCATCTTGTTCACTGCCAATGAAGCTGTATTCTCAAAATTACAAGTCCTGCAAAATAAAGCTATGAGAATAATATTGAATAAAAATTAGTACACCAAAATAAAATTTATGTTACAAGAATCGCAGTGGTTGAATATAAAAAATTCATATATTTGGTTCTTATTTTTATATTTAAAATAAAAAATCATCGTTTGCCACAATATTTAGAACACTACATAGAATTGAATAATTATTACCACAATTATTATACAAGAGGAAATATAGATATTCATTTACAACATTGCAATAGTAATATAACTAGCAAATCAATATGTCAGAAAGGATTTATTGAATTTAATATATTTAATGGACAGTGAAAATTATTAGAGATGCAAATTTTGTTTTTTTTTTTCTAAATATCTGTGTTATGTAATTGTTTAGTTTTTTAGAAGAATGTAATTATAGCAATCATGCTAAATAAATCTTAAACAAACAAACAATACCTCAAAGACTTTGTTTGGATCCCAAGAATGTTAAGGAGCTGGAACGAGCCCCCTGCTATAAGGAAGGAGCTTGAGGCTTAGGGAATGTAGGGGTGCAACAGGGCTCGTTTATGTGGTCTATGCTCCGGGTCTTCATGGTGGCCGATATGCCTGTAATTTCTTTATTCGGTCAAACGTCTAATGGAGGCTTCTATACAATATGAAAAATTTCCAGTTCAGCAGGATTGTTGATGAAGAAATCTTCTTTGGTAACTTCTAACAAGGATTACACTGGTGACCTTGATGAATCACGTTAGTCATTTCAAGGTCACATTTTTTAACTAGAAGAATTTTACGTTCTAATAGGTTCCGATTTACTATTATGACCTTAAAGGTAAGGCTCAAGCTTAATACTGAAATCCTTGTTGAAAGTTACTACAGGTCTAACCTTGATTTGTGTCATCAATAAAAATAAAAGAAAATTCTAGGAATGTTCCCTAGCCTCACCATTGGACCTTTAAAGGTGACCTTGATCTCGAACTTTAATACTCATGTCAGAATTTTTCATTCTTCTAATTGTCGATGTCATAAATCTGTCCATTTAGAAAAAAAAAAGTCAATCTTGACATAACCTAGAACGTAAGGCACAAGGTCTTCATGATCAATGTTAGTTCAGACCTGACCTTGCCCTTTTCAAAAATATTTTACTTGGAGTAATACAGTCACTCCCTTACTTTTTTATACTCTGTATAAATTATTTTATTTCACTAAAAGTTTGTTTCCCTAATTTAATCATGCATTTTAGAGGTGGAAGAGCTTCAAACTATCACCACTCTCTCTTTGTAACAGCATGTATGAAATAAAAGACATATCATAAATTACTTTTTTATTAAAAACATATCAACATAACATATTTACATTGCATATCTCCAAGATGTTTCATAATACGCTCGTATCGTTGGTACAATCTCTTGAAAAAAATATCGGAATTTAAGTTCGACGAAAATTCAGCTATAATAATTTAGTAAAGTAAAGACGATGTTGGGTGTTTCTTAGACTCTGAGCCAGTACATGCCGGAGCGAATTCTAACGTAGTCAGGCAATTGTTCAACGGGTCCAACGGCGGCAACTGCGGGACACCTGTCGTACAAATATTTGTAGCAAACGTCTCGCACGTTTTGCGCCGTGATGCTGTTGATTCTGTGGGTCAACTCGTGGGGTGGGATCCTGCGACCGTAGCACAACAGTTGGCGACCTGAATAGAACAAAAATGAAACACGATAAAATGAAGAGACTTGTGGGACACTTGGATGTCAATTCAAGGGCAAGTTGATTTTTTCAAATGTTAACTTCCATTTTTCATTGCAGAAATAGAAAGCCAAGTAATTCCTTTTCAACGGCATGAATATCACAGGGGCTAAAATTACATTCAGAGGTTATTTCAAGGTCAATTCATGCAATGTTGTGAAACAGCGGATAGCTGAGAAAAGAGGAATATTAAAGTAGAACTTTTAATGCGAAAATTGCAGATAGATCTTGAAGGTCAATTCAAGATCAAATTGTTTTTTCACATGGAATCCCTAAATTTTGATCCCAGCTTTGAGAATAGAGAAAAATCTCTTGTTCAAAGGATAAATTGTTCTCTATTTTCAGCGTTGAGATCAAAATTGAGGGTTTCCATGTAAAAAAATCAATTTTATCTTGACCTCCAAGGTCAAAGCCAAGGTCAGAATGAAGGTCACCATCAGATGTGCCGTTGAGCACCCTGCAATTATGTTAAAACTTACTCTTTTTCCACAAATCGCTGCTTTACAACATTCCATGAAAAAGCAACAGTTGACCATGAAACCTCTAGATATAATTTTAGCCCTTATGATATTTATACTGTTGAAAAGGATTTTTTCTTTCTATTGCCACCATAAAAAATGGAATTCCCATTTGAAAAAATCAACTTGATCTTAAAATGATCTTTAAGGTGAAAGTCAACGTAAAATCCAAGGTCACCACTGGATGCGCCAGTTGATTACCCGATTCTTGTATTCCAATTTTTTTCTAGCTCCCTTAGATTCTGAGATATCTGGGTGTATCCATACTTTTAAGATACCCTGTATCTATAACCTATTCGTAGTCCATTTACGCCCCGGCACAACAAAGATGCTGCGCGGTAAAGCAGCAGCCGCCTAAGAGTTGCAATAGCTATTGGTCATTCGGCGATAAAACTACGAAGAAGTGCAGGATTCTACAGGATAGAACTCAGGCCAACGCCGGCTGTTGCAGTTCATATTCGGTGCATGCATAGCGTGTGTTAATACGTTAGCATGTCGTCTACGGATACAGCAGATGAAACTGGGAATATTTCTCCCAATGCTTAATTCAGCCATGCTTCCTCTTTAGTGATGAATCCTCCCCGAAAACGTGACAAGGGACATTCGAATATTCAGACAAAAGAAATTGTCCTTAACGTTTATGAGAGACGTGTGGCGAACAAAACAGGCTTATGTCCTAAGACAATTTTCAGCATTGTTAAAGATAAGAAATAACTAAAAATTGTTTTCACCACACAAGAGGCTGCATTACACAAAGCTGTTGGATACAGTTGATAACTTTGATCCGAATGGCATCAGTCCATCATTTTTTTGAAAGGTAGGAACTTGCCACCATAGACAAAGTATTACAGGAGGTTAATAGTGATGAAGACTTATCTACTTTCAAAAGGACCACATTCTTTAGTTTACTCAAAGAACTTCATTTTGAGTATAGAAAACGGGGCAGAAATACTGTTTTGGTGGACAGCCAAGAGATTATTTTATGAAGAAGAAATTATTTAAAATCAATAAAGAAATACCGCGACCAGGGCAGAAAGATTTATTACTTGAATGAAACTTGGATAAATGCAGGACATAAAAAACATAAAGTCTGAGCTGACTACAATTAAATCAGCAAGACAATCCTTCTTAGATGGACTAACCACTGGCCTAAAGAATCCGTCAGGTACGTGTATCTAACCAATTCATTCATTTGTGTTGTAAAAATGGTGTCAAGTAGACAGAACCTATGAGCCCATGCTGAAAACTTAGTTACATTAAACTTAGCTATAGCTGGAAGATTTGGAACCAACACCTGTTAGATAGTCTGCTTGTATTGTTATTAGTTTTCTTGAATACTATATGAAAGAATTATTTCCACGAAAAGGAACACGATTTTTTATGTCACATTGGCAGTTGAGATGGCTTTGTACCCACTGCCCTTTGGGCATTAGAGTCAAAGAAAACGACCGACTAACATGAAGAAATGGACGGGAGTTTATTTGAACGATGGTTTGAAGAAACGCTCCCAAAGCTTTAACGACAATGCCGTCACTGTACTTGATAATGCTGCATACCACACTAGAAAACTAGAAAATAATCCCACAATGTCCACAAGAAGTGCAGAAATTCAACAATGGCTCCTATCAAAAGACAGTTTCAAGGAAAATATGGTCAAAGCAGAACTTATCCGTCTAGTCAGAAAGCTCAAATAAATATAATCTTAATGTTATTGAAAAAATGGCTAAAACGACCGTTTTAAGGCTACCCCTTTATCACTGTGAATTAAATCCCATTGAAATGATTTGCTCAAATGTAAAAAACTATGTGAATTCAAACAATAGAACATTCAAATTTTCTGACGTGAAAGATTTGTTTTATGAAGCTGTCAATAGAGTGACGTCAAACCATTGGATAAAGTAATTGCATCAAATAGATTGATTTATCCACGTTCAAGAGACAATCGAAACAAAGATGTGGGATCTGGACAATATGATCGATATTCAAATTGAACCTGTAATAATTAATATTAACCATTCGGACGATGATTCAAGTACTTCCAGCGAATAAAGGTTTGTGAAAAGTATGAGCACTTCTTTCTATATCATTTATTTTGTTAGATTATTCCAAGACTATTGAGGAAAATACGGACCTGTACAATCTCGCTTTTGGCCATCTTGTTTTGTTTGGGCGTAAATGGACTACGAATGGGGTATAGACAAGCAGGGAATGTGAGAGCATCAGAAGCAGGCTATCGGATGAATGCTGTGGCCAGTGAATCTTCCTCAAGGTGACAATAGAGAAATGCTGGATTGGCCGGCAGGACACATTTTTCTCGATACAAACGTAGATCGTTCATGCAACGTTGCGTTCTGGCACCATGATGGACATGCGTGTTCAGAGAACACAGGGCATGGCATTCGATCTGGTACTTGTGCTACCACCAAGCGGATTTAGTTTTCAAGATGTGTTAGTGATTTGCTTCAATCAAAAAACATCCACAAATTCGTACAACAGTATAACTTACCAATATCTTCACAAACGGCAGTTGTGGTATCCAATTGCAAAAGTGTATTGGCAGTAAGAAGTGCCTTGGCTCTTTCAACCTCGGCGTCAGTAACACTAGTGCACAGCCTCATGAATTCTCCTTGGATGTTGAAGATCATGTCGTCAATTTTCAGGGGATCGGAGACGAAATAGATGCCCCACAGTCCTGTATCCTAAGCACACAAAGAAAGGAAAGAAAAATGACCAGAGAAAAATGTGGATCTTCTGTGATTATCACAAAGAGATACTTAACCCTTGGGTGATGCTCAAGTAGAGATTCAACATTTATATTTCACATCAGGCTGTGGCAGTTCCTGTCATGGGTTCTCAGTTTTAAATTTAGAAAATTCAGAGAATTTCGCAAAATTCTGAAGATTTTGCACATTTTGAAAACTTTGCAAACTTTGCTAAACCTGAATGTTTTGAGTATTTTGAAAAAGACGGGGTCCGATACGCTGTGACAGTTCTTCACCACAAGTTTTCAGATTTATTAATTTAAAAATTTGGAAAATTTTGAAAAGCGAGAAAACTGAAAATTTTCTAAATGAGTACAAAAATAAAAAATGAAAGTATCGAAAATTTTGAAAGTAGTAAAATTTTTAAAACTTCAAATTTTGATAATCAGAGGTTTTTGACAATTTTGGAAAAGAATGGGTCTAATAGACTCTACCAATTCTTACCACAGGTTTTCAGATTTTTTAAAACTAGAATATTCTGGAAATTTTTAAATTTTAGCGAAATTTTGAGGATTTTGAAAATTTGGCAAATTTTTAAATCTGCAAATCTTGAGTGTTTTGAGAATTTTAAAAAAGACGGGGTCCGATAGGCTGTAAAAAATTCTGAAATTTTGAAAGTTTCGCAAATTTTGATAAGCGTAATCGTTGTGAGAATTTTGAAAAGGACCCCACACAAAACATGAAACATGGGTACTAGCCGATTTATCTAAAAAATGATTATGATATTATGGGACCAAAGCAATCTTGTGATTAGTTTGTGAGAGACAGGGGGAGAAGGTTTGCCTGATTTGCAAACATGGTGTATGTGCCGATTATAGTTTTCAGGCCAAATACTCTGAGAGTTGTTATACTGAAGGAAGTATTTAATTTAAATTGTTCAAGAGGTGTCATGGCGAATTTGGCCATGATCCTTACAAGGTCAGTTCAAGTGCAAGCGTATTGTTATACGTTGACACTGGAGGAAGGAAAAGCGCACTAATGTGTTTTTTTTATACACAAGCACCCGTAGGCAGAAGCCTAAATGCCGAGATACCTGCTATGATGATCCAAAAGAAATTTTGTTAATCCGATTTTTGAACTGCCTAAGGTTAGAACTGGGAAAAGCTTCCTCGTGTAGATTGTTCCACAATCTCGACACCGTCGGGAAAAAGGAGCGGTCGTATCGGCCAGTTCTGGATGTACGAAGTTCAACACGATTAGGATGGGAGGCCAAAGTCAGGCGGATCTGTCTGGCAGGCACATAGCGCGGCGGCATCATGAAAGAGAGCTCTGAGGAGCAAAGCCCGTCGGTGTAGCGGTAGAAGAGAGCTAGATAGCCGACGACCAGCCGCGCCGGTGCGAAAGGGTCCCGAGACTGTATGTTAGAGAAGAATCATCGATCAGTCGGACAACTTCGAGCATAAATAAGCAGAGATAGCCTCCAGCACGGGTATCACGTATCTTGAAAAGTGATGTTATATCGATTTTTTTTTGACGTTATACTTTTCATAAGAACTAAACAAAAATATTAAATTAAAGAAACGCCTTCACAAACAAATTAAAAGGGCAATGCTAGCTTTCAACTAAAGAATGAATATAATGAGATTAGAAGTGCAATCAAATATCAGAAATGAACTACAGGCCTATCATGGAAAAATTGAAAAAAATGTAAAAATTGATCCAATTGGCTTTTGGGACTTTGTCAGGTCTAGGCGTTCTGGACCTGGTATCCCTGCTGAGGTATGCTATGAAGGATGTACTATTGGTGGTGCCCAGGAAATAGCTGATACATTTGCTCTGTATTTTAGCTCTGTGTTCCAACAATCCGAAAAACCTAACTTTGATGTTTGTAATGGTAACTTCTCATTCTCTCCTATCTCAGAAATGCAAATAAAGGCAGCCATTAAGAAGTTAAAAGCAAAAAAGGCCACTGGCAATGATAATATTCCCTCATACATATACAAAGGTTGTTCTAATATCCTGTGGCAATAATTCTCTGGTTGACAACTACAGGCAAATTAGCGTTTTAAACTCTCTTGCGTAAATATTTGAGAATATCTTGTAACAAGATATTTTGAGCTCTCTTATGCATAGGTTCTCTCTGTAGCAGCATGGTTTTCTGCCCGATGTCTCAACTGTTACCAACATCAGCATCTTGACTGAGGCAGCTGCCGGGGCAATTGACAACAAAGAATAGTTGGATGTTGTTTTGACGGATTGTGCGAAAGCCTTTGATTGGGTTGATCATGGTCTGTTGGTGAACAAGTTGGGTAAATCTGGGTTCTCAAGAAGTGCATGTGAGCTTATGGCATCATACCTAACCTTAAGGCCACAGCAGATTAAAGTTGGTAAGCATTTATCAAAGATGAACATAACATCTGGGGTGCCCTAGGGCAGTAATCTTGGGCTTCTATTATTCATAATTTTTCTGAATGATTTGCCAAACTGTGTAAAATATGCCAAATGTCTCATATTTGCTGATGATTTTAAAATAAACAAGCATATAACTTCAAGATTGTATTGAGATGCAAACTGATTTAAGTTCAGTGTCCCAGTGGTTCAAGGAGAATAAAATGTAGTTGAATATTGCCAAATGTCATAGTTTAACTTTTACTGGAAAAGCACAATTTATAGATTTTAATTACAAAATTGATAAGTAGGATTAAGTAGGATAAGTGAATGTAAGGATCTTGGGGTCTGCTTTCAGACTAACCTAAAATTTAATCAGCATTATGAAACTATTGTAATCAAAGCATATAGGATCCTGGGTTTTGTGATAAGGAATACAGAGCACTTCAAGGAAACTAAGTCTATAATAATTTTGTACAACTCACTGGTCCGACCTGGAGTATTATGCCTCTGTTGTCTGGGCACCCAAAACAATGGTGCATGTTGATATGATCAAAAGGGTCCAAAAAAGAAGGACACACAATGCTTATCCATACATGATCTCTTATAATAGTATGCTAACAGAATTTAAAATTGTGCGGTTGAGCGTTAGGCGTGGTTTGAATGATATCTTGTTCATTTATTACATAATTAATAATTTAAAATATAAGAAGTGCTCCCTTAATAAATAATATATTCTTTGCTGTTCCTAGAATCAACTTGAGAATAAGAGGCAACAAACTCTTTCACTGTTCACCTGTAAGTTGTTCTTCTAACAATAGAATGATGTATGAGTGTAATAGTTATATACAAAATTGTGATGTGGATCTCCTTTCGACTACTGTGAGACAAATTAAGACTGATTTTAAATTTAAGTAAAACATCCTTATCTCATTTTATTTGTTAGTTAATTTTTATAGTTTTTCTCTGTCGTTATTTTTTAGTTATAAGTTTTTGTGTATTCTCTGTTTCTCTACTAGCCAGTGAGGACTCCTACATGTAACTACATTCAAATGTGTTTGTAAGAGTTTAAATAAATAAATAAATAAGATGTTAACTTAGCACTTAGCTGTACGTGTTGCCTAAACGTTACGAGGCATTAGTTATCAATGTTTAGCTCTGATGTGATGTAAAATCTGCTGCAGAGATGGCATTACTGGAGGTCTAAGCTGTAAGTTGTATGTGTTGATGATAATTCCATTACATTCTTGTCTCAAATACACTTAACCGAGATTGAAAGCTAGACATTAGTTGCGCAGCCACTTTTTCTTATCCATTCTGGAAATTACGTATACAAATTTGCTAAATCTCAAAAATGAGAGAGATAAGAAATAATTATATTCACTGTACACTGTCGAAGTACAAGCCATATACATGCTAACAGTAATTACACACAACGCGGGCGGGGTGATGATTTCCCGTAATTCTCCTGTTTTTCGTAATTTATAACTTTGAACAAAATCTCTCTTCAGAAAGCTAAACATATAAATAACCTGTCATATTCAGCATAATCAGTAATGATTTACTCACACAGCAAATATCACTGATTTTATATACATGCAGATCAATACTCATAATCATCCAGATGCGATCTTGGTATTCAACTAACTTTCTTCTCAGAGATAAAAACTACAGACACGGACCACTCGGCCTCACACATATGCAACCAATAATGCGTGTAGCTTAGTTTAGTGAACCCTCCATAGATGGACGTTTACAAGGATCCTAGTGAGCAAACGTGGAATGACTGTTTGCGCCCTAAAAACTACCTAGTCTGCAAGTGGACTTTTTTTGACGTTTTATAGGTTTTTTTACATGATATCCGTGCCGGTTTCTCGTCAAAGATAAAGTCTTCGCTAGTCTTCTTTTTTCCAGCTGTGGCGGAGATCGGCTTGTTGCTCTAAATTCCTGCATGTAGAGTGCTGCCATCAGCGAAACTGTGGATTGGGTTGATCATGTTAGGGTATTGTAATTTATTGACTATTAATTTGAGTTTTTTTTATTTGGTCTGCTTCCGACCTATTCTATAACCAACAGCTATATTATAAAGGTCTCCTAGATTCAGTAAATATTGCATTTGAATGGTTTTCTCGAGGAATTTAAAGTCGTTTTTACGTGCACGTTCACCATTTTTGCAAAACGGAAAACTTCATCCCCATATTTCTGAGAAATTAATCATATGATTGCCTTGCTCCTAGAGAACTTTTGTTCAGAATAGCAAGAAATATATCACACTGAATTCATGGACAAATCAACTGAGACTATTTTCTAGATATTTTGGGCAGGGTCTTTTAGAAAATGTTGAAAGTCTTGAAAATCCGCTATAAATGTCTGTAAAGGGTAAAAGTTAAATCTCCACTTGATGGTGAGACACTACTTGTTTAAAATCTGAGGACTGATCAACCTTCAATCAGACTCAGCCCACAAGGATCAACTATAAAAATGTCGGCGTTGCTTTAACTTGACCTATCTTCTATTATACCTACCTTATAGCAGGTGTTGAAGCTCTGGTATGAATGGCACAGATCTCCCTCTCCGCTAGCCCTGGCCAGCACTGTAGCATTTTGCTTAGCAGAGGCCTGCGACCTGTCCCAAGCGCCCAACAGGGTTGAAGCAACCATCAAGGTGAGGGTATCAGGGTCAGTCCAACCAGCTCCTTCCACAGCTATAGCGATGTGAGCTAGAGGTAGAGAGTCGTCCCGCACTCTGATTTCAGAGCCAGTGAATCGACATGGGGCTAGTTTTGGGATCTCACCAGGATAAGTGTTGTCTAGACAGCAAAGAAAATAGAATGTAAAAAAGCTAAGCTCACTGCAGTATATCAACTACATGATTCATTTGAATAAAAAAGTAAATATCACCTTTTGTAGTTCATCTGGCCTTTATGAAATTATATATAATGTTAACTCAGGTGTTCTGCAAGGATCAAACTTAGGCCCATTACCATTTAGTATATGCATTAATGATTTGGATAAATAATTGTGAAGTCAAGGAACTGAAGTGTGCTGCTACGAATACATCACAAAATACCTGTGGATAGTAACTTTTTTTATTTAATATTGCTCAATAAAAGATTGTGTCTCTTGGGCAATACAAGCTATTATTACTATTATTATTGCTTTACTTACTGACTTGCGATAGATTACTTTCTGCAAGTTTTACCAAGTCTTCGTGGTTCACACCACCGGCTCCGGCAACAACGATGCGGCTTGCCTTGTAGTGGTTGTCCAGGTATGACCTCAAGTCTGACGAGTTGATTGACCGAATATTTGCCGTTGGACCTATAAAAAAGTAATTTTAACCAACTCCATATGAAAATTGGGAAAGAAAGTGTACCATACCTAAAATGGTATTTGCCAAAGGAGTGCCCTGATATGCAACTGCATGCAAGTGATCGAACACAACTTCTTGTAAGTTCGATTCAACTTCCTGCATTTCTCTCAAGATAACTCCTCTCTCCCTTTCAATTTCGGCTTCACCTAACTTGGCATTTTGGATGATGTCTGATAGAATTTCCAATGCTTTTGGAACATCTTTTGAAAGACATTTGGAATAGTACACAGTCTGTTCCCTGCTTGTGTAAGCATTTAGTTGTGCCCCAAGGTCTTCGATTTCAATTTCAAGTTGAGTTTGGGTTCGTTTTCCAGTTCCCTATTAAGAGTTGAAATTACTTGTAGGGTAAGACTCCACTTTATATATAATCAGAAATTGGTCATTCCATAAGTAAAGAAAATACATTTGATACTACAAACAATCGTATTCAGTAAATAAAATTGTTCAAAACTAGCCATATAATGAGCTAATATCACAGTTCAAAATACATACCATAAATAATGGTTTTTATTTAATAACTATATAATAAAATAGAATAAAAAAAGGTTTTATTTAGCCTTAACCTACTTCAAAAAATTATCAAATCATTTACAAAAACTGTTTTTAAATATTTTGGCATTACTAGATGTTTTTACGTTAATAGCCAGATTGTTGTACATTTCTAGATCTTCAACAAACATTGATTTTTCTAATTCTTTACATTTAAATCTTTATATATGGAAATGTTATTTTGATCTAATGTTGTAACCTTACATTTGAAATCTTCTTTTTTAGGAAGATAAGATGGAACCTGATTATTGTGTTTTATGTAAAATTAAATTTGCCTCTTGAATGATTTGCTGTATGTTTAAAAAATTCAATGTCTTTAGCATATCGTATAAAAGGGTTTATCTGCTACAATTCAACAAAATCTGAATACATTTATTTAATAGAATTTGTAACGTCTGCTTTTCCTCATTTGTACATGTTATCAAAAGTTATGCGCAATAAGTAAAATGAAGAAAAATTATTGTATTGAAGACTACCCTTATTTAAGGTATTGTGTTATATTTTTTCAATGTATTCTTGAACATTTTTGACAATTATTTTGTGTACTTTCAATAGAATTATACCCATTTTATATCAACAATTCCTCCAGGAATTTATTCAAACTGATTTCTTCAAGATTATTCTGATTATGTTTTCCAGTATTCAAATCAAGAACTTCATGGATTCATTTGATGTCAAAATTCTGTTTTACACTTTTGAAATTTGGCCATGAACTAATTCATTAAGGTTTTATTTTCATTATTGTGATGACTATTGTAAAACTACAATATGTATATTATAATCATATAATTCAGGACATGATTTTGGGTAACAAAACAAAATAACCTGCTTATAAAGCAGTATTACATACCACAGTATCACCACCCATAAAGCAATACCCTTAAAATAATTTTGATAGTTTCGTCCATGTTACACTGAAATCTTTCATTTTATTCAATAAGTGTTTTTCAGCCTATGAAGTATCTTACTTTGAAAGCCATGTGTTCCATAAAATGTGCAACACCATTATTTTTGGCATCCTCATATCGACTTCCTGCATCTATCCAGACTCCTATAGTTGCTGTTTGGGATCCCCAATCTTCAGTTGCCACCCGAATGCCTGGATTTTAAGATAACGTCTCGTGAATACATCATCAAAGTAAAAAATTTGGAAAGGTTAAAGATCCGTCTGAATTGCACTTACCATTGTTTAAACTTGTCACTTTTGTGGGTGGAACGTTCAGCAGAGCCTGTTTGACTTCTGCTTGAGCTGTGGAAGCGGTTCTCGCATTTTTGTAAGCCTGAAAGTTACATAAAATATTTTTTCAAAAGTGTTCTTGTAGATTGGTTACGTCAATTACGTAACTTCATTGTCGAGTTCCAAAATTTAAACATTTTTTGGAGATCGAAAATTATAAACTATGTATAGAGAATGCTTTTTAAGGCATACAATGAATCTTTTACCTTCAGAACGTTGCCGTTTTTTGATAATTTTGCTGCAGACCGTGAGAATTTTAGGATGGACGCCATTTTCTCCTATGAATGTTAACGATGACACATGACAATAGTTCGAAAAATATGAAATGACATAAATCAAATTCAAGCGAATAACCAAATGAAAATGGTATTTACCATTTCGGATTGGTATTTACCGATCCGTTCAAGCGAGTGTGGTTATCAGTTTGGTTATAAGTTCCGTGACGTCATGAATCAGCTGTTATATGTCATAGTTATCACCGCAAAATTGTGGTATTTACCCAACTCAGGAGTAGTTTTATATTTCTGGTTATTATTTGAAATGTGACAAGTTAGAATTTTGCCGGGTATTGGATATTTTTATTGTACTTCAGCTTCATTTTTGGGAAACTTGATACAAGCTGACGTCAGTTTTAGCATAAAGTAGAACACCTTATTAGTTATAATCGTTACTGTTGTTGGGGACACTTGAAATCTAGTTCCTATGCTTAACAAATTATCCCGTGTAGCGTGTAGCCATAAACCACAAGAATATTAAAACATGGCCATATGAACTCACTAGATGATGTCCACTGGCATGCGGTTTAGCTAATATCTTTTTTCATCGCTTTTTCCTATCATTTCTGCTAAATAAATAAATGTTTTCTCTGACATGCGGAAAAGATTAGAGAATTGAAAGTTATCATAGCTGCAAAGCCATGGTTTCATCATTAAAAAAAAATTTCTGAAAAAAAAATGTCTTCATTAATATTATGAAAGGTTTCTTTTTTAAACTTTCCATACACCGTAGTAGACGAAAAAGCACCGATCATTAAGTGATAATAAAAGTAATCAGAAATTATACACGAGCTTTACTAAAATAATCAACTTGCAACAAAACCGCGGTTAAAACCAACCCGCGATTCGAGTAACAGACGTCATCAACCCGTGTGTCATCTTGAACCATATTATAACCGCGGTACATAACACAGAAATTTTGGTTATTCGCTTGGATTTGATAATTGACATACTTCTGAAAATTGGGGCGGGGAACAAAAAGGGGCGTGGACAATGTTCTAGGCTTCTTTTTCTAGCTAAGTAAAATCTCTCCCACACGATGTGGCGAATGCCTTACAACGTTGGACATATGGCTATTCGCCAATCGTGTGGGAGAGCGCTGACGGATTGCATGTGTCCAACGTTCAAGACCTGGCACGTTCGGGCTCTTGTCGGTAAATTTGACCCGCGTCAAAGGACGTTACAACGTTGGAAGCATGGTTCGTTACGCTCCCACACGAGATGTCATGTGTTTGATGGTTTTAGGTCAGAACCAGTAACGGCGACAACCATTATTTATTTGTTTGCTGTGATTGTGGTGAAGTAGTGGTATGTGGGAAGTATTTTGATTTGAATACCTACCAATTCATAATAATGTATGTTATGTAACTAACTTTTGAGAAGAATGAATTAAATTAGTATACATACCACACATAGGCTGTCATAACAGCACTTTTTTCATATTGCTAATATTTTGCACGTTTCGCTGGAGAGTTATGGCTGACCTAATGGTATGTATTTTAGTAAATTATAAATTATCAAGTGCTTACAGTTGTTTCATTATAATGTCCTGTTGCAATAATAATGATAATAATAGTAATAATAATAATAAGAATGTTTATTTGTAAAATACAATTAGTCTGGAACAAAACAAATAAACATAAAGTACCCACAGAAGGCAGTTGTCTGTGCGCGGGTATTTACCAATAGGAAACATTGTCATTACAATACACACTGATATATTTTGATATATTCTCAATTATTATTGAATACATGATTATATCACATACATGATTACACAAATTTATCATATAATATATATCAGTTAAAATAAACTGAATTCAAAACCTTATACATTTCTACAGTTCTAGAAGTAGGTAAGTTTTTGTTGAGAAAATCTGAATATACATTAATTTATTATTTCATTCATCATATACGAGTGTTCTTGTATCCACAGTTTTGTACGTTTTTTGTATGTATAGTAACTAGTGTGTTGTCTACATTCATCAGGCAGAAGATTATAGACTCGTGGGCCTATATAGTCGAACGACCTTTGTCCAATTTGCTTATTCATCCTTCGGGTCTGGAGTGATAGTGTTTTACACCTTGTCTCGTGGTTATGTTATGGTTTGAGCAGAGTATGGTTGTATTTATAAATAAATAACAGCAGATTTATACAATATAATTGTCTGATACTAAAATGCAAGACTAGTTGAGAAATATATTGACTTGTATTTCATGAATAACGAAATAAATTAAAGAAACGATAACTCTGAAAGTACTGTCATGATTCTGATGAAATTATGTCCCTAGGTTACTACTATGAAAATGAAAAAGCTCTGCAGTTTTGGAAAACTGGTGCAGAGGCGGTGGAGCTATCGTCGAAAACCAAACAAAAGGTCAAACTTCGTTTTTCGACATTTTTGAGGCTTCTGACAGACCTGTATTGATCGCCGAGGACAGATCTGAAATTATTTTTCGGCGCTCGAAAAAATTGTTCCATCGATTATTTTGTATAATTTTTCCTTCAGTTGTAGAGGTTCAAACGCGACACTGAAACCGATAATAGACGTTGGCACCACCATGCGTCGAACGTCCGAGACTAAAAAGTTCATCCCATCATGTAGGAGACACACTTGCCAATTCTGGGGTGTGGAACGTTGTAAACAACGCTGTAAACAACGTTGGAAGCATCGTGTGGGACCCGCATAACATAGAATCACTGTACATTAAAAGCGACATCTACAGGCAGTATTTATAAAAAAATTCTAGAAATCTACTCAGGAAAAAATGTAGTTACAGATGACGCTAGTCCATAAAAGTTGCTGACATCTACTCATGATTCACCACCAAAGTAGCGTAAATTGATAACCAAGCAATCTGTTATACCTACATGAACAATTTCATTAGGAATTATACAGATGGATTTCAGCAATGTCATCCTGATTAGTTTTGCGATGTATACCTGGTAAATTCATGCAGTTCTATCAAAGCTCTATGCTTGAATTGAAAAGTTCAATATAATGAAAAGGAAAACAATGTTGGCAACATGGAATTTCACGTCCAACTTGGCAAAAATTAGAACAAGTTCTAATTTCGTGAAGAAATTCACTGAGAACATTACGTGACTTCAGGCACTATTGAAATTTGGCCGTGAACTAAATTCATTGAGAAATCCAGGAGAAATCCGTAAATCGAGTATAAGGCTGAAAGTAACATATCTTTTCTTCATAGATGTCAGCAGTTCATAAAAGGTGCTGACATCTATGAAAGTTTTAGTTAAGTACTATAATATACTTTGGTAAGAAATCTGTAAAGATTTAAGGCCTCATTCAAAATATGTCTTGAGATTCGGAATAAAATACTTATTTCCCATGCGAAACTATTTTAACTTGTAATTTCAATTTATGGATGGATAAGCGAGATCTGTTCATAGATTTCAAAATCGGGAATTTTTAAAAATACGAATAGTATATGCGTTATGCCCTTTCACCCCCACGATGTGATGATTAACTTCAAAGCAAATAATGGCATTGAATTTGAATCAATCTTTCAAAATATTATGATGTTAAACACCAACTGGCAAAAGCTGATTGCCTTTTTTGCAAAAATATTTTCCATCACATAATTATTGTTGATGCTCTTTATAAAATACATAATATATTAAAATTAATTGGAGACTATATATATAAATCAATGCCATGGTCCAAATAGCATTGTGATTGGTCGAGAGCTTTTGGCGGGCCACAAGGGCGACACCGGCGGCACGCCAGCGAACTATCCGCACATTTTCCTGTTGTCTAACTGGTGAGTGGAAATTATTTCGCACTTTCAACATTTTATATAAAATTACAGAATTTTACCCCAAGCTTGGCATGAATATGGTCGAATATTAGTTTTTTTCATGTAATTTATAGTAATTTTGTTATGCCCACCAGGGGCGTATCTTCAGAGCAATTAATTTTATTGAAAAATGGGAAGGATTATTTTCTGGAATGGCCGCCTGGATTTCCTCCTTGAGAGTTGAACTTTCCATCCTGAAATTTGAAAATTAATATCTTTGTTTTGGTTTGTCTTGCAAATATCGTTTTAGTACCAAACTGTAGAAACAATTACCAGCTTTATGATACAATTACGTTTTCTGGGAAACTATCCGTGGTTAGAGAGGAAAATATTCGGGTGTAGTTAAATTATATTTTTATTATTTTTGATCGTTTGAAAATGTAGCGCGCGCGCAATCGATACACCTATAACCGATTTACGAGGGATTTTAAAAGAATTACCTACGTTCTAGTATTGTTCTCTCATATATCTGGTACTACATATTCATAGATATATTCCTAACTCAATATCACAAACATGAAAGTTCCAGAACCTAATGATACTTTGTGAACTAATAATAATATAAAAAACTGAGCCTCGCAACGGTGACCTTGGATTTAACCTTCAAGGTAATTTCAAGGTCAAGATGATGTTTTTAAACGGAGCTCCTCATTTATGACCCCGTAATTGAAATGAGCGGAAGATTTCACATTCGAATATGGTATCGTCGTTATTAAATTTTGATATTAGGAAGTCATGGACAAGGTCAAGCCCAGCTATATGATGATGTAACTTTAAAACCAGTAGTCATATAGGGAACCTTCACAGACATCATTTTCATAGTTTTTCCCCGGACCCGTTGCGATGGTGACCTGGGATCTGACCTTGGCCATGACCTTTAAGGTCATTTGAAGGTCAAATCCTTTTTAATGGGACCCTATACTTTTGACAACGGAAATGGGACAATTTTATGATCGGATATATTCTTAAACAGTTTTGGAGCATGACCTTTGACTTGGCCACTAAGGTCAAACACAAGCCTTCCTTATTTCTTGATAACTAAAAAAACAGTGTAATCCCCAAATAAACTGACTTTACTGTTCTTTCAGCATTGTCCCCTGGATACAAAAATCGACTTTACCTTCACATGACCTTTAAGGTCATCATGGTTAAGGTCAAATCCAAGGTCACTATTGGATATTCTAGGAAAACTCAATAAAATAATGTATTGGTAGTTTCCCTAAACGACCACGACTTTTCAGGTTATCACCATACCTGGGTTTGACCTGGATTATGACCCCCTAAGGTCAAAATTTGGGAATTGTCAAGACCATAATTGGACGTAAAATTGTCCGCTCTTTTCATTTACTGGGTCAAAAATGGGAGTTCTATTAAAAAAATCGACTTGACCTTCAAATTATCTCGAAGATAATAGTCGTGGTCAAATCCAAGGTCATCATTGGATAGCTGGGGAAAAACTCTATCAATCGCTGGGCCTAGTTTTTCCATACCATTATCAGTTCGCAGATGATCATGAAGTTCCGGAACTTTTCATACACACCCTGTATAAATGTTCGGGAAGGAGTCAAGTAACTGGACTTTGAAATGCGCACTTTTCAAGCTTACTCTACTATAAAGATATTTCTGAAAAAATTAAATGGATATGACTGTTGATATCATCATCGCCATCATTGCAGAATACATCAATACAACACTGTAATGTCTGACGACGCAGCTTCGGCTCCCGCGAAACGTGGCCGTAAAGCCAATTCGGCAACTGCCGATAAACCAGAGAAGAACGAAAAGCCAGCAGATTCAAAAAAACGGTCAAAAAAGGTATGATGCACTGAGTTCTTGACTCTGCATAGCTTAAACAATCTTTTGGTCGTACGATGATATGATGTAAATTCACAATTTCGGTTGGTTATAGGAATCGAAAGACGACGAGGAAGGTGCAACTGCTGCTAAAAGAGGAAGAGGAAGACCCAAGGGTACGACAAAAAAGACTAAAGCTGCTGCAAAACTTAATATAAAACCCACAGGTACCACATCTTTCATCTTTATTCTTATCTTTTCATACTGTCTGGAGCATATCGTCTTATAATTGCCGCGAGAGTTTAAGGGCCGTATCTTCAGTCGTTTATACAATTGTAGGACGCCTTTATGGCCTCTTATGGCCTCCTTGATTTTCATAGTCTTCTCTCTCAGAAAGGCTGGGGTATTTCTAAATTTCCACTTTTCCGTGTCAGCGTCAGCGCTCTTCTAATTATGTTTTCTTTTTGAATTGTATGAAATTTCGAGCTGATATAACAGATGATATAAATCAAAAGCATGAACAATTTGATGCAAATAGATACTTGTAACATAACCTCAAAATAGAGCGCTGACACGGAGCACTAGAAAACTATGAAAATCAAGGAGGCCATAAAGGCGTCCTACAATACTGATTTTTATAGCCTTTTCTCTTCTTCAGAAAGGGTGGAGTATCTCTAGATTTCTACTGTTTCGTGTCCGCGCTCTCTTAGTAAACTTTACTCTCGGCTGCAATTGTAGGACGCGTTTAAAGCCTCCTTGATGTTCGTAGTCTTTTCCATCCTTCAGAAAGGCTGGAATATTTCTAGATTTCTACTGTTACGTGTCAGCGTATTGTGAGGCTATGTTTTCTTTTTGAATTGTAGGAAATCTCAGGCTGATATAACAGATTATTAAATCAAAAGCATGAACAATTTGATGAAAATAGACATTTGTAACATAACCTCAAAATAGAGCGAAACAGTAAAAAACTATGAAAATCAAGGATGCCATAACATCATAAAGGCGTCCTAATTGTAGGAACGACCTACGATACAGCCTCAAGACAGTTGAACACTAATTCACTTTAGTTTAGAACAAATTAATTCTTAGGTCGAGGACGCGGGAGACCAAAGAAAAATAAAGAAGATGGGGAAAAAGATTCTACAGAAGAAGATGTTGAGGAAGAGGAACAAGAAGAAGCAGTAGAAGATGAAGAAGACGATGATTAGATTCGTGATTGGAAATTTTTTATTTTAGGTAATAATTAGTTGAATTTCCATTGTGAAATTTTGTTACTTACGTATTGAGTCTCGAATTTTTCTATGGCTGATAAAAGAACAATTTAATCCAATATTAAAACAATTAAATTATTGAAATTTGAGGTGTTGAAGTATTTTATGCAAAAAACACTGCCGTAATTTACCGGAAGGACAAAGTTTTATAACAAAAAGTCACAAAATTACAATTCTGTTAGGTAGTATATTTTCGAGTTTAGATATTCTTTGATGTGTAATTCCATTTTTTAATCTAGATGACTGAATTCAATAAAGTATTTGATCAATAATTAGTAGTTTGATGGTGTTTCCACTTTCTACCACAGAACATATACGGAAAGAACGCTTACTGTTTTCTACTAATTGTACGTGATACATTTTATGCCTGCACTTCACTCTCGGCGATGATCGTGTAATCGCTCATGATATGCACGATCATCGTGTATCGTGCAAGTTGTGGTGCAAGCATCCACACTAGCGTCCTTAGTTGTTCAATGACCAATATAATATAATATGACCCGGCGATTCCCTTTGTTGCGTGTCCGAAAACACGACAACTCACGGGTAGAAGGCGATCATAGACGATGATCGGCGAGATAGCCAAGTAAGCCCTCTACACGATCTGGCTCACGCGTAATCGTCTGCAATTGCCGATTGTGAAGTGCAGCCTTTAGATTGTTTTCAATTTTACACAAATTAAGGGATTGGTAAAAATAAACATGATAGATAAAAAAAATTAGAAAGGAGGTGTGACCAAACAGGTTTTACAGTGAAGGGGATGGTGCTTCGTGACATGGAAAATGGAGGATTCACGCTGATTTTCCAAGCATATCCCTAAAAGTTGTAATCTCGAAAGCTCACGGGCTCACGCTATCTTTGCATCGTTAATCATAACGTGGGGTCAACTGAGGCCTGACAAGGCGCAATACAAGAAATCTGGCAACGTTTTTTTAGGTGACTAAACGTCCGGGAACACTGCTATTGATACATTGATAGTGCCACTTGTCCTTTATACGTCTTTCTTCAACGTCACCGCTGTCAAGCTGCCATTTTTCCTCTAACGCCAAATACTGAGCCGAAGTGTGGAATGGTTTGGAAAATAATTAATATAGATAAGATGTGATAATGAAAGAGCAGTTTTACTTTTGATATTTATTGGAAGGACACCAGTGCTGTAAGGGACAGGATGCATAGTCAGAAAGAGATCCAGCAGGCTACTGGCATGTGACGAGACGCAGGGGAAAAGGTAGGGCTCGTCACCAGCTGGGTCAGCCCTCGAGTAAGAGGGAACGCTTCAACAGCACGACCTGCTGCATCGGTCTTGTTTGAGCCCAACCAAAACTCACTATGAACATTGAAATCACCGAGAAGAACTACCTCTGAAGCGGCGTAATTGATCTTCAGGAAGTCGATCTTGACTGCGAGGTACTCAAGTAGGTCATCCCAGTTATGGGCCGAGGGAGAGCGATAAAGGCAGCAAATAAATTTGGGTGATGTTTTGGAGTTGAGGCGAAGCCACAGAATGTCCTTCCGGTCTGATTCCAAAGAAATCAAATAAAAATAAAGATGACAATAGTTGCTTACGAACAGCACACTTTCTGACCTAACCTAAATAAAAATAACTGTGCGACGTTTACGATTTGAGACAACTTAGTTAAATCTCGCCTCCCGCTGTTAAGACACCCGGATTTTCGTCTGAGATATCTTAGCTGGTGTAAGTTGGCGCCAAACACGACGTTTTTGAAAGTTTGATGTTCATAATTGAGGTTAGGTATCTTTAATGTCTGTAAATAATTTCCCATAGTCTCTATTTAGTGATTAATTATAGAGAAACACAAATTAAAGTTTATGATCAATAATAATATCATTTTATCAGAACCTGTGGATGGAAGTGATCATTAATTCAAAATGACGAGTAAATATGCAGATATATTGTTAATTATTAACAACGGCCTCTTGTTAATCCAAACTGATCCTCGGGTATCACCAGAAGAAGGGTATCACGTAACTTGAAAAGTGACATTATGCCGATTTTTTTTTGAGATTGTGTAGGTTTTTCTACAAGATATCAACTTAGCACTTAGTTGGACGACTTGCCTAAACGTCATAAGGCTTGTTAATATTTGGCTCTGATGTGATGTAAAATCTGCTTCTGAGATGGCATTACTGGAGGTCTAAGCTGTAAATTGAATGTGTTGATGATAATTACATTGGGTTCTTGTCTCAAATACATTTAATAGAGATTCAACGCTAGAAATTAGTTGCGCATCCACTTTTTCATATCCATTCTGGAAATTACGTATACAAATTTGCTGAATTTCAAAAATGAGAGATAAGAAATAATTATATTTACTGTACACTGTCGAATTACATGCTAACAGTAATTACACATAACGCGGACGCGGTGATCATTTCCCGTAATTCTCCTCAGTCTTTCGTAATTTATAACTTTGAACATAACCTCTCTCCAGAAAGCACAACATAAAAATAACCGTCGGGCACAGCCAATAGATATACTTCATTGGCAGCATATTCAGTAATGATTTTCTCACACGGCAAATATCACTGGTTTTATACACATGCAGACCAATATACATAATCATCCAGATGCGATCTTGCTATTCAACCAACTTTCTTCTCAAAGATAAAAACTACAGAAAAGGACCATTTGGCCTCACAATACTATGAAACCAATAATGCGTGTAACTTAGTTGAGAGATTCGTCCATAGATGGAAGTTCACAACGATCCTAGTGAGCAAACGTGAAATGACTGCTTGCGCCCTAAAAAACTACCTAGTCTGCAAGTTGACATCTTATGCTGGAACCGCACGCTTGCCATTTGCCTCAAACTCCAAACCCCTACAAACGCTTCTCTTTTTTTTTGAAGAAGCAAACGTCGCCGTCCACACGTTTGCGGGTGCGTCACTGAAAAGGCAACAGGCAAACATGACTGATGTCGAACTTGTGTCTGCCGTAGCATTTGGCTTAAGCTATTTTTATTATAAAACCAAAAAAAAGTCAGATAAAACGAAAAGTACGACGAAGAAGGTGGAGGATGTTAAATATTCATATGAATCGTACCAGGTAAATGGTATTTGTTTTAATAAAATTGATATTTAGTTTCAAAAATAGTAACTGTCACAAACATATGGATGTGTCACAAACGCTTGTGGCAAACTCCTTTAGATTTGCGACCAAAAAACCGACACCCGATCGGATTGGCTACAAGCGCTTGCAAACCCTCGCAAACCAAGCCAAAAGCTCTATCCGCATGTTTGCGTTTGTGACGATTTGCGGCGATTTGGCAAGCGTGCGGTTCCGGCATTATAGGTTTTTTCGCGTTTTGTAGGTTTTTTACATGATACCCGTGCGCAGGTCAGAAGCTAACTTTAACTTAGGTTAGAAAATCGCCATTTCGTAAGCAACTAATGAGTGGCAGTTGTCGTGAGAAGTAGACAACCACAATAACACCACCGTATGTCACTGTAAAAACATGGCGGCATATGTCATTCGTTGAATTGTTCTCAGTAGGGATGCGTTCTTTCTGTGTCATATTTGTTCTATCACCTTAAAAACATGGCGACAAAAGTATTTTGTGATGCCGGTTGAATTGCACTAAGTGCAGTGATGTTTTGTGAATCATATGATGTTTTGTCGTTCATCTATGTAAACAAACCCTTGTTCAATAATATTGCAATGGAAAAGAAAACTCACCGAATATGCGAAATCCTAGATAAACTAACTCTAGACGCATTGCATCTCATAGAAGAGGAAGTACAATTGAAGCTCAACCTAGAAAATGCAATGATCGGGGGCGAGTCTCACCTAGCAAAATCCAGATACATTATGGGCCAGAACAACGTTTCAGCATTACAACTACCTACCGAAGACGGCAAAGAATTCTCCGCATCGATAAAGGTCGCTGAACACGACAGTGAAACCCTGCTTGATAACCCAGAACTGCAGTTGAAGACCGTGAAAAAATCGGAGGACGAAAGCGTACAAGAACCTTTGAGATGGTTTGGAGTGTTGGTGCCCCAAAATTTGTCTCATTCTCAGAATATGTTCAGGCAGGCTCTGCAGTGGGCTGTACAAGCGGTCAATGTTCAAATTCGTTTAAAGGAGACTATTAACAAGATTGGGGTTCTAAAGGAGGCTAAGCAAATGGCAAAGTTAGAAGAGTGAATTTGTTTATACATATTCAAGGACGCAGCTAAATGTGATTTATTTAACATTGGTATTAAAGAGTCAATATGCTGAGTGTCCCATAGTATCATACAAATTCTTTATTCATGTCACAATACATAAAATATGTTTACATACATCAATGGTTGAAATGAGAAATGCATTAGAACTAAAACAAAGAGAGTGCTAATGTTCACTAAATATTACCATTATAAGTACACCAGCACCCATACAGATTACAAAATTATAAAACAAGCTAAATTAAGTTTAAAGTATCTAAATTGCTAACATAAAATATTACAATTTATAGTTAAAGTCTTTGTCTTAAAAACTCTTCAAACGTGTAAAATTAGTTATTAATAAGAAATTTCTTGACTTGAACTTTAAAATCTTTTAGTAGAATGGTTGAAAGCCATCTGGAACTACAAAAAAAAATTTACCACCTAATAACCAGGTCCATCTTGACACCTTCTCAATCACCAATACAGAGGTACTACATTGTTCTTATGCCTAGTATTGTGCTCATGGACGTCCTCTTGAGTAACAGTTAGAGTTTCTTTTAACAAACAGTAGATTTTCAAAAATATTTAATTTTAAGGCACAGTAAGGATTCCCAGCTTGATAAAGGCATCTCTGCAATCGTCCCTGTAGCCTAAAACGGCTCACAACCTTAACTGCCCTTCTTTGCAAGGCAAACAATCTATGAACTCCTGAAGAATGCCCCCAAGCCAAAATGGTGTAGGATATATGTGAATGGAAAATGGAAATGTTAGCCATTCTCAATATCGCTAGACAAACACAAGAGCACAGAGTCTGTAACACATATGTATATTCCTTTGGTTGGATCCAAGGTAACCCCCAGAAACTTAGCTTCCCCAACCAAATGTCTGTCCCCAGGCAGGCATCGCATGGAGAACACCATTCTCTTCATTTTATCTTTATTCAACAACAGCTAATTTGAGCAAAACCAAAGCTCAGCCTCATCCTGCGCAGCCACAGATTCTGCCATTGAGTCCTCAAAACGGTGAGAGACGGTCGTATCCTCGGCGAAGAGAGTAAAGTTTACCATATTGTTTTTGGGAGGTAAATCCTATACGTAATTTAAAAAAGAATTTGCCCCTGTGGGACGCTAATATTAACACGTCACTCCATCACATCTCAACCACCCGAGTTCTATTACTAATTAGTTTAACGGAATCACAACTAAAGTTGTAAGCATGGAGCTGTTTTAAAAGAATTTCATAGCTGACGCATTCAAATGTCTTACTAAGATCGCAGAAGAAAACTCCTCCATGGAAAGCATCAATTATAGAAGAAATCAGAGGTTCAGTATACCCATAACAGTGCTCTTACCCTGGTGGAAACCAAACGGATATTGTGAGAACAATTATCCATTTACCTCAAAGAATGTTACCAGTCTCAAAGCCATACATTTTTCAAAGATTTTAGAGATAACCAGAAGAAGTGATATAGGTCTGTAGTTCTCCGGTGAATATTTTCTCTAAGTCAAATATTAATCAATCATGTTAAGAGGGATAAAAATTATGTCCTTTATACATTTTGCAATTTTTAGAGTGAAAGCAAAAATATCTTTACTGTTTTTGTTTTTGAGATTATCTATTACACCGGGGACCTCGTTAAATGTGACTTCAGAAAAAAAGAGAGGTACCAGGAAATCAATATTATTTACAGGATATATATGTACATCAGGTATGTGATTTACTATATTACCTGCTATGCTACAAAAAAAAATTTGAAGTCATCAGGTCACTGCTACCAGGGCACTTATTACTCTTACCTCTTTTTTTATTAATATCCCACCCGGTTTTAGCAGTTAGCAGTATTACTTGAGCTACTCAAGTGCGTCGCTAGGGATTGCCGTTAAATCCCCCCCTAGAGACCCTGAAAAATATAGTGAAATGCAAATCAATGAAATTCATAAGTACACTCACTTAACGTGCTTGATCGATCATTCCCGCACGAAGAAACTCGAAAGAATTCACCATTTCCATTCCTAGTATTCCGTCCGCTCTGTTTGAAATATGCCGCCGTTACCGTTGTACGCAACGACGCAACCGCCTCGCGTAGTCATCGCGCGCAGGCGTCGTTGAATCTCGCGTCTGTTCTCATTCGCGTATGTCTGTCTGTCGTATCATGCGTGCCGCCAATAGTGCTCGCTTTCACGTTTGTTTTGTGTGCAGCATAAGTAAAGATCGAATCTAGGTGGACAGTTACTCGATCTACATCATAAATATGAACATCAGGAAGTTTAGCTTTTGTGTGTTCCATATGATAAGGTCAATTAAATTTAAAACTTGAATGAGTAATTCAGCATTCGAGCATTCCCATGGGAACATATTATACTAACGTCGTTCTATACCATGATACTATGACTCGAGAAGATAGGCTCACTTCGCGATCGAAGTTCGTATGCCTTTGCGCATGACGTCACTCGGAGACAACCGTTCGGCGCGCAGTACGAAATGCAGTGTATTAGAGCGCTGTAATATTTGGGATGTTTGAGTTTGATTTCCATTTTGTTGTGATTTCGATTTCACATGATTATTTTAGTATCATATAAAATTTTTTATTTATATTTTGATGTACTTGTCAATAGAATTCAGTTCAGTTTAGCTTTCGTATTTTCCATATGATAAGGTCAATTAAATTTAAAACTTGAATGAGTAATTTAGCATTCGAGCTTTCCCATGGGAACATATTATACTAAAAGTCGTTCGGTACCATGATACTATGACTCGAGAAGATAGGCTCATTGCAGGATCAAATTTCGTACGCCTTTGATGCGCATGACGTCACTCGGAGACAACTGTTTGGCACACAGTACAAAATGGAGTGTATTCGAGCGCTGCGATCCTGTGTTCTTAATATTTGGGATGTTTGATTTACATTTTGCTGTGATTTTGATTTCACATGATTATTTTAAAATCATATAAATTTTCTTATTCATATTTTGATGTACTTGTCAGAATTCAATGGAGTATATCAGCTGTCGGCAAGCTCAGAGACAAGGCAACAAGATGGCAAAATGAAAAAAAAGGAGCCACCACTACGGAATTATTTAGCAATATTTGGGTCAGCAAGTAGGGGTCAGACGGGTCGCGCGTTGGAATATATCATTATAGATAAGAGTTTTATGACTTTTGAAAAATGAACAGTACATTAATGACTGAATGGATCAAGAATTGATTGAAAACATGCCACCAGCCGTTTAAACTAAAATTTGTTGTAACTCTAAATAAAGCGACTCACTTTATCTATAGAAACAAATAATATAATACATTTGTGCATTCTTTTAGAACAAAAAAATAGATATATGTCACCTCTTTGTTTTTATAAAATGCAATGTTGTGTGAATAGTCTATACTTACATAGTTTTTCAATTTTTTTATGTCAATACAATCTTTTTTATAGGTAAACAATTTTATTTAATTTATTTTACAATATTCATCGGTATAAATTAACAAGTTTCATTAATAGAAAATACAAAAGGAACACGTTGGCAAAAAAAACATAATATACCATAATTTTCCCTATAATCGCACATTTAGTCGCATTACGTTTGATTTGGTTTATTGTGCAATTTTTACCATTTTCCTTTTCCCAACTCGGGATTTTTCTTTTATGTCCCTGTTCAAAACCCGTATTTTAAAATACGTCTTATAGCGAAAAAAAGGTGCTTGGCATCTGTACTCAAGCTAACTGATGTAGCTAAATCCATTAGCGATATTAGATAATTTTTGGTCAATTTCAATGATTCTCCATTGAAAGTATTAAAATTATGGTCAGGTTCATGACATTTGACCAGAAAATCTGTTTTTCAGCAATGTAGAATGGATTCGTTCAATAGGCTGTACTACCAATATTCAATTTAATAGCATGGGCTAGACAATAATCTTTAATTACGGCTGAATTTAATTCACCTCTCAGAAAATTATGGTGGGAGAAATAATGTTTGAGTTTTTTCAAAACCTCAATGCTGTTACGAGACTGAATTAGATATGCTTGAGCATAACGACTAAAAGAGTCAATAATAGTGAGAAATTGAAATTTATCTATTTTGTAGACATCCACAAAGATGTGTTCGAATGGACTTTTGGCTAAAGAATGGGCCTGGTTGTTCAACAACTGGAGGGTGACGTTCGTATTTGCTCAAGAGACATAGTTCGCATCTATTAATGTAGTCGGTAATTAGGCGTCTAAGGTTAGGAGTGAAAATCATTTTTCTAAAATGTTCGTGGGTTTCGTTGATTCCATTGCGCGTCTGGGAGTGATATAAAGAAATTTCAGTGAGTGCCTTATCTTTGTCTAAATACAGCGGCTTTAGTTAAAGTGATTTGTTTGTTAAAAAAATAATTGGTTAAAACGCGATTAAGTTCAATCATAATAGTATGCTCTGTGTCGAAGATTCCATAATGGGTATTGGGGTGGGTATGTTCACGTCCGCGTACTATGGTACATCTGATAGTACCTATTATTCGGGAGAGTTAACGTCGAATACTTTTCCATAAATTATGTCGATACCATGCTTAAAATGATAAAAGTTCTTATCTTCGGAAAAATGTATGTTGTTAATGGGATTTTCAGGCGATGAATGAAGCGTGTGCGTGGAGCGCGCGTCGGTCACATCATAGTTAGGTGTTTGAAGAATTCGCTGAGCGTCGGGTAGATAAGAGATCGTCGCTGTCATCTACGGCGTTGATTTCTACACGACTGAGCGCGTCGGCTACATAATTCCATTTGCCTTTTCTGTATCGGATATCTAAATCAAATTCCTCAGGTTTTTGATTTCCAGCGGATTAAGAGTTGATTGGGCTCTTTGAGTCCATGAAGCCAAACTAATGGTTTATGATCGGTTTCTATAATAAATTTATGTCCGAAAAGATCGGGACGGAAATGTTTACACGAGTCGATAATAACTAGACATTCTTTTTCGATTGTGCTATAGTTAGTAACTACTAGTTACGTTCAGCACTATTGAGGGTTCTAGAATGAAACGCGATGGGCTTATTGTTTTGGGACAACACACTTCCTATAGCGAGGTTACTGGCATCGGTAGTCAATACAAATCGTTTGGAAAAGTCTGGGTAAGATAAGATGGATGGATTACAGAGTTCGTTTAATGATATCCAAAGCTTGGAGATAGTCATGATTATTGGGATTGATTTTCTCACATTTACGTAAAAGTTTGGTAAATGGCTTGGTAATTTTGGCAAAATCCTTTATGAACATACGGTAGTAGTTTGGTAAACCTAGGAAAGATTGAATTTCCTTAATAGTTTTTGGAATAGGGAAATGCTCTATAGCCTTTATTTTTTCTGGATTTGGCAAACTACCATCAGGAGTAATAATGTGCCCAAGGAAAGGGACATATTTCCGTAAAAATTCAGTCTTATCGAGTTGAATACGAAGTGTTCTTGAAGGGACTTGGAGAAAATGAGAAAATCATCTAAGTAGACGAAACAGAATTTACCTAGGGAAGCAGAACAGAGTTCATCATCTTTTGGAAGGTCGCTGGAGCATTCTTTAGTCCGAACGGCATACGGATATACTCATAATGCCCGTTCTTGATGGTAAAAGCGGTTTTTTCAACTGATTTGGGGTCTATCGGTATCTGGTGGAATCCTTGGGCGAGATCTAGCGTGGAAAAATACTTGGCTTTGCCCAAATTTTCAAGAATTTCCTCGGTTCTATGTTGAGTGCTTTTCATTCGGCTTTAAGAAAGCTTGAAGATAATTTTGAAAAGTTCTATAACATTAGATTTTTCCTTGTTCAGTACGGATCAAATCTTTCATTATTACTTTATTAGTGGGGAACTGAATTCATCTACAGACATGGTTTGGACATTGTTAATTTCTAATAGAGATAGATCTTCGGGGTATCAGATATCAAAATATTGGACTTTACATAAACACGCAGGGTGAAATTCATTAGAGTCAAGGTACTTGATATGGGGAACTAAGACAGATCCGTATGAGATATCTGCATATAAAGTAGGTTTCTCGGAAATTTCATTCGGTTCATGAGTTATGGGATTCTTCCGGTACGACAAAGTATATGAATATTACCTAGTTGTAATTTATTTTTGGAAATATCAAAAGTACAGTTAAGTTTTTGGAGATCGTAGTAACCTAATAAACAATCAAAGGTGTCATGCCAGTTTACTAAAAGAAATTCTATTTCTGACTCAATATCTAATTCGTAAAAAATGGGGATACGGCACGCATACATTCCATTTTTGCGATCTTTACAAGCTTTGATAGAAAAGTTTTTACGGTATATGTATTCTGGAAAAAGCTGAACTGCTAAATCTTGATTCATTAACGACGCAGATGCTCCAATATCGATTAAAATCAATAAATCTAAATGTTGATTATAAATTTAGGGCAAATGGGTATTTTGATAACAAATTAATATCTATGTCAAATTATTGTTTGTAGGGGGCTCCTGAAAATTTTCATTTTCAATTTGTTCGAACTGTTCATCGGGAATTTCTCGTCACGGTAACGTGTGAGGGTTATCAAAATAAATGTAATCTTCATCGTATTCGTACACGGGTCCTCCAAAATCCATATTAGTAAGTTCTTCAGAAATAAAGTTTCGATTTTCACCATTATTGGAAAAGAAATTTGGGCGTTGCTTTCGACGAGATGCTTGGGGCTGTCTATTGACAGTAGAAGTGGACATAGGAGTTGGACCTTGAGTCTGATTTACTACAAAATTTGAACTGGGTCGATCGAAATTAGATTGATTCGGTCTGAAAGCAGGAATATTCGTGGGCAGACGAGGGACGTTATTCACATTGGGTCGCGGCACGTTGATGGGGCCGGTAGGGAATCTACTCGATTGCGATAATTGACTAGTAAAACGCGAAGTTTTTGGAGTCGAACATAGAAAATTTCTGTTATGCTGATATGGAAGTCTTATACTCTGTGGCGGATTCATGGGTCTTACAACCTGCTTGGGTTTGGAGTAATTATTCATGTTTTTTTTAGCCACGTTCGTAATAAAACCATCATCAAGAAAGTGATTTAGCAATAGTTTAATCATGTGTGGTGCATCTGCAAACACATGTACTCTTTTTTGGCTCACTGAACTTGTAAACCATGTTCTTTCTTCTGTTATATTCAAGGACTTCCATAGCCCCCTGTTACTACCTCCTAAATCAGAATATTAACATAAACTGGCTATCCTGTATTTTCTAATTTGGAAATGATTTTAAACAAAAGATTCTTTGTCATTTTCCTGTCATAATCATAAAATATGGGCTGCTTCCACCTTCCACATATTCCACGAGCCGTAACAACTTGCACATATTTACTGGGTCCTAAAGTTCTGTCACTCCTCTTATCATATTCATAACAGCTTTGGATTTTCATTTAATCAAATTGCACAATTATTAACACATAGTACGCTTTCAAGTATACCTAGATAAATGATCAGTACAAATATATAAATATATATATATATAATTGGTTGAATATTTATTTTACTAGCCCATCTTCTCAAAGCGGATATTGCAGGAAGAGGGTAACCCCTTTTTCTGAGTAAGCGGTATGACCTGGGACCACCTGCTGAAGGTACATCTCCAACACTCCACTGGAAATGAAGAAAGGGTATTGCTTCACTTTTCAACTTCCATTTCTTTTCAGGTAATTCCAACAGTGATCGTTCAAACGGTAATCGCTTTCCGCTAAATGCTTCGAACAAATTCTTGCATTTTCCGTATTGAATTTGTGTGTGGTAACACTTCAGAACCCATTGTTCGCGAACTTGTTTGTCCTTTGGAAAATGGAAGAAATTGCAGGTTGAAAAGTCTCTGCGTTTCTTGTTGTTGTTGTTTTTACAACCCACCACTGCACAGTACACCATAGTTCAATGTTTGAATTACCTGTTTTTCACTAAATTTTAGATGCAGATTTATTTACAACACACCAGATCATAAACTAATCAAACGAAACATCAACAACTAGCTAAAGTGCCATATAAAACTGAATGTCATCTGAACGTCTCTCAGGATTGTTGTCTCCCAGTGACGTTACGTGTGCGAGTGAGATAGCCTGATCGCATGCGCGTGGGTTTATCTTCTGAGTCATAGTGTCATGGTTTTATACTACAGTTTAAACAAATTTGAGCTTGAGCAGATATTTATCTTCTGTTACTAAACCAAATCGTATAGCCCCCAAAAATAAATAGCTTTGAGATGGCGCACGGATTTTGAGAATAACTTCTTTTTTGATAAAGTTATATGTCACACTTTCCGCGGATGCTGCGGCGGAGAGCAAAACTTGTAAGATATCCCATAATTTGAATTAGTTTTCATAATTCGATATTCCCTTTTTTTAGCAACAGAAATATATGTGTTACATAACAAACATACATTTTTACCTTTAACTTCTGTTAAGAAACATTTTCTTCCCATTCCGAATGGAAATGGTATGTCTTCATCTTCTCACTACTGCTCATAATGTTTTTAATTGCAGGCCAACTCTAACCCAACCGCTGGACTTTGTGCCGTTCAGTTTTAAACTGAGCGCATTGTCGTGCCTTGCGTATTTATTCCGTTCAAAGTAATCGAGATCGTTCTCGAACAGATCGCTCACCGTAATGTTGCCGCTGCTTGTGTTCATTATGAGAATTTACAAAATTTACGGAAGCTTCTGTGATTTTTACACCTTTTTAAAATATATTGTGAGCCACCAGAATTGCCTTTGCGAGCTACCGGTAGGTCGCGATCGCGATCGACGGGTTGGCGACCACTGCTTTAGACAATTTCCATACTTGAAAAAAAGAACAGGTGCTTACCATCAGATTGAAAATAACAGTATGTGGTCTAGCAAGAGCGTGAAAGCAATCTTTATCTATGAAACTAGGAATATTGTCCAATATTCGTCCTTTTTCCTGTGCACACTGGCCGCAGCTTCATGGAATAAACTGAATCGTGATTGTACAGGCCTTACTGGTTCAATTTTCACTCCCGACACAAGACAACAGTCACGAAAGAGATTGAAAGCATGTCAGGCTGCCGTCTTTTTGACCCGTGTAAACGTAGCTTTATAGAAATACACACCTCCAAAGGACGCTACTGAAAAAAGGTTTTTCTCATATTAATTTTTGAAGGGCACTGAAGAGTTCAGTGAAATTTTGAAAGCTCAGTAACCAGTTGGCCCGTTACTCAAAGGTGTCCATGAAAAATAATCGACTCACGTAGATCGCTATAATAGCCAAAGGATAATAGATTTATTGTGGGAAAATATACACACTACAATGAATTCTAATTCTTCCATTGTGTTATATTCCTACATTTTTAGACAACAAATTATATAGAGAGGGGTTTTCTTAAGGGAAGGAATAAGAAAGGACAAAATAAAAATCTAAAATTTTATTTTGATATAAAATTACGAAAATTCAGATGATGGGCTCAGCAATGCCTAATTATATTAAAAATTCAACAAACTTTTATCATCATAAGATTAACAGTTATTCAAAAAAAGTGTTGTATGTTCAGATACAATTGAAGACATTGGTGCAAAAATGTGTTAACTCAATTTTTCGGATTCTAAGATTTGTGGTGCAAAAAGGTGTTAAAAGGGTGCTTTTTTGGTAGTACCTATCCGGACAAAGATGGCTCTCAGTTCTTAGATACAGAGATTCACAAAAGTGTTAACTATATCAAAAACTTAAAAACTGTAAAAGGTGTTAACTCTTGCATTATAGGTGAAAAGAGTTAATTCAGTTTTCGCTTAAAATGTAAAAATGTTTGCGTTGTAGCATCGAATGAGGAGTTGCAAAGAATAAAAAAGCTTTTGATGTACAAAAATCTGATCGAGAAATAGCAAAAAGAAACGAAAAAATCATATACCTCACATTTGATTTACAAAAAACGCTTCCCTTGCCGTAAATTTCTACAAGTTAATCCTTCTATTTACGAAAAGTATGGCCCTACAATCTAGGAATACATTTGATATCAACACAGCAACCAAATGGTAAAGCTTTTTGTTTCACGTCTGGACCGAATACCAAGGAAATCCAGGTCCTGAAGAGATTGGCCTTCCCTTATGGCCTTTTTGGAAAATATCACGAACCAAGGCATATGGGTTCCGATCATCTGACTGCGTGAGTGATTCGGCAGGTGGCCAAAATAGAAATTTTTAAAATTGTCTAATAATTTCTGGAGTGTTCAAAAAAATTGACCATAAGCAGCTGTAGAAAAGTCTATCAGAAAGCACCAACTAATTTATACGGTGGATCAATATTTCAATCATGGCAGAAGCCAGGAAAAAAACACCTTTTAATATTACAAGAATGGCGGAGAAATTTGTTGATATTAAAGAACTTGCAAGAAAACTTGAACTGATCGATAGAAAAAAAAAACTACAAATAATGAGAAATTTTCATTCAGAGATGAAAGGTGGATCCAGATTGAAGAATTTGGTTTAACCAAGTACAATTAAACGGAAAATTGGGCTAATGTTGATATAAGAAAACAGCGAAATATCGATAGAAGAGTAGAAAATGAACCACTATTATTGAAAGTCGATAGAAACGACCTATTGTGGTCAAAAAGTTTGATAATATTCAGGAACAAATTCTTTTAATACCAGCAAATTTTAGAGGGTTTTATCAAAATTTAAGAAGAGAAGGCGATTAGTTATAGTGTGTGGTTTATTTGTTATTACTTTTGTGAGTTTGTAATAAGAATAGAAGAACAATGTTTACTTTTAATAAATAACATTGAATTAACACCTTTCGGCTACTTTCATTTAACAGTTTTTTAAAAAGGTGTTAAGTCAGATTTTCAACAATCTTTTACAAATTTCTGATAAAAACAATTTTTTTAACAAAACTGTCTATTCGAGATACTTTTATATGTCTAAAATAACCTTCAATAATGAACGCAACCCTAACACTACTCAATAAAAATTTTCAGGAATTAAACTTTGACGCCAATTATCTCCAAACTATAAAATCTGACTTAACACCTTTTTGCACCAAAGGCTTCAATTGAGAACTCGAATAACAATTAATTGATTGATACTTAGTTCTATTTATAGAATCAGAATATACTCCTACAATAAGCTAATACATATTATCCGAAAACTATTAAAAAATAGACTAGATTGCCTAAGAAACAAATTAATAACAATATTTAAGCCTCTTTCTTAACTTTATTGAAAAACTGTCTTTCGGTGATCTCCTTATGCACAGCTTTCTCCATTGCAACCAAGAACTCTTTAAGGGTAGTCAAATGTTGATGATCTAAGAACAAAGCATGTGCTATGAAAGGCACTTTTCTTAAAGACCTTCCACTTAAGCCTTTGCTTTGTTCACAAATCTTCAAAAGATGCCTTGTTTCTTCAGAAAGGTTTTCAGTCCCGTGCTGCAGTACATTTATATGATCTAATGGCTGTCCTTTGATTATTTGAGCCTGAAAAACACAAAACATTTAAAATTGTGTCATTTTGTATACAATTAGAGTTTTCTGGGAATGAATGCTGACAGATCAATATTACCAATGATTAACGTCTTATATCTGAAGAAAGCCAACTAGGTTAATCCGAACTGCCTAAGGTTGGTAGAACAGCGAAAAGTCTCCTGAGGTAGGTAGTTCCACAATCTCAACACCCTAGACGTGAGTGACAGACAGCAAGACAGATAAAATTAATAAAAGTGGCAGTACTATCTGTCTTGCCGTCAGTAAAAGATTGAAATTTTACTAATGGGAACTAAAAGATCATCATATCGCTTATGAATGTAGTAGACAAGGACCAGACGACGACCGAGGCGGTACCACCCGCTAGCTTTTCCAGGGTGTCTTATAAATGTCCGCATGTTTCAACACCTAAGCTATGCAGTCGGTTATCTTATCAAATTAATGATGATGAATCCTCGAGCACTAAGAAATCCGGACGTAAACTCACTCCACTCTCGGAATTTCCAGGTGGAGGGTGGGCTCGAGGGAACAACATCAAAAAATTTGTTTCACGAACATCTGCGGGATTAACAGCAACATTGATGCTGTTCATCACTACCTGCAATCCACTCGTCCCGCCATGCTTTTCTTGACGGAGACAAAAATCTCAGTGTCTGGACCGATTAACCATCTTAGCTTCCCAAATTACGAGGTGCACTCACCGGAAGGACATTCTGTGGCTTCGCCTCAACTCCAAAACATCCCCCAAATTTATTTGCTGCCTTTATCGCTCTTTCTCGGACCATAACTTTGATGACCTTGAATACCTCGCCGTCAAGATCGACTTCCTGAACATCAAAAACCCCGCTTCACAGGTAGTTCTCCCCGGTGATTTCAATGCCCATAACGAGATTTGGTTGGGCTCAAACAAGACCGATGTAGCAACTCGTGCAGTTGAAGCGTTCGCTCATACTCAAGTGCTGACCCAGCTGGCGACTTTTATCCCCCGCGTCTCGTCACATGCCAGTAGCCTGCTGGATCTCTTTCTGAGCACGCATCCTGTCCCTTACAGTACTGCTGTCCTGTCCCCCCTGGGTAACTCAGACCACTGTGTTGTGGAGGTTAGGTTTCGGCAGCAGAAACTCGTACAGGTCGCAAAACTTCGCATAACACACATGCCGACTGGGAGGGACTCAGAGACTTTTCCTTGGAGAGATGTCTGTTTCACTGACGCGGATGCTTCGGCTGTCTGTTCTTTCATAACCGAAATTATCCACGTCGGAATGGAGGAATAGATCCCTCACACAGTGAAAGTGCCTAAACCAGGGTCCAACGGCTCGTTTAACAAATCGTGTGACACTGCTCGCCAGCAGAAGATCAAGGCACACAGAACCTTCTTACAAAACCCCACTGTAGAGAACAAACAAGCCGACGTCGAGTCCAGAAACAAATAAAACGAAGCGGTTCGCAATGCCAAAAACCAGCACGATATAAAAGTTAGGCACAGGGTAATAATAATAATAACAGTAATAATAATAGCGTTTATTTGCAGAGTAAAAAATACAAAGAGAAAAAATGAAGAAACAACAACATGAATTCCCTGCAACAGGGACTAGTAAACAGACAAGCTGATCAAGTACTAGCACAACAAACAAATTAACCAAATTATATAAGTTAATATTATTAATTAATAAATAATAAATACAAGTGTAAAAAATATGTAGGTATATAAAAAATTATAAAAAATGTAATTTAACGAAAAAGGTCAAGATTTAACAAAACAAAAAAAAATATATAAAAAGGAAAGGAACAATGTAAAGTAAACACTACAATTCATCTAATAGAAATTTTTTGTAAGTTCTTTTAAAGCTGACACAGACATAGACTTAAGGTTTGTGGGGACGTGATTGTACAAGTGGTAGATAAAATGAGAAAAACATCTGGTAAACATAGATGTACGATGACGTGGTTGGGAAATTTGCTTCCGAGACCGAACATTGATATTGTGAACATCACTTCGAAATGTAATCCTATTATATAAATAAGGCGGAGTTTTATATAGAATAATTTCATGAAATAAAACTGAAGAGTGCAGATTTCTCCTGGCTTCCATATTTAGCCATCCTGTTACAGGTAACTTATAAGAAATATGTTCAAATTTTTTCAGTCCAAAAATAAACCTAAGACAAGAGTTTTGGACACACTGTATGCTATCAACATCATACCTTGTTATACAAGGCATATAAACTGAGGCGCAGTAATTGAATAATGACACAACAAGCGTGTCACAAAGTAAAGCCTTAAGTTCGGTAGAAAAGGTATGACGATGTGGAAACGACATTTTAAGCCGACCGTAAGCACGGCCAATGCACTTATCAACATGCTTTGAAAACCTCAGGTCACTATCCATAATCAAGCCTAAATTCCTAGTAGCGGATGTATGAGGAATAACATTATTATTAATTGAAATATGGAATGAAGCTGCCACGCTCTTTTTGTGTTTCCCGAACAATAAAACATTTGACTTCGTTGGATTTACAGATAACTGATGTGCTATGATTTCATTTGACAAATTACTAAATCTTCATTTAATAATATAACCGCAGATGTATCTGTATGACAGAACGAACATTTTATCTGGGTATCATCAGCATATAAATAAGGCTTTGAATATCTCAAACTACTAGTAATATTTGCGTAGTATACTAAAGAAAAGTAAGGGACCCATGATAGAGCCTTGAGGTACCCCACACAGAACAGGCTTGGAAACAGACATCTCGGAAGAGGTTATGACAAACTACGTCCTCTTCGAGAAATAATTTTTGAATAGTTTAATAGCATTAACGAAACACCCCATGTATTTTAAAATAGAAAACAGTAACCGGTGATTAATTGCATCACATGTCTTTGTGAAATCAAGCAATACAAGAGCCGCTGTATTGCCGTTATCAATATCCGTGATAATTTCGTCCGTAACATCTCGAAGCGCTGTCGTGCAACTAAAACCCTTCCGAAACCCTGACTGAAATGAAGGCACCAAATCATAATTATCTATATGAAGCATTAACTGAAATTTTATAATTTTTTCCAGAACTTTAGACAGCACCGGTAATATAGAAATTAGACGAAGATCCGACAAGCTGCATATAGTGCCTTTCTTTGGCAGAGGATGAACTTTTGCAACTTTCTAACAGTCTGGAAAAGTATTTTCTATTAGGCAACAATTAATAATATGCGTTATGGCTGGTAAAATGAACGGACAGCATAAAAGTAGCATTTCTATATTAATACCATCCGCCCCAGTTGCAAGAGTTTTTATTTCATAAAGATATTTATAAACAATGGCTTCAGAAACAGGTTCAAATGAAAATAACTGATCAAAATCCTAACGGAAATTGCTATTGTAAAAGTGAAATTTTTCTGGATCAGGATCAACATTGTTTGATGACGGAATCAGAAAATTCTTATTTATCTCATTCGTATCATCGAATTCTGCAGGTATATTTGGCGTTTTAGACTTGCCAGCAATATCTAGGTTTTGCAATTTCTTCCAGATAGCCTTTGAATTCCCTCGGCAGCTTTTACACGAGTACTTAAAATATGATTTTTGTTCGGCCCTAACAGCATTGGTGGTGAGATTCCTCATTTGTTTATAATTGTTCCGAAAAACCGGTCCTTTTAAATTTTCTAAACGCCTTGTCACGAAGAGACATCATTAATTTAACATTGGCGGTTAACCATGGCGGCTTAAAATGTTTAAATTTGATCTCAGGTAGTGGAGCTAAAGAGTAAAAAATATTATGAATAATACTATTGAAATATAGTACATTTTCATTTATATTATTTATGAAAAATAAGTCATGAAAAGAAGAAATTGGCAAAAATATATATCCTTATCTATGTTTTTAACGTTTCCAACATATTTACTACACTCGGTTGCAACGCATTTCAAATTCAAAGTACAATTAACAATATTTATTGATCTATTGTTCCTTTGTCAGATACATTTAAATCATTAGACACTAGAATGACATCAATAAGAGAAGCAGAAGTATTAGTGATACGAGTGGGTGAATTAACTAATTGAGATAAATTAAAAGTTCAATACAGTTATGAAAGGCCTCAACTTGATTGTTTTGAAAGTTCAAACAATCAATATTGATGTCTCAACCAAAACTGATGTACCAGAATTTGAATAAAGCTCAGTGAGATTTGCTTCAAGATTAACTAGGAAGTCACATACATTTTTACTTGGTGGCCTATGAAGCATGCCAAACTTGAAATACTCTTTATTTATACAAAATTCTAATCAAATTTGTTCTACTGCTTCGTTTTGGAAAATGTTTATTGTTTTACATTTTATATATTCTAATGTGAATACTAGAATGCAGCCTCGTCTGTCAAACACTAACTATATCAAATTTCTTTCCTACCATGAACTGTTTAAATTCAAAGAAATTATTTGTAAGTGATCTTACATTAATAAAAGCAAATAATAAATCTTTCATAAAAATGTAATGGATTCAATAAAAAAATACTAACAAATAGAATTGAAGACTCATTTTTTTAAATTTTCTATGTCTGCTAATGATTTGATCCTCAATGCAACTTCCCCATTAACCTTCCAGGCAAAGATCTGGCTATTTCTGCACAAAACGTATTTAAACCCAGAAATCTTCAATTTTCTTTCCTCTTTATAAATGTCCTTTGGAAGATCTTCATTAATAAATATTCTAGCTTGTGAATCACAGATGCTGCAGTTTTGATTGCTCAGTGACAGCCTTTTTCTCTTTTCTATAACCATATTACGTTGTTCCACTGAATCAAATTGCACAGCCACTACAGTAGGATCCACCTCAGCCTTAGAAGGAACAAATACCTTATAACCAATTTCGAAAAGACTTTTTTGAAGTTTTCATCAATTTTCTGATTTCCTTTAACCCATGTAATAATCACCCTTTTCTTCCTAGCTTCATCTTCATCTTTAGAAACCTTTTTCTTCAAAGTAACTAACTCCTTCTCCAGTTCAGCAACACGATTCTTAAGATGCTCTTGTGTTTTTCGCACCTCACGATTCTCATCCGATATAGCTTTTATCGTTCTTTGTAACTCCCCCATCACTTCGCCATTAAAATTAAGGGCTTTTTCTATTTCTGAAAACTTCTGTTGTATAGTTTTCATTATGTCTTTGTTACTGCTTACTGGGATTATCTATTGGTACGGGATCAGACGGGTCTGACCGATCTGATGATGAAGAATGCCTGTTTTCACCACATCTGCCACACAACCACTTCTGATCAGTCTTACGCTTTTCATAAGCCAAAAATTGCTCGTCCGATAGCCCAGTACATGCCCTATGTTACCATCCACCGCACGTCCCAGAACATTTCAAACTATATTATGTCTCAGTTATATTATTTCTACATTTATAACATTAACAGGTCTTGAACTTGCCTTTTGTCATATTGACCCAAATCAACCGGACTATAACACAGGCTTCTAAATAAAATACCAGAAATAACTCTTTTTCATTCACAGCTCTTTTTGTAGCCTGGTATACTTTTTATAAGCGAGGTGGGGTATATTATATTCAAATTGCTGCAATTTCGCACAAATAAATGCACATAACACAAATACTTCACTCCTCGCACCACCAAGGGAGACTTGTAAGAAAAGAAATAAATTAATCGCTGGTGTTAGACGCATGAAATTTGAAGAAATACCATAGCACTTTTTAGAACGTGTTAACTGTACAACTAGTTATATGATTCTCTGGAGCAATCGCAGTCGGTCTTTCTGGACGCTGGCCAAGCAGATTGAAAACAACTTCTCACACAGTAGCCTTCCACCGTTTACGTATCAGGATGGAACGATTGTATCCGACTCAAAGGCCAAGGCGGAAGTGCTTGCCAAGATCTTTGCTGCCAACTCCACCATGGACGTCCCCCCCCCCCAACGCCCAAGTGCCGTCAATTCAAATGGCTCCCTACACTATGCGGGAGGTAACATTCAAGCATAAGACCGGAAGACGAGTGCTATTGTCGCTCGACATCAACAAAGCTTCTGGCCCGGACTTGATTCCTGTCGTTGTACTGAAGAGGTGTGCAGCGGAGCTTGCCCCAGTTCTTTCGCGATTCTTCCTGATATCTTATGAATTCGGCACCTTTCCAGAAAACTGGAAATTTGCTCATGTCCAACCCATCCCAAAAAAAGGATCTAAGACCGACCCTTACAACTACAGGCCTATATCTCTGCTTTCTGTTATAAGTAAGGTGATAGAGAGGTGCATAAATTGCGAGCTTCTGGGCTACCTCGAACGTCACAGCTTGATTAGCGACAGGCAGCATGGTACCAACGATCCACAGAGGACCTCCTAGCTTACGTCACGCAATTGTGGAGTAAACTCATCCAGTCTTATGGTGAGGCTCATGTCGTTGCTCTTGACATCACGAAAGCGTTCGATCCGCTGTGACACGCTGCCCTCTTAAGCAAACTACCATCTTATGGCCTCCCAGAAAAGCTTTGCAGATGGGTGGCTGACGTTATCTCTGGCCGCGAGATAACCGTCGTAATTGACGGGTTCTCGTCTTCATCCCACAACGTCAACGCGGGTGTTCCCCAGTGATCAGGCTTGGCTCCAACACTGTTCCTCTTTCATATCAACGACCTCCTTTCCCGCACGATCAACCCAATCCACAGCTTCGCTGACGACAGCACTTTACATGCAGGAATTCAGAGTGATAAGCCGATCTCTGCCACTGAGCTGGGAAAAAGAAGACTAGCGACGACTGTTTGGGGACGCAACAATCTTGTACTGTTTAATGTTTCGAAAACACAGTACTGTACTTTGACGAACAAAAAGCGTCCTAGCGCTCATCCGGTTTCGATGGATGGCCGAGTTCTGCGGTAGCTGCTGGGAAAAAGCTAGGCTACTTGTTCAGGGCCAAGAATTACTTTTCTCCGAATGATCTTCTCACTCTATACAAGGCCCAGTTAAGGCCTTGCCTCGAGTATTACTCACACGTTTGGGGTGCTGCCGCCCCGACTACATTATTTATGCTCGATGCTGTCCAGAGGAGGCCAGTCTGACTGATAGGTGACTCTTTTCTAACAGACAGTCTCGGGACCCTTTCGCACCGGCGGGCCGTCGGCGACTAGTTCTTTTCTACCGCTACACCAACGGGCTTTGCTCCTCAGAGCTCTATTCTATGATGCCACCGCGCGATTTGCCTGACAGACAGACCCGCCTGACTTTGGCGTCCCATCCTAACCGTGTCGAATTTCGTACATCTAGAACTGGGCGATACGACTGCTGCTTTGTCCCGGGGGTGTCGAGATTGTGGAACAATCTACAAGAGGAAGCTTTTCCCAGTTCTACTAACCTTAGGCAGTTCAAAAATCGTACTAACAAAATTTATTTGGGATCATCATACCACCCGCGGTGTTCCGGCATTTAGGCTTCTGCCTGCGCGGCTGCTTCGGCATAAAAAAATCACAGCCCATAACTAAGTAAACGACTTAGATTTGTTTATATCGTTCTGATAACTATTATGACTTCGTCTATCCGCCGTTTCCGACTTGATGTCGACATCTGTATACCTTGTATACTATATATATTCCCGCGCCAAAAAAGAAATCTAAAAAATCCTAGCGCTATCTATGCGTCAGTAGCAGAATTAATTTAGAACTTGGAGTGTTTGGCTCTCCTGCTGTGTCATATAGGATCTCAAATCCCTTTCTGGTCTCTTTTATGCCTATTTTAACTGGGTATCTTCAGACATTTATTAACTGCCAACAATAGCAGAACTAAATACTAACTCATTTCTAAATTAATTTTTGTGTTCTGCTACTCCAGGTATGATTTGATAATGAGTGATATTACCTTCATTAGTTCTTCCAAACATGTTACATATATCTTATAAATTGCTGGTATAGCAGGTAATCCAAGAAACTGTTTAATATCAGCTCTGTCAACAAATGCTAGGTCTATAGTCTCAGTCATGTTCGATGTGGCAAAGATCAGAACATTTTTGTGTGCTCTGATTTCATCTATTTGAGTTAGTAAGGTGTTCACAACCCTTATTGAATCTGAAGGCTCAGCACCTGTAAAAATAGATAAGAAAATAGAATATATTTTGGTTGTCACAGAAAAAGCTAGATGTTCTATAAACCATACTCCATGTATTCCAATAGTACTTTACTAATAGGTGATTAGACTAGATTTTTGATCTCTAAAAAAATCTTGATAGTAAAGATAAGCTTTTACAACATAATACATCTGAAATTATTGATAATGCCGACAACTACTTCGAACAAATTATGAATAATATGGATAAATATATTAGTGAAGATATGGTCAAGAAAATAATATTTGAAACAGTGTACCCAACACCCTGGTTTTCACAGATATTCAAGGAGTCTAAATTAAAACGCGATAACGACTACAGAAAATTTTCAGTAACCCAAGGTGAAAATGATTGGAAACAATATACAAAATCAAGAAATGAGTGTGTAGCAGTTCTCTGGGGGGAAAAGAAAAAAATACTATGATAAGAAGATCGATAGCAATAAAAATAATTCTAAAATGATGTGGAAAACATTAAAGAATATTGCTTCTCCTAATAAAAAGACTGAATTATCTAAAATGCGTTTCGAAAATGGGGTAGCGACAGGCAAATTATATAATTATAGCAGAAAGAATGAACACTTAAAGAAAGTGTAAATCAAATAGTGAAGACGATTGATGACGGTGATCCAAACTTATGTCCATTACAATTATGTCAGAATTCATCAATGAAGCAATTTAGGACAATTAACATCAACAATCTAAGAAAGGCTATCTCAAAATTGAAATATAATAAAAATCCAAGTGAGAATCTCACAAAAAAAATTCTGAATGATTGTTTCAATATAATTGGAGATAAATTATTATTATTGGTGAATCATTGTTTAGTACATGGTGAATTCCCATCAAAATTAAAGTATTTCACCACTACTCCTGTGCCAAAAGTTCAAAATTCTCAGATGTATACAAATATGTGACCGATTAATGTCTTGACCGATGTCGAGAAGCTGTTCGAAGGGATGATATACAGACAAATCATAGAATTCATTGAAGAAAACAAAATTTTGATAAAAAACAAGCTGGATTTAGAAAAAAATGTTCCACAGAAACGGCAATCCAAATGGTGCTGGAAGACTGGAGAAGAAGTATAGATGAGAAAGAATATATTGTAACAATATTTTTACACTTCAAAAGGGCATTTGAGACTATAGATATGGAAACATTGTTAATGAATTTGCGTCACTATGGCTTTAAAGGATCAGTATTACACATTTTACAAAATTATTTAGTAAATAGAAGTCAAAAAACTAAAGTTGGACATATTATGTCAAGTGTTCAAAATATATCAGTTGGGGTGCCACAGGGGAGTAAATTAGGGCCGTTACTATTTATTATTTATATAAATGATATCTCTGACATCTTAGAACACTGAAAAATTCACATATTTGCGGACGATACTCTTATATATATATGATATATGATATATGATATATAAGATGACAGCAGAATCTTGGTGTGTATCTATACAGGGTGACTTCGAAGTTGAGTCATTTATTCTAACAGTGAGTAGATCTGATCAAAAGAAATGTTTTTTTCCTTTAACATTTTTCTGGTAAAATTAAAGTAAAAAAGTTATAGCCCTTTAGAAGTTTGAGTACCGCCCTGTCTCAATAATAATATTATGTGTTTGGCAACAACCGATATCGGTTCATCGCATCGGAAACAAAAAAGCGAAAGAATTTGAAACGTTTATCACGTTGTTTTTCGTCAGTCGGTAACGCGTGGGTGAATAGTGATGTTTGTTGCGTGACTCAAACGAAATGAAAAATGGCACATGTTTACGAAAATGCTGAACTTGTGGACATGATTCTTATTTACGGGGGGGCAGTCTTTACAAAATGCTGCCGGATGCATCACGGATTTATGCGAATCGGTTTCCCAATCGAGTGCAACCAACCCCTCGTGCCTTTGTTAATGTAGTACAAAGGGCTCGTGAATCAGGTGACTTAAGACCTCACAGGTGAGAGCATGCCGGTGCTCCAAGACCGCACGATCAAATACAGGTCCGCACTGAAATACTTGTCGGGAGGATACTTTATTAAACAAGGTAACATTTTTTTTTTATTTTTACACACATATTTTGGTTTATCTTCCTTCTACAATCATTATCTGAAAATTAATGACTCAACTTCAAAGTCACCCTGTATATATATAACTGTTAAGTAGTGATATTGAAAAAATTAATTTTTTAAAATGTCAATTAACTTAAATTAAACGCTAGTAAAACAAAATGTATTTCAATAGGGAAACAGTTAGGTGACAATACAATTAGGCTCATGATTAATAATGAAAAAATTGAAGTAGTCGAGTCATTTAAATTTCTTGGTATATATGTGGATAGTAAGCTACTGTTTCACGAATATTAGGAATACATTATTTCAAAAATATCGAAAAAGATAAATTACTTCTATAGAGTTTCCCATAATCTTAGTATGTATTCCAAAAAAAATTTTGTATAACACTATAATTCTTCCTCATTTTTTATATTGTTCTACCATCTTGTTTACAGCAAATGAAAACATTATCAAAATTAAAAATTCTACAAAATAAAGCTATGAGAATCATTTTAAATAAAAAAATATATTAGGATTAAGATGTTAGAAGAACTGCGGTGGTTGAATGTGAAAAATTTCATATATTATTTAGTTCTCGTTTTCATATTCACATTTAGAGAACTTCACAAAATTAAATATTTTTAACCCCAGTGGAACTTCTAGAATTTATACTATTATTGTTCCTTAAATCCATTGTGTTCTATATGGTCAAGGCTAGGTTGAAAAAAAAACATGGAAAATGCTCAGAAATCCTCAGAAAGGCAATATTTTATTATATGAAAACAAAATAAGTACGTGGCATTTATAATTAACTAGTGTAATAATATTAAAAATTCAAACATGAAAAACTTCATTGCTCTGTTAACCGAAAAAAAAAACATTCTGAGGGACCCCGAGACATATCCCAGTCCATTCCACACAAAACAATGTCGTTAACTGCGAAAACGTACATGAGACCAAAAAATTCACATTATCGTATGGACGCTAGACAAGACAAAGAAGGATGCTTATCGACCATCTATAGATCGTGTTTTGAGACCGTCTCCATACTGCCTATAAACAAATTCCCAACGGGATCTACTAGTATGTACTACGTTTAAGGATTAAGACTCTGAACTGCCCATTAAACAAATGAAGTCAATGGTGCAAACTGACGCAATCAAGCACTTATATCAGCAGGAGAAAATATCAATACGTATAGCAAATTATTATTTTTTTATGGCGAAGCAGCCACCGCAGGCAGAAGCCTAAATGCCGGAACACCGCGGCTGCTATGATGATCCCAAAGAAATTTTGTTAACCCGATTTTTGAACTGCCTGAGGTTAGTAGAACTAGAAAAAGCTTCCTCTTGTAGATTTTTCCACAATATCGACAACCTCGGGACAAAGGAGCGGTTGTATCGGCCAGTTCTGGATGTACGAAGTTCGACACGGTTAGGATGCGAGATCAAAGTCAGACGGGTCTGTCTAGCAGGCACATCGCGCGGCGGCGAAAGAGAGCTCTGATGAGCAAAGCCCGTTGGTGTAGCGGTAGAAGAGAGCTAGATCGTAGACAGCCCGCCGGTGCGAAAGGGTCCCGAGACTGTCAGTTAGAGAAGAGTCATCGATTAGTCGGACAGCCCTCCTCTCGTCAGCATCGAGCATAAATAATGTAGTCGGGGCGGCAGCACCCCAAACGTGTGAGCAATACTCGAGGCTAGGCCTTATCTGGGCCTTGTATAGAGTGAGAAGGTCATGCGGCCAAAAGTACTTCTTAGCCCTAAACAAATAGCCTTTTCCCAGCAGATGCTATTGACGAGATGACTTCGTGTCAGATCAGGTCCTCGCTGATCTGGGCTCCGACCTGTCGAAATGAATGGCTCCTTGGCAGAACTCGGCCATCCATCGAAACCGGATGAGCTTTAGGACGCTTTTTGTTCCTCAAGGTATAGTACTGTGTTTTGGAAGCATTAAACTGTACAAGATTGTTGGGTCCCCAAGCAGTGATAACCTCCAGGTCTCTCGTCAGAGAGGAAGTCTTCTTTTTCCAGTTCAGCGGCAGAGATCGGCTTGTCACTCTAAATTCCTGTATGTAGAATGCTGTCATCAGCGAAGCTGTGGATTGGGTTGATCGTGTAGGAAAGTAGGTCGTTGATATGTAAGAGGTACAGTGTCGGAGCCAAGACCGATCCCTGGGGAATACCTGCGTTGACGTTGTAGGATGAAGAGGAGAACCCGTCAATTAAGACGGATATCTTGCGGCTAGAGATAAAGTCAGCCACCCATCTGTAAAGCTTTTCTGGGAGGCCATAGGATGGAAGTTTGCTTAAAAGGGCAGCGTGCCACAGCTGATCGAACGCTTTCGTGATGTCAAGAGCAACGACATAAGCCTCACCATAAGACTGGATGTGTGACGTTAGCTAGGAGGTCCCCTGTGAAACGCTGGTGCCGGAAACCATACTGCCTGTCGCTAATCCAGCTGCGACGTTCGAGGTAGTCCAGAAGCTCGCGATTTAGGCACCTCTAAATCACCTTACTTATAACAGAAAGCAGAGCTATAGGCCTGTAGTTGTAAGGGTCTGTCTTAGATCTGTTTTTTGGGACGGGTTGAACATGAACGAATTTCCAGTTTGCTGGGAAGGTGCCAGATTCATAAGAAATCTGGAAGAGACGCGAAAGAACTGGAGTAAGCTCAGCTGCACACCTCTTCAGTACAATGGCAGGAGTCAAGTCAGGGCCAGAAGCTTTGTTGATGTCGAGCGACAAGAGCACTCGTTTTACGGTCTTATGCCTGAATGTTACCTCCCGCATATCGTAGGAAGCCCTTTGAATTGACGGCACTTGGGCGTTGGAGGGGAAGTCCATGGTGGAGTTGGCAGCAAAGATCTTGCAAGGACTTTCGCCTTGTCCTTTGAGTCCGATACAATCGTTCCATCCTGTCACGTAGGTAGTGGAAGGCTACTGTGTGAGAAGATCTTTTCAATCTGCTTGGCCAGCATCCAGAAAGACCGACTGCCATTGCCCTGTGACATTACTCTATGCCTAACTCTTATATTTGTTTCTGGACTCGACGTCGGCTTGTGTGTTATCTACAGTGGGGTTTTGTAAGAACGTTCTGTGTGCCTTGATCTTCTGCTGGCAAGCAGTGTCACATGGTTTGTTAAACCAGCCGTTGGACCCTGGTTTAGGCACTTTCACTGTATGAGGGATGTATTCTTTCATTCCGACGTGGATAATTTCGATTATCGAAGAACAGACAGCCGACGCATCCGCTTCAGTGAAACAGACATCGCTCCAAGGAAAGGTAGAGAAGAAAGTCTCTGAGCCCCTCCCAGTCGGCATGTCCGTATTGCCAAATGTTGAGGCCCGATCGAGTTTCTGCTGCCACAGCTGGTTCTGACCGAAACCTAAAATCCACAACACAGTGGTCTAAGTTATCCCGGATGCGTGGTCAGAAAGAGATCCAGCAGGCTACTGACACGTGACGAGACGCGGGGGACAAAAGTAGGTCCCGTCATCAGCTGGGTCAGCTTTTGAGTAAGAGCGAACGCTTCAACTGCACGACCTGCTGCATCGGTCTTGTTTGAGCCCAACCAAAGCAAATTATGGTAATTGAAATCACCGGGGAGAACTACCTCTGAAGCGGGGTGATTGATGTTCAGGAAGTCGATCTTGACGGCGAGGTATTCAAGAAGGTCATCCCAGTTATGGTCCGAGGGAGAGCGATAAAGGCAGCAAATAAATTTGGGGAATGCTTTGGAGTTGAGGCGAAGCCACAGAATGTCCTTCCGATATGATTCCAGATAAACATCTGGACAAAGGCCACAACTCTCCCGTTCTTTCTCAGACTGGAGTACACCTCGTAATTTGGAAAGCTAAGATGGTTAAAAGAAAAGCATGGCGGAACAATTGGATTGTGATGAACAGCGTCAATGTTGCTGTTAATCCCGGAGATGTTCGTGAAACAAATTTTATCTTCGATGTTATTCCCTCCAGTCCACCCTCCACCCCATTCCGAGAGTGGAGTGAGTTTACGTCTGGAATTCGTAGTACTCGAAGGATCCATCATCATTCATTTCTTTGGTTTGGACGGTAACCGACTGCATAGCTGTGGAAACATGCGGACATTTATAAGACACCCTGGGAAAAGCTAGCGGGTGACACCGCCTCGGTCGACTAGTCCTTGTCTACTACGTTCTTTTTGCGAGCCTATGATATTAAGTAGACCTAAAGTGGCCCGTTGGCGGACTTGTACCGCCACCTGGCAATTGGTACTGAGGTATTCCTTATCGCGTGTACAATCACTTGAACGGAAAGAAGTTGTATACTGGATACAACAACTTCCGGAACAAGCATTTGCCACGGGTTTTTGAAATTCAATATAGTTGTTAGTTATTTTTCATACCTTCGTTGACAAACTTAGATTTACGGCATAGTTGTTGTTTTCTCAGTTTTCGAACCGGTGTTGATCGCATGTAAAAATGTTGGAAGTCCTTGGAAAAAACTATATCTGTTAGATCGTAATTATGTTGATAATGTATGTTTGTACGAAACAAGTACAGGAATACAGCGCTGTACATATTCACGTGACATGCAGCAGCTCTGTGATTTAAACGAATTCAATACAGCAACATAAATAGACACATACGTAAGAAGAGATGCGGGACGTGTGGTATTGACTTTGAGCATCGATCGACGCAGTTTCTGGATAAGCCACAGGCGCACCGCTAAACAAATCTTATCAATGTCTATTAGGCGTTCATCTAACATAGTGCTTCGCAGCAACACCAACCCCGAACAAAATCAGTCAAGCTTTACACACTTTTCAAATTACTATTGAGCAGCAAACAGAAAATGATTCAATTTTTAAGTACAATCTGCATAGCTAGTATATTACCCAGACTTAGTCGCAATACTCGTATATACGTATAAATCGTAAGAATTGTGCTGTAAACAAGTGATGTCAAAGAGGGGGACAGTATTTGGAATATCAAAAAATCGCAATGCTCAGGTCCTATAGCTATAACTTATAGTTAGTATGCCTCTGTCGCTATGATGTGTCAGAAAGTTTCACAATGGTGTTAGATTACAAAAGGAAGTTTCAGACGTCTAGGGGGGGGCCTCTAAATCCGCCACTGAAGCAAACCACCCATTTCATAACAATTTACCTGACACACACTGCTCTCTTGCTCTGGCCAATGACTCAACCTCATCAATCAAAACACAAACTAACAGATTTGCATTTTCAACCACTTCTCTGATTTTTGTAAACATTTTGTTAACCAACTTGCCACTCTGTAAATGAGAAATAATATCAATACAAGTCAATGGCTACTTGATAAACAAACTTAAGTGTAGTAACACCGAGTCACTGTTATTTTCAATAAATATGATCATAGCTGCTAATTTAGTGTCTGGATGCAACTGATAAATAAAGTTTTTGTACCTAAACTAAGTGATTTATCAGGTATTTCTTGATTTAATATGGGAATTAGAGTGCCATCATACACAAATCGCGTAATTTTCCTCTAGTTTGGGTGAGATTTTACAAGAAATCGAATTTGTGATTGATGTGCTTTTTTGCGCCCTGGCTAAGGCCCGTATCGTCAGTCGTCCATACAATTGTAGGGTGCCTCCTTGATTGTCATACTCTTTTCTCTCCTTCAAAAATTTCTAGATTACACTCGTCCCGTGTCAGCGTCAGCGATCTCCTATTGTTAAGATATGTTTTCCTTTTAAATTGTAGGAAATTTCAGGCTGATAAAACATGATATAACTCAAAAGCAAGCACAATTTGACGCAAATAGATGTTTGTGACATAACCTCAAAATAGAGCTCTGACACGGAGAAGTAGAAAACTAAGACAATCAAGGAGGCCATAAGCGCGCCCTACAATTGTAGGGACGACTGACGATACGGGCCTTAGTAAAATCGGTCCTAAATCATGCATATCCCCTACTTGAAACAAAAAATTACTCTCATTACCTCAGAAAACCACTTTGAGAACAAGCTGTGACTATTTATCTCAATGAGAAGCCCAGAAGTGAAACGTTCTTGCATACGAACAGTCAACTTTTGAGCCAAGGCTTTGCACAATGAAGTTTTTCCAGTTCCTGGGGGTCCATGGAGTAAAATCACTTTATTGCAAGTTATGACATTACCATCCACCCCTCTGTCTCCAAATTCCATCATGGTCCGAGCATAATTCAACAACTAGAATGATATATAACGCTTGATAAGAAACAGGTATAGTATTTTTAACACGTTAAACGCCAAGCAAAATGTCCATCAGGCCATCATGTTCCCAACAAATAATGTGTCTAATCTACTGTCCACGTCAAAAGCTGACACAAGACGGGAACAACATGTACTGAAAAAAAGAAGGAAAATGACATCAAGTCAAATGCTATTATAAAGGATGTTATAGTAAAAAAATAAGAGGTGATGTGCCAAAAAATAAAATTCCAAAAGTTACTACATATTGTGACAGTTGTGAAGGAAATGCCCACTTTTGCCTCGACTGTTTCGGAACAAGTCATAAATAAATGAAATTATCTTATATTCTGTATCCCTATATCATAGCTTATTTTATATATATATATATATATACGCATTGTTACTGGAATCTTGTTTGTTTTTGCCAAAGTTGTTGAGTAGATTTAGTTGAAAATGAATGATGTGAATAAAAAAAAATTAATAACTCTATTTAAAACAAAAATACACCAAACAGCTGACATATGAGTATAATCTATACAAGCCACAGAGACAGAGGTCCATATCTAGTGCTAAAATAAATTTAGATATGGACCACCATGTGGAATCATAAAATGTCCAATTGCTAAGATACAAGGTATTAATGTAACGCTGAAAAAAATTGTTCACAGTAAAAACAAAATTTCAAGTAATAAATTGCCTATATCTCGATAACTATCATTTGTCGTTTTTGTTCAGAATGAACAAACGTTGCAAAATCCTGTCCGGACAGAATAAAAAATTTTTTTTAACCTATTTAAGATAAATTGTTTGAACAAGTTTTAATGCAATGCACAGCCTTAAGCACTTCCTTTTGCCTTATTTGGAAGAAGCAGTAGAAATTAGATCGAGATATAGCATTCTCATTATTTGTCACGATTTTGTGTACAATTTTGAGGATTTACTACCCCCTGCTCTTCAAACAGTTTTAGAGACATACATTCACAAAAAGATATATAGATATGGCCTTGGTTAAAACTTGTATGGATCATTACATTCTGCTTTATATCATTGTCATAGTAGAGGTTCTCCCAAAGGCTAAGCAGATGTGGTGAAGGCAAACTCAGCTGCGTTGACATTACTGTAATTCCATCGTCATCTTCTTCGGTATGTTTCACTGGTCCATAGATATCCAAAGAGTATAAGTACCACTTGATTTTCACCTCTCCAAAGTCGATGAATGGCTTATCCTGCAAGAATATATTAATTATTGGAACTTACTGAAAAACTTATTCTTATACTCACATAGCCTGGAATATCTCCAATTATTATAGCTGTGACTTCCTTGTGTAGGAAATCCCAAATATCTGTTATCACCGAATTTGGGCGTACCATCATTTTTTCTAAGTACTTTTGCACTATATCTGTGGTAGCATTGTTTGAGGGCCCGTTGTATTGTTTTAATACTACTTCAATGTCTACAGGAATCATTTTTAGGATAAAATTTGTAGAGTTCGTAAAGTGACGTTAAACTGATCCGTTAGAAATTTCAAATTTGTGAATATTGCACGTCAACAGTGTCAACACCTTGTCATTTGTCAAGCATACAGCATCACGTGGTTGATCGCTTCAGTCGTCAAAGAGTAAGTAGTGTTAAAGAGGCGTGGCCTTGATACCACTAGTCACTTCCCCATTATGGCCTACTTTCCAGGTTATGTAGCAGTCAGATCTATTTTCTTAGATGTTCTATGGCTCGCTAAGTCAGGTGTTATCGCGTCAATTTTAATTTGACATTGTCATCAAACGGCTTCTTTTTAAATAATTGAACTCTAGTTATGGATATTTTTGTAAATATTTGAGAGTTTGGTAAGTTTTAGTCAGAATTGTATATTGAAAAGTAATTCTTACATCTTAAGTATAATTTTAACATGAATGAAATTTACATAGGCAAGTACATTCATTTTTTTTTATTTTAGCTGTAGGTACTGTATGATGGAATCCAAGCAAAAAATCAAAGTTGCCTTACAAAAAATCACCAAAGCAGAGTTAGAGGAAGCCCTCGTGATATTGAGAGACCTGATAAGCTATATTGGAGATGTTCCAAAAGTAGATATTATCATCAGATGCTGTAGTCTATGTACCTCAAATATATCTAGTCCAGATAATATATCAGAAGTATTTCTCTACCAGATTTTAATGTTAGTAGTGCCATCAATTGAGTCCATCGATGAAACAAGCCTGCTGAGCTTCATTCAGTCCATGTACCATATTGTCAAGTTTTTGGTAGTGAAGGTAATTGCTCATAATGGTGCTCCATTTTATTGAAAAATATGAAGAATAGCTTCAATTTTCAAGTGTAGACATTCACTTGCTATTTTGTGTCAAGAATAAAACGTCCGGGATCAATAATCATGTACTCTATTTTCCTTTCCAAAATATTCTGTCCCAAAATACCTCGCACATCGGTCGTAAAAACCAGGCTCTTCTCCTTTTTTTGCGTTCTCCTCTCCCCGCGCCTCTCTCGTCCGACACCACCGCCCGCATTCCTTGTCCCTTGGCTACACGGTAGTACCAGTGGCGCATCAAGAATGTATTTCTAGTTTGAAGATTCATCACATTCGGCCATCCTGCTGCTGTGTCTGTCCTCAGACCCAGAAAAATCAGCATCTATAAATAAACAATCAATCTGATTTATGATGTTGATGCTAAGTTGCAATACAGTAAGGCTTAGCGTGCTGAACTTTGAATGGTTATTCGAATTAATCAACCATCCCAACAGACACTGAAACGTATTAATTTTACAATGTTATGTTTGAGCTTTCACTTGAGCCTAACTTTAGCTGTTTTTCAATTTATCCTTGATTGGCATTTTGACTTACAATTCATACTCTCTTTTATTAATTTTATTAAGTATAGTTAAAACTCTAATTATATTAATTTAACGGACAACAAAACGTCCCTAAGTAATTCTGTTGTATGAGCCTTCCTTCATCAAATTATGTTGTTGTTTGAGCTTACTCTATCTTAACAGACAACAAAATATCATAAAACCGTTTTATTGTTTGAGCCTACTTATCTCAACAGACAACCAAAATATCATAAACTGCTTTTGTTGTTTGAGCCTACTTATCTCAACAGACAACCAAAATATCATAAACTGCTTTTGTTGTTTGAGCCTACTTATCTCAACAGACAACCAAAATATCATAAACTGCTTTTGTTGTTTGAGCCTACTTATCTCAACAGACAACCAAAACATCATAAACTGCTTTTGTTGTTTGAGCCTACTTATCTCAACAGACAACCAAAATATCATAAACTGCTTTCGTTGTTTGAGCCTACTTATCTCAACAGACAACCAAAACATCATAAACTGCTTTTGTTGTTTGAGCCTACTTATCTCAACAGACAACCAAAATATCATAAACTGCTTTTGTTGTTTGAGCCTACTTATCTCAACAGACAACCAAAACATCATAAACTGCTTTTGTTGTTTGAGCCTACTTATCTCAACAGACAACCAAAACATCATAAACTGCTTTTGTTGTTTGAGCCTACTTATCTCAACAGACAACAAAATATCATTAATTTTTTTTTCTTCGTTCCAACAGATATTAAAGCAGATAAACTTTAATATTTGGACCCTCTTTAAGCAATATAACATTTTATACCTACCACGTAGTAAGATCCATGGTTTCATCTTATCTGCAGCAACTACAGTCTTATATCTCTTGTAGTTTTCTCTCAGGTCAACAACCTCGTATCGATCGTTATAGAGAACCTTCGTCACTTTAAAAGGTCCCTTATATTTCGGCACCAATTTTCTGCTGGCACCAGTACACGGTGCATCCGTCTTCAACACCATGACGACATCATCCACTAGATACTTTTTAGCTTGTATCCTAGCCTTGTCAAACCTCTCTTTCTGCTTTTTCTGCTCTACAGACAATCTGTGTTCAACAGATTTCCTAAGTGCCTTCAAGTCACCCCGCTCTAGCTCTCGTTTCACTGCACTCAAAACATTGCCTTCGGATAGGCTATGTCCCTTGAATCCAGCCAATAACTCCATTGCAGTCATTCCAGTTGCAGTATTAAAAGTTGTGTTCATCGCATATTGCACCGGTTTGACAAACGTATCCCATTTGTTTTCAGCAACGCCTGCCGATGCAGCTCTCAAAGAATTGAGAATTGTGCTGTTGTAGCGTTCACATTGTCCATTAGCCCGCGGCGTGGAGACAGCATTTAAAATATGCCGAACACCATAGTCTTTACAAAAATTACTAAAACTAACCGACGTAAACGCAGTGCCCCTATCCGAGATTATACGATTCGGAGGGCCGAAAATATACATTATAGTAAGTAAGGCCTTAACAACTAACTTAGAACTAGTGTCCTTTACGGGTTCAATGAAACAAAACTTTGTAAATCCGTCAACAATAACAAAAATATATTTATTCCCTTTGATACTCTTTTCAAATGGTCCAAGATGATCGATGTGGATAGTGTGAAACGGTATGGGAACCTTTTCTATCGGATGAAGATATCCTTGTTTCTTTCTACTTGGCTGTTTATAGTAGAGACAATTTAAACACGCTCCAACGTATTTCTTCACAAAACGTCTCATACCAGCGAACCAATAACTCTCCTGTATTTTTTTAAGCGTTTTTTTCAATCCAAAATGACCATTCTCGTCATGACATAACCGACAAATTTGCCATCTACATGATTTGGGTACCACCCAAGCTATTTTGTCCCCTAATTTTCGATATAGTTTACCCTCTTTAATTTTATACAATTCGAAATATTGTTTCATACTTTTCTCCTTTGGTTCGTCTTTAAGAATTTTCATTATTCGACTGGTTTGCTCATCTTGTAGCTGTGCTGCTATAATCCAGTCGCCTTCAGTGACGTCGATAACTCTGACATCCAAATATTCCTTGACAGGATTTCTGCTAAGGGCATCCACATGCCCCATTTGGGTTCCATGCCTATGTATGATGTCGAAATCGTAGTCCTGAACTTGAAGCCACCATCTCCCTACTCTCGGAATCAAATCTCTCTTACTGAAAGCTGTCCTCAATGCGCTACAGTTGGTAACTATCGTGAATTTTATTCCAAGCAGATAAACTCTGAACCGTTGTAACGCTAAGACTACTGCTAAAGTCTCGAGCTCATAAGAGTGGTAGCGTCGCTGCTCTGGGGTGGTCTGCTTGCTGAAGTAAGCTATCACATATTTTTCATTATCTTTGAGTTGTATAAGAATTCCTCCAAACCCAAATAATTAATGCTACTATAGAAGAAGTTACATTTGCTTAACTTAAACGTCAAATTGGCTTGTCTCAATACATTTAGTACAATTTTTAAACTGTTTAATGCCTCTTTAAAATCACGTCCCGGTATTATCAAATCATCTAAATATGCGTCAACAATTTTGTTCAAATGACCTTTAAAAACATTGTTAATTAATTTTTGAAAAATGGCCGGAGCATTCACCAAGCCGAACGGCATTCGCAGAAATTCATAGTGGCCGGTCGGCGTAATGAATGCCGTTTTATCGATAGAGTTAGCAGCCATCGGTATTTGATAACACCCAGACGCAAGATCAAGCGTAATAAAATATTTATGACCCCCCAGCATGTCAATTTGATCTTCAATCAATGGTAATGGGAATTTCTCTTTGATAGTAATCATGTTTAAGCGTCTAAAGTCTATACACATCCGATAATCAGCTGTTTTCTTTTTAACAAGTAGTACTGGACTAGCATACTGAGAGCTAGATTCACGTACGATACCATTAATGAGTAACTCTTGCAACAAATCATTTAAAATATTTTTTTCTTGAATTGACATGCGATATGGGTTATAAATGACTGGTTCCTCCGTTTTACATTTAATACTCATTTCTACTAAATTGGTTTTTCCTAAATCCTTTAAAGTAAATGCGATCGTGTCGCTATACTCTTTTAAAAGACTATAAACGTTGTCCTTTTCTCCCTGAGAAATATTACCAAAATTTATTTTATCATACTCAATTATTTTCGTAGTACCCTGTATATCGCTCACGGTAGAAACATTTTTAAAACGCAAGGTGTCGCCGGCTTTATGCATGACAACATGTGGCTGATTTAAATAATCGCAACCAATAATCACATCATAAGTTACGTATTTATCCGCCAAAACGAACGCATTTACTTCGCCGGTTGATTTGTCGATATTTACATTGATTTTGCTGATTGTGTAGCAAGATATCATGTTACCCATAAAACATCGTAGTCCTACACACTCCTTTGTTCTAGTTAGCCGCATCTTTAAACGTTTTGCTAAAGACTCTTTAATTATTGTGTAAGAACTACCTGTGTCAATTAAACAATTTTCAACTGGACTTTGGTTTATATAAGCAGTAACTAAAGACATATTATTCTTTCTGTTCATAATTACAGACTTCGCAATCTGATTACATTCATTTTTCTTGCTCAGTCTACACTGCTCTGAATAATGGCCAACCCTTTTACAATTTTTACACGTTATTATAGGCTTAGGACAATTTTTTACAATATGTGGACGATTGCAATTATAACACGATAGTACTCTGCGTTTACTGCCATCCTTTCCTTCCAATTTTATCACCTCTTGATTAACTTTTGACGTGCCTGGAGTCGGTTTAGCAGCAATATGTTTTTGCCTATTTATATCTATAATACTATCTAAATAGTTAGCCAACGTACCTACCGATTGAAAATTCGCAGCTCTAGCTGCTAGCTTTACATTTTCATTGTTTATCCCTTCAATTATACAATCTATAATATCTACATCATTAATATGCAAATTTAATTTTGTAATTTTTGCATATTTTTCAAAACAATAATCACTGAATTTTTGATTAGGTAAATGCACATAATTTGCTGCCTCCTTAAACAATTTTCCAAAGTTCCTAGTCGAAGGGAATATTTCTAAAAGCATCACTTTCATATTACACCATCGAGTACAGTGATTGTTTAACGAATCATACCATTTCCGAGCATTTCCACGAAGTCTGCTTGTTGCTAATTTAATTGTCAATTGGTCATCCCACTGGTATAACTCACGCAACTGATCAACCTTGTTGACCCAGTCTATACATTGTCTATTTGAGGGGTTAAACTCAGGTATTAGCGATTCATCGATATTTAAACTACTGTATGCAGTACTTACAGGTTGCTTCTCTAACAACTTGTTTTTGAATTTGAGTTCTTTTCGTAAACGTTTTACTCGCCTACGATGTCTCCTTCCATCGTCCGTCGAAGAACTTGAACTGGACTGAGAGCTAGAGGATGAACTAGAAGAACTACGCCTTTTCGTCTTCCCCATTTTGAATCACTCACTTGTAGAACTTGTACGGCACGTGAATAATTCCACTTCTGATTTGTCAAGAATAAAACGTCCGGGATCAATAATCATGTACTCTATTTTCCTTTCCAAAATATTCTGTCCCAAAATACCTCGCACATCGGTCGTAAAAACCAGGCTCTTCTCCTTTTTTTGCGTTCTCCTCTCCCCGCGCCTCTCTCGTCCGACACCACCGCCCGCATTCCTTGTCCCTTGGCTACACGGTAGTACCAGTGGCGCATCAAGAATGTATTTCTAGTTTGAAGATTCATCACATTTGATTGTAGACACTAGTAAAATAACTATCAGAAGTGTTACACATATCAGGTTTGGTTTTTGCCTCATAGTCATCATACTTAACTTCATTAGGAATGGAAGAATGGTATTTCCTTTTGCTAGAAACTGATCTCCAAAATTTTGTTGTGTTATTTGGGATCTCATTCGTGATGTTCAAAGTATACTCATTAATGATAAGTAAAAAGTAATTACCTACAATAATCTGCTATAAATGTGGAATACCTTTATACAATTTCAGGCCTATACTAATATACTATACTACACTACTATACTAACTTTAGAGTTTTCCAAAGCTTTTTACTGTGTAAATCATGATATACTATTAGATTAATAAAATAAACCAAATATGGTTGTACTGAAATTTCACTTAATTGATGTAAAACATTTTTAAGTAATCAATCCCAAAATATAAAATTATCAAGACATTATATTTCAAATAAATGTAAATGCAGGGGTATCTCAAGGATCACTATTAGGTCCAATCCTATTCTTAAAATTTAAACAGACAATGGTAAATTTGTAGCTTTTGCTGACAATTCCACAATACTGGAAAGACACAGATATAAATGAAATTAAGACAAAAATTGATAGTGATATGCTGAACACTTTCCTGTACAATTATTTGTTTTCTTTACAGGGCTCATTTGGGATAACCGCGAAATTGGAAGATACAGTGTTTCCAAAAATTCTACCACCACCTAGTCAAGTATCGGAAAAACACCATCATGTCTACTATGCATTAGCCCAGTTTATTTTGAAGACTTTGCAGGATACTGAAGCTCAAGATGAAACCCTGCTGTCACTGTGTCAGTTGACATTCAAATCATGTTTCTATACAACAGATCTAGTTCAAGCATTCTCTATAGTCAATGCATACATCAACATGAAAATGCAGAATGATACGCGTAAAATGGTATATGGTAATTTTTTGGATTCTATTAGATTCAGAGCTTTACCCACAGGATGTGAGGAGCCTTTTAGGTATATTTCACACATACTTTATTCTGTGTTATGTTCATTTGCAACATCACATGACTTCATAGGCTTGAAATACTTCTACGCAGATGCTGTGCAGAAAGGAAATATGTCTTTCAAACACAAAGAATATGAACATTTACACAATTGCATATTGCATTTTCCATTACTTTTGGCCAATGTTGATCAAAAATGCACAATCAGCGATATAGAATGTTGTAAGAAGAGTCTGCAAAGTTTAGATTTGATGATAAAGTCCCAGAAAGTCAGAGGAGCCTTGTCATACATGCTAGATTGTCTCATGGAAGATGTGGGAAAGTATCAGAAAGTTGCTAACACTTGGTGTAAACTCGATGAAGAATTTCAACTTGCGTGTTTCGATTATATTTACGATCTTTCCGTATTTGAAAGCAAACTTGATAAAGAGTGTTCTTGCAAGTGTAATTCTAAGCAAATCTACCAAGCTATATCTTACGTTAGATTCATCACAGCTTTTGCAAGGAGCTATATTCTTACAGCGAAATCTACCACAGGGTATCATAAAAGGTGCTGCCAAATATTAGAACAGTTTTTCTCTTATATTGTGCAGTTGAAAGAAAATAACTGTAAAAAATTGGGGTCTAGTTGGGGTTATTTAGTTGTAGGTGCATACAATGTTGCTGTGAAACTAAATGAAGTTTCTAACAAGGATGCATTGATATATTTCAAATTCGTGATAGATAAGTACTACTTGTTTGGTAATAAGTTTTCGCCGTCTTCTTTAACATATGCTTTACATGGCGTTTGCAAATTATTATCAAATGAACACCAACAATTATTGGCCTTATCAGCTTTAGCTATGTGTCTAAGTCCAAATGATAGTGATATCTATTTGTCGATTTTTACTAAAGCCAAGTATACCATGTCAAATGATACGGATTCTAAAAAAGATGTCAAAGAAATCACTCTAGTTTCAGTGTTTAGTGATTTGAAACATCATTTTTCGTTTCTTTCAAAGCCTGTTGAAATGTCTAAAGAAAAGCAAATCACGTTATTGAAGGCTGAATTGGAATATTACAAGAAAAAGTGGAAAAGTAAAGTATCAGTTATGACAGTTTTAACAGAGTTGATTGCTTGTCTGCAGTATCAGATTTTGGTGTTGGAGAAAGCAAGGTTAGATGCTTTGATCCATATCAAACGTGGCAACTTCTCCGTTGCAAACGATGTTTTAGCAAACGCTTTGCATTTTTACGATTCTTGTGATACAAAATACAGATATCTCCAAGACACACTTGGAAATATCCTCAACAAGGACTTGGTGCCTAAATTTGATGACGTATCTCTTCAAACATATGGAGGTGTATTGCTCGATTATAGCTACCATTTGAGGAGAATAGAGAACAAAGAAAGAGCAACTGATACAAATCTAAAATTACTTCAAATTCTTCTACCAAAGAAATCTGAGTACGTTTATTTACATCATGAAGCAGCTATGCAAAGGCTTGGGTATCTAACAGAGGTACCTGAGGTCGTCTCACCCGTTTAAGATGACGATGAGCTTGAAGACTACGCTACCGGATATTTACAAAAAACCCCAGAAGATCATAGAGCTAAGGTTGTGTTTGTTGTATCTCCAGATCCTACGGCTGATGAGCTGGAACCTCCTAAGCCAATTTTCAAGAAGGTTCCATTCCCTTTATCGCCCTCTCCTGACCGTAGGCCAGAAACTCCAATTGTAAAAAAAGCTACTTCTGTCAAAACTCCCGCTGCGAAGATTCCAATTTTTAAAGATACCTGCAGCACCACCAAACGTTCTACGAGAAAAAGGTTGGATGCGGTATCGAGTAGCGCAGATCTCATGAAACCTCCAAGCTCCACGAGTGAATTGAATCTAAAGTCGAAAACAAAACTTTTGACGGAGAAATTGAAGAAAAGTAGTAAGAAAGTACAAGAACCGAGTGTGGAGTCGACGTCTGGGCAAAGTACGAGTAGTGTTGGAGGTTTGGCCAGGAAGAAATTGTTTTCGGATGAAAGTACAAAAGAAACGGCGGATGAACCTCCCGCTATTAGGAGATCGCATAGAAGTAGGAAAAATAAATAAATAAATCTTGTGCCTTAGTCTTTTGAATGACTTGAGATTATTGCATTGTCAAAAACGGGTATCCCATACCAATATCATTGTATGCAAATACCAATGGTGTTAGATTACAAAAGGAAGTTTCAGACGTCTAGGGGGGGGGGGCTCTAAATCCGCCACTGAAGCAAACCACCCATTTCATAACAATTTACCTAACACACACTGCTCTCTTGCTCTGGCCAATGACTCAACCTCATCAATCAAAACACAAACTAACAGATTTGCATTTTCAACCACTTCTCTGATTTTTGTAAACATTTTGTTAACCAACTTGCCACTCTGTAAATGAGAAATAATATCAATACAAGTCAATGGCTACTTGATAAACAAACTTAAGTGTAGTAACACCGAGTCACTGTTATTTTCAATAAATATGATCATAGCTGCTAATTTAGTGTCTGGATGCAACTGATAAATAAAGTTTTTGTACCTAAACTAAGTGATTTATCAGGTATTTCTTGATTTAATATGGGAATTAGAGTGCCATCATACACAAATCGCGTAATTTTCCTCTAGTTTGGGTGAGATTTTACAAGAAATCGAATTTGTGATTGATGTGCTTTTTTGCGCCCTGGCTAAGGCCCGTATCGTCAGTCGTCCATACAATTGTAGGGTGCCTCCTTGATTGTCATACTCTTTTCTCTCCTTCAAAAATTTCTAGATTACACTCGTCCCGTGTCAGCGTCAGCGATCTCCTATTGTTAAGATATGTTTTCCTTTTAAATTGTAGGAAATTTCAGGCTGATAAAACATGATATAACTCAAAAGCAAGCACAATTTGACGCAAATAGATGTTTGTGACATAACCTCAAAATAGAGCTCTGACACGGAGAAGTAGAAAACTAAGACAATCAAGGAGGCCATAAGCGCGCCCTACAATTGTAGGGACGACTGACGATACGGGCCTTAGTAAAATCGGTCCTAAATCATGCATATCCCCTACTTGAAACAAAAAATTACTCTCATTACCTCAGAAAACCACTTTGAGAACAAGCTGTGACTATTTATCTCAATGAGAAATGAGAAGCCCAGAAGTGAAACGTTCTTGCATACGAACAGTCAACTTTTGAGCCAAGGCTTTGCACAATGAAGTTTTTCCAGTTCCTGGGGGTCCATGGAGTAAAATCACTTTATTGCAAGTTATGACATTACCATCCACCCCTCTGTCTCCAAATTCCATCATGGTCCGAGCATAATTCAACAACTAGAATGATATATAACGCTTGATAAGAAACAGGTATAGTATTTTTAACACGTTAAACGCCAAGCAAAATGTCCATCAGGCCATCATGTTCCCAACAAATAATGTGTCTAATCTACTGTCCACGTCAAAAGCTGACACAAGACGGGAACAACATGTACTGAAAAAAAGAAGGAAAATGACATCAAGTCAAATGCTATTATAAAGGATGTTATAGTAAAAAAATAAGAGGTGATGTGCCAAAAAATAAAATTCCAAAAGTTACTACATATTGTGACAGTTGTGAAGGAAATGCCCACTTTTGCCTCGACTGTTTCGGAACAAGTCATAAATAAATGAAATTATCTTATATTCTGTATCCCTATATCATAGCTTATTTTATATATATATATATATATACGCATTGTTACTGGAATCTTGTTTGTTTTTGCCAAAGTTGTTGAGTAGATTTAGTTGAAAATGAATGATGTGAATAAAAAAAAAATTAATAACTCTATTTAAAACAAAAATACACCAAACAGCTGACATATGAGTATAATCTATACAAGCCACAGAGACAGAGGTCCATATCTAGTGCTAAAATAAATTTAGATATGGACCACCATGTGGAATCATAAAATGTCCAATTGCTAAGATACAAGGTATTAATGTAACGCTGAAAAAAATTGTTCACAGTAAAAACAAAATTTCAAGTAATAAATTGCCTATATCTCGATAACTATCATTTGTCGTTTTTGTTCAGAATGAACAAACGTTGCAAAATCCTGTCCGGACAGAATAAAAAATTTTTTTTAACCTATTTAAGATAAATTGTTTGAACAAGTTTTAATGCAATGCACAGCCTTAAGCACTTCCTTTTGCCTTATTTGGAAGAAGCAGTAGAAATTAGATCGAGATATAGCATTCTCATTATTTGTCACGATTTTGTGTACAATTTTGAGGATTTACTACCCCCTGCTCTTCAAACATATTTTAGAGACATACATTCACAAAAAGATATATAGATATGGCCTTGGTTAAAACTTGTATGGATCATTACATTCTGCTTTATATCATTGTCATAGTAGAGGTTCTCCCAAAGGCTAAGCAGATGTGGTGAAGGCAAACTCAGCTGCGTTGACATTACTGTAATTCCATCGTCATCTTCTTCGGTATGTTTCACTGGTCCATAGATATCCAAAGAGTATAAGTACCACTTGATTTTCACCTCTCCAAAGTCGATGAATGGCTTATCCTGCAAGAATATATTAATTATTGGAACTTACTGAAAAACTTATTCTTATACTCACATAGCCTGGAATATCTCCAATTATTATAGCTGTGACTTCCTTGTGTAGGAAATCCCAAATATCTGTTATCACCGAATTTGGGCGTACCATCATTTTTTCTAAGTACTTTTGCACTATATCTGTGGTAGCATTGTTTGAGGGCCCGTTGTATTGTTTTAATACTACTTCAATGTCTACAGGAATCATTTTTAGGATAAAATTTGTAGAGTTCGTAAAGTGACGTTAAACTGTTCTGTTAGAAATTTCAAATTTGTGAATATTGCACGTCAACAGTGTCAACACCTTGTCATTTGTCAAGCATACAGCATCACGTGGTTGATCGCTTCAGTCGTCAAAGAGTAAGTAGTGTTAAAGAGGCGTGGCCTTGATACCACTAGTCACTTCCCCATTATGGCCTACTTTCCAGGTTATGTAGCAGTCAGATCTATTTTCTTAGATGTTCTATGGCTCGCTAAGTCAGGTGTTATCGCGTCAATTTTAATTTGACATTGTCATCAAACGGCTTCTTTTTAAATAATTGAACTCTAGTTCTGGATATTTTTGTAAATATTTGAGAGTTTGGTAAGTTTTAGTCAGAATTGTATATTTGAAAAGTAATTCTTACATCTTAAGTTAACATGAATGAAATTTACATAGGCAAGTACATTAATTTTTTTTATTTTAGCTGTAGGTACTGTATGATGGAATCCAAGCAAAAAATCAAAGTTGCCTTACAAAAAATCACCAAAGCAGAGTTAGAGGAAGCCCTCGTGATATTGAGAGACCTGATAAGCTATATTGGAGATGTTCCAAAAGTAGATATTATCATCAGATGCTGTAGTCTATGTACCTCAAATATATCTAGTCCAGATAATATATCAGAAGTATTTCTCTACCAGATTTTAATGTTAGTAGTGCCATCAATTGAGTCCATCGATGAAACAAGCCTGCTGAGCTTCATTCAGTCCATGTACCATATTGTCAAGTTTTTGGTAGTGAAGGTAATTGCTCAAAGTGGTGCTCCATTTTATTGAAAAATATGAAGAATAGCTTCAATTTTCAAGTGTAGACATTCACTTGCTATTTTGATTGTAGACACTACTAAAATAACTATCAGAAGTGTTACACATATCAGGTTTCTTTTTTGCCTCATAGTCATCATACTTAACTTCATTAGGAATTGAAGAATGGTATTTCCTTTTGCTAGAAACTGATCTCCAAAATTTTGTTGTGTTATTTGGGATCTCATTCGTTATGTTCAAAGTATACTCATTAATGATAAGTAAAAAGTAATTACCTACAATAATCTGCTATAAATGTGGAATACCTTTATACAATTTCAGGCCTATACTAATATACTATACTACACTACTATACTAACTTTAGAGTTTTCCAAAGCTTTTTACTGTGTAAATCATGATATACTATTAATAAAATAAACCAAATATGGTTGTACTGGAATTTCACTTAATTGATGTAAAACATTTTTAAGTAATCAATCCCAAAATATAAAATTATCAAGACATTATATTTCAAATAAATGTAAATGCAGGGGTATCTCAAGGATCACTATCAGGTCCAATCCTATTCTTAAAATTTAAACAGACAATGGTAAATTTGTAGCTTTTGCTGACAATTCCACAATACTGGAAAGACAGATATAAATGAAATTAAGACAAAAATTGATAGTGATATGCTGAACACTTTCCTGTACTATTATTTGTTTTCTTTACAGGGCTCATTTGGGATAACCGCGAAATTGGAAGATACAGTGTTTCCAAAAATTCTACCACCACCTAGTCAAGTATCGGAAAAACACCATCATGTCTACTATGCATTAGCCCAGTTTATTTTGAAGACTTTGCAGGATACTGAAGCTCAAGATGAAACCCTGCTGTCACTGTGTCAGTTGACATTCAAATCATGTTTCTATACAACAGATCTAGTTCAAGCATTCTCTATAGTCAATGCATACATCAACATGAAAATGCAGAATGATACGCGTAAAATGGTATATGGTAATTTTTTGGATTCTATTAGATTCAGAGCTTTACCCACAGGATGTGAGGAGCCTTTTAGGTATATTTCACACATACTTTATTCTGTGTTATGTTCATTTGCAACATCACATGACTTCATAGGCTTGAAATACTTCTACACAGATGCTGTGCAGAAAGGAAATATGTCTTTCAAACACAAAGAATATGAACATTTACACAATTGCATATTGCATTTTCCATTACTTTTGGCCAATGTTGATCAAAAATGTACAATCAGCGATATCGAATGTTGTAAGAACAGTCTGCAAAGTTTAGATTTGATGATAAAGTCCCAGAAAGTCAGAGGAGCCTTGTCATACATGCTAGATTGTCTCATGGAAGATGTGGGAAAGTATCAGAAAGTTGCTAACACTTGGTGTAAACTCGATGAAGAATTTCAACTTGCGTGTTTTGATTATATTTACGATCTTTCCGTATTTGAAAGCAAACTTGATAAAGAGTGTTCTTGCAAGTGTAATTCTAAGCAAATCTACCAAGCTATATCTTACGTTAGATTCATCACAGCTTTTGCAAGGAGCTATATTCTTACAGCGAAATCTACCACAGGGTATCATAAAAGGTGCTGCCAAATATTAGAACAGTTTTTCTCTTATATTGTGCAGTTGAAAGAAAATAACTGTAAAAAATTGGGGTCTAGTTGGGGTTATTTAGTTGTAGGTGCATACAATGTTGCTGTGAAACTAAATGAAGTTTCTAACAAGGATGCATTGATATATTTCAAATTCGTGATAGATAAGTACTACTTGTTTGGTAATAAGTTTTCGCCGTCTTCTTTAACATATGCTTTACATGGCGTTTGTAAATTATTATCAGATGAACACCAACAATTATTGGCCTTATCAGCTTTAGCTATGTGTCTAAGTCCAAATGATAGTGATATCTATTTGTCGATTTTTACTAAAGCCAAGTATACCATGTCAAATAATACGGATTCTAAAAAAGATGTCAAAGAAATCACTCTAGTTTCAGTGTTTAGTGATTTGAAACATCATTTTTCGTTTCTTTCAAAGCCTGTTGAAATGTCTAAAGAAAAGCAAATCACGTTATTGAAGGCTGAATTGGAATATTACAAGAAAAAGTGGAAAAGTAAAGTATCAGTTATGACAGTTTTAACAGAGTTGATTGCTATAACTGACTTAGAAGTGATTGTAGATATAATGGTTGATATTTTTGGAGATGGTGAAATAACGGTACATGAAAAACTACCTGGGATTTTTTCTGAAATTTTACTAAAATACGAGAAGCTTAAAGACGCGAATAAGTATAATTTAGCGATATTGAATTATATGAATTATCGGTACAAAAATCAGGAAGCCAGAACGAGGAACATCGCTGAAATGGAAAGAGTAGTAAATTTCTTGACAAAAACTAAAAGTGAACCTTCAGGTCCCGATAAGCCAGATCCCAATGAAGAATGTGATATAGTGTCAGGTTTCGACGGTTTAAAATTAGACAACTTTATCAACCAACTCAAATTCCTAGATAAATCGTTGGAGTTACTCACTGAAATAAGACATACAATAACTTCTGGGGCTTTTGATGCTTTGTTGAGAATATACTACGAATATAGGTTGCATCAGTCTAAAATACCTGCTCTAAGAGCCTTAGAGTTAGCTCTTGAACAGGCTGAAATGTCAAAAGATCAAGAGAATTTAGTCACAGTGATTTCTTTTATGCTCGAAGAAACGGATGCTAGTCGGAAGTTTGTTAAACATTTGATGGTTCAAGCAGACCAGTATTTAAGCAAGTTAGATCAAGACGATATATCAAACGTCAAAGCTATTACGATGTACTACTTAAATAGGAGTAAAGCCCATCTTTACATAGACTATGAGCAAACAGTGAAGTATTACAAAAAAGCAAAGACTATCCTTAAAAAATGGGACTCTATAGATTTCAATATCTTGAGATGTCACTTTAACATGTTGGGCCATAAAATAATTTTGCTACCGTGCAACCAAAAAAATAGATCCGATCACGAGACTCTTAGTCTGTTGAATATGGAAGTGGCGATATCCACGTTGTTTGATGAATACGGAGAGAGAAGACTTCAAGGTTCATATGGAATGTTATTACTTTTCGAGTTTTCAGAAGAGGTGGCAAAGTTCTACTACTCTGTAAGGTGTCCCAGAGAAGTGAGGGCTCATTGCAAAGAGGTCATCCATCTGGCTCAGAAGCTTGTATTACCTCTAAGATCGGCATCTTTGTTGCAATATTTGGCGTATGCTGATTTGAGGACAAATCGTATAGATGACGCTCAATATAAGCTCAATAGTATGGCGGAAATCTTGTGTTTGAACAAAACCAAGATTCTAGAAATAACCGAGCCGACTGCCAAGACTGATATTGAATCAGAAGTGGGATCAGTCACGGACTATATGAGAGAAATGGTTTTAGATGAACCTGTAAAACGTGGTAGATCACAGGGTGCTCCACTGTCGCCAATTTTTGATACTCAACCGTTTCAGACACCGAGTTTCGTACACCACCCGAAGAGCTGTATTTGTATTTTTTGCTCTTGTCTGCAGTATCAGATTTTGGTGTTGGAGAAAGCAAGGTTAGATGCTTTGATCCATATCAAACGTGGCAACTTCTCCGTTGCAAACGATGTTTTAGCAAACGCTTTGCATTTTTACGATTCTTGTGATACAAAATACAGATATCTCCAAGACACACTTGGAAATATCCTCAACAAGGACTTGGTGCCTAAATTTGATGACGTATCTCTTCAAACATATGGAGGTGTATTGCTCGATTATAGCTACCATTTGAGGAGAATAGAGAACAAAGAAAAAGCAACTGATACAAATCTAAAATTACTTCAAATTCTTCTACCAAAGAAATCTGAGTACGTTTATTTACATCATGAAGCAGCTATGCAAAGGCTTGGGTATCTAACAGAGGTACCTGAGGTCGTCTCACCCGTTGAAGATGACGATGAGCTTGAAGACTACGCTACCGGATATTTACAAAAAACCCCAGAAGATCATAGAGCTAAGGTTGTGTTTGTTGTATCTCCAGATCCTACGGCTGATGAGCTGGAACCTCCTAAGCCAATTTTCAAGAAGGTTCCATTTCCTTTATCGCCCTCTCCTGACCGTAGGCCAGAAACTCCAATTGTAAAAAAAGCTACTTTTGCCAAAACTCCCACTGCGAAGATTCCAATTTTTAAAGATACCTGCAGCACCACCAAACGTTCTACGAGAAAAAGGTTGGATGCGGCATCGAGTAGCGCAGATCTCATGAAACCTCCAAGTTCCACGAGTGAATTGAATCTAAAGTCGAAAACAAAACTTTTGACGGAGAAGTTGAAGAACAGTAGTAAGAAAGTACAAGAACCGACTGTGGGGTCTACGTCTGGGCAAAGTACGAGTAGTGTTGGAGGTTTGGCCAGGAAGAAATTGTTTTCGGATGAAAGTACAAAAGAAACGGCGGATGAACCTCCCGCTCTTAGGAGATCGCATAGAAGTAGGAAAAATAAATAAATCTTGTGCTTTAGTCTTTTGTATGACTTGAGATTATTGCATTGTCAAAAAGGGTATCCCAAGCCAATATCATTGTACGCAAAAACCAATACTATACGTATAATAATACTCATCGATTTTGAAAATTGATTCAGATGCGGCAGAAATAAAATCACTGGCACATAGTGTTACAACGTTTAGGAGATTCCTACTCATTTCCAGATACTGTTTCGAGGAGATAAAAATTGTAGGATGAAACCTGTATGTGGTAAATGGTTGTAAATTGTTGCAAATTTGATGTCAGTGAAATACCTTCTATTATTAAGAAGCTGCTGATCTCAGTGATACTATGCTGTTAGACATATGTTAAGTCACACATATTATGCTACATCTGTCATGTGAACAGAAATATGATAGATTTACTTTTCGTGTTTACTACAGAGCAAAGCAGACATTGCTTTCATTTGGGTTGAGTATCTGCTGGTGGAATATGTTAAATAATGATTATTGTTTTATTTTTTCAATATTTTTGTGAGCAGTATATGTTTAATTATGGAATTTAGGCCTAGGTATTGAAAAACGTAAATGAAAATTGTTATAAGAATTGTTGTGATATTTTTAATGTGTCTATCTTGAAAAAGTATTATTCTATTGTACGTAATGCCCTTAGTACATTTAGAAAAGAAGCACCTGATAACTTGAAATAAGTGCCACTTGATACACTGATAAAAATTGTGCCTTAAGTCTAAAACATTAAGTCTTTCATATTGTTCTTTGAGCGAAACGAAATAAATGTTGTAAACACCCTCATGCCCTGTGTAAACTATGTTTATTAATAGATGATTTGTAAATATGTATTTTTTGTAATTGATTTGCATATAAGATCGATAGCAGTGTGAAATTTTAGCTAAATATTGTTAATAAAAAAGTTACCCTAATACAGTCTCTTATTTCATAATTACATGTAAAGTCTTCATCGATTAACATAATTAATTTTTTAATAGCCAAAATAGATTGTTTACATCGATTTTCCGAGGATACTGCAGTCTATACTCGTTTTTCGCTAGCGGGTTGGTAAAAGTTATATTTGAATCAATTTGTTTACGCCGAAGCAGCGGCACGTGCAGAAGCCTTAATGCCAGGTCACCGCAGCTGTTATGCGTTTTTTAAACTGCCTAAGGTTAGTAGAACTAGGAAAAGCCTCATGTAAATTGTCCCACAATCTCAATATCCTAGTGAAAAAGGGGTGGTTGTATCGGTCAGTTCTGGATGTACCCAGTTCGAAGTCCCCGATCAGTCTAACAGGCCTCCTCAGCATCGAGCATGGATAATGTTGTCGGAGCGGCAGAACCCCAAACATGTGAGCAGTACTCGAGGCTAGGTCTTATATGGGCCCTGAACAGGGTCAGCAGGTCATGTGGAAAAAAGTTCTTAGCACTGAACAGTGTTATCTTTTCATAGCTGCTGCCGCTAGTGACGACATGTGTTCTCGCCAGATTAAGTACTCGGCAATCTGGACTCCTACATCAAAGAATGAAGGCTTTTTGTCTGAATACGAAGTTTCATGCCTACATAATTCTGTAACAAACTTTGGAAGAAATGTGTTACTGAATTTAGTTCTTAACTGGTACGAAGTAGAATTCATTCTGTCACAAATTTTTGTAATAGAATCTTGAGCATTCGGGTAAAAATAAAGGGTTGTCCAATAGGGACGCAGGAAAGTAAACGTCAATTTGACATAGACGCCATTTTTTGTTTTCTGTCACCGACATGTCATTTTGTTAATTGAATGTTTACCATTGATCGCTATGGAGTCGTATTCGATTGAAGACCACATTAAAGTTATTCAAGAGCACTACAAAAATGATGCAAAAATAAAAAACACGTTTCGCGCGCTTCATGAACATTTCGGTCGCAACAACCGCCCAAACGAAACCATCGGTCGTCTGGTGTGTAAATTCGAGGCAACAGGTTCTGTGGCAAATCTGCCAGGCTCTGGCCGGCCAAGGAGCGTTCGCACACCGGAAAATATTGCTGTTGTGAAGGAGAGTGTGAGAGACGGTCCGAAACAATCAACAACGCGTCGATCCCAAGAATTGGGCATTTCGAGAACCAGTTTGCTCCGCATTCTCCACAAGGATTTGAATGTACACGCCTACAAGATCCAATTGACGCACGCGCTGCGTCGGGCCGACTATTTTTCGCGTCGAACGTTCTCAGATTGGCTCCTTGAACACCGCCAAATTGATGCCAATTTTTCATCAAAAATCATGTTCAGCGACGAAGCGCTTTGAATGGGACGGTAAACAAGCAAAATTGCCGCATCTGGGCGAACGAAAATCCCCGTGAGTATCAAGAGCAGCCGATGCATCCTCAAAAAGTGACTGTGTGGTGTGCATTGTGGTCAAAAGGCATCATCGGACCTTACTTTTTCGAAAATGCGACCGGGGACGCCGTTACCGTCAATTCTGAGCGATATCACGTGATTATAGAGGACTATTTTTTGCCGCAACTTGAAGGAATGGATATGGACGATGTTTATTTCCAACAAGACGGTGCAACATGCCACACAACCAACGTCAATATCCATCGATTGCAGTCCTTCTTCGGTGATCGCGTGATTTCGCGCAGAGGAAATGTGCCATGGCCACCAAGATCGTGCGATTCGACTCCTTTGGACTTCTTTTTATGGGGATATTTGAAAAGCAAAGTCTACGTCAACAAATCAGCCATCCTCCAAGAACTCAAAAACAACATCATTGCCGAGATAAATGCCATAGAACCGACCATGTTGTAAAATGTCATTGAAAACTTCGACCATCGCGTGGACGTCTGTAAATCCTGTCGTGGTGAACATTTGAGCGATATTATTTTTCATACATAAATGGTATAAATGAACTTTCAAAATAAAGTACCCAACTTCATTTGAATATCAATCTTTCTTGTTTTAATATGAGTTTACCTTCCTGCGTCCGTTTTGGACAACCCCATATATTCATGTCAATTTGGAACTGTCATTTCTCAGAATGTGAAATCTCTATTATAACGTGACTATATTTTCCGTTGCGATTTTGGTCGGAGCTGCTTCCCAGTGATCCAGTTACTCGTCCCCTCAATAATACTCAGGCTCAGCACAAATGTCATTTCACTGCACTCTGTATTCCCACGCATGTTTAAAGGGCTTGCGGCAATAAGGCACATTGAGTTTATTTTGATAAATACACAGTTACGAGTTTTATGTAAATCCTGAAATCACGTTTCTTGCTTAAGAAATGGGTTTACATTTGATGTCAGGGCATTTTCTATTGGTCCGTATTTGAAAAAATTGTAATCCAAGGGTTAGTAATAGTAATATTTATTTATTTTAAAATACAGGAAATATGAAACGAGTAAATCAATATAATCTATCCATAGAAGGATAATCCCTGCAATGGATAAAAAAGAAAGAATAGAGAGAAAACAAAAAGCATAATTATTTGGAAGAATGATAGTATTTACTGTGTTATATTTGAGATTATTCTATTAATGTTATTTTTACCAAGCGTGTTAATCCATTAAATTTTTTTTTAAACAATGTATTCCGTAATTGTTCTGAATTATTTGGTAAATGTTCATACAATTTTGGAGCTAAATACAGGTGAGATCGTTTCTTTGAAGATTTGTTTGGTTTAGGAATATTTTTTACGCTAATTTATATTTGATGTTATGACTATGTTTGATTGCGTCGCGTTCACTAATAATATTGTGATAATGTGTGATGAGATGTAAGGAGTAAAATTGTTTAATATCATATACTATACGATATGTTATGTGCGGCCCGACTGAAGCTTGATATATTATTCGTAGATAATATTCAGTTAATATACCAGTTAGTAATTTTATTTTATATGCTATGAATCTATTTTTTTTAATATACAGGGTGGTCCATAAGTCCTTTGAAATTTCAAATTTGAATAAAATTTAACGGGTGAGCGTGAGCGGCGCGGGCGAGGTGGGGGCAGTATTTTCAGTGTCTGGGAATTCAGTCGCCATGGAGTGTTTCACTGGAGCGGATCGCGCTTTTTGTGTGCGCGCGTTTTATCAAAATAATGATTCGGCAACCATTGCGCGGCGTAAATATCGAGAATACCACAATTTACACAATTTTACAAAGTGTCCAACAGCTCAAACGATTAAGAACTGGGTTGCTAAGTTCGAAGAGACTGGTTCGACGTTAGATAAACAGCGGTGGGGTCGACCAAGGACAACTCGTATTGAAGAAAACATCAACATTGTGGCACAGTCTGTTCGTCAAAATCCTACCCAGTCTACTCGTAAGCGTTCCAGTGCACTAAACGTACCCAGAACATCTTTACAGCGGATTTTAAGGAAAGATTTACGTCTGCACGCTTACAAAATTCAGTTAGTGCAGGAATTCAAAGATAATGACGCTATTCAGAGACTAAACTTTGCGAATGAAATGTTGAATCGTTTTTCTTCGCTCAATAATGTGTTGTTCTCGGACGAGGCTCACTTCCATTTAAAGGGGCATGTAAATAAACAAAATTGCCGTTATTGGAGCCCCGAAAATCCAAGGCGTAAGCATCAGAAGCCCTTACACAGCCCTAAAGTTACAGTTTGGGCTGCTATGTCAGCGCATGGCATCGTAGGCCCTTATTTTTTTGAGGACGACAGAGGTCGCGCATTAACTGTTACTTCGGAGCCGTATGTAGCAATGATAGAAGAGTTTTTGACACCAGCGTTGCAGAATTTTCCAGCCTATAATACGCAGACCTGGTTTCAACAGGACGGAGCAACTGCCCACACCTCCAACACTTCTATGCCCGTCGTCTGTCAACTTTTTCCAAGCAAAGTAATTTCTCGAAGAGGAGACATTTCCTGGCCACCACGTAGTCCAGATTTGACCCCAATGGACTTCTTTTTATGGGGCTACCTCAAGAGTAAAGTGTACGACACCACTCCGCGATCAGTTGATGTCCTGAAAGAAAATATCCGAAGAGAAATGGTAAGCATTACAGTGTTGACTTGCCGCGCAGTCATCGACAATTTTAGACGTCGTTTATATGAGTGCCGTGATCGTAATGGATTGCATTTAGACGATGTGATTTTTAAAACATAATTCCCATTCAATAAAGATGATAACAAAATATAATAATTCTTCATAATGTAACTAGTTTGGTTTTATTCCTTTTTTTTCCAGCTCAAAGGACTTATGGGCCACCCGGTATAAGAAATATGTAAGTCCCATTTCAAGTGGGAATCTAGATAAATTCCTGAATATTTTGTATCATTTAACTCTATCGAATTTTAGTTCTTCATCTTTTACCTTAAAGAGAAGGTGGTTATAACTTGGTAGTTGATTAGATAGTGATGAAAATGGTAAAAATGAGCTCTAGCAAAGTTAATTACTAATTTTCGGCTATTAAACCACTGAGTAACTTTAGGCCCGTATCGCAGTCGTCCCTACAATTGTAGGGCGCCTTTATGGCCTCCTTGATTGTCATAGTTTTCTGCTTCTCCGTGTCAGAACTCTATTTTGAGGTTATGTCACAAACATCTATTTGCATCAAATTGTGCTTGCTTTTGAGTTATACGAGTATCATGTTTTATCAGCCTGAAATTTCCTACAATTTAAAAAGAAAACATATCTTTACAATAAGAGAGCGCTGACGCTGACACGGGACAAGTGTAATCTAGAAATTTTTGAAGGAGAGAAAGGAGTATGACAATCAAGGAGGCCATAAACGCGCCCTACAATTGTAGGGACGACTGACGATACGGGCCTTACAAAAGTCATTATGGATAACATCTTTCAAGTCGTTCCAATCCTTACCTTTATAGAGTACCTATAGCAGTGTCGTCCACAAAACTGACTATATTACTAGGACTATTGATTTTGAATATATCGTTTAAATAAATATTGAATAAATAACAG